AAAACTACCATGGTTATTTATCATTAAACCATCAATATCATATGGTAATTATTAAACTACCATGGTTATTTATCATTATTTAACCATATAATCTGGGTAAATTATAATATTTCACTAACCTGAATTGTTGGGCCATTTGGGGATGATTTCCCTCAAATTAACCATGACTACCAGGGCTCGGTCGCAGTGAGGTCGTTATAATTTACCCAGATATAACAACCATCGTTAATAACCATGGCCTTAAACAACCCCAGGTTCCTTGATGGTTCACCATGGCGCCGCAATGGCCTTGTTCGGCGTGAAGGGGGCCTGAAGCTTCGGCGAAAAAAGGGCTTGCCGCTTAACAGCAGGCGTTTCTTAGCCCAGGTTCCACTCATGGAAAAAATAAATAACCATAGGTTGTTAGCTAATGTTGTTCATATGGCTATATAAGTTAATCATTGAACTAAATTATGGGAAAAACAAAAACTCCAAATACCCTTTAGTTCCATAATTTACTTGTCAAAATTGAGTCAAAATCATTCAAAATCCATAGCTCAGTTAAAAAATGTCGGAGGGATCCAGAGGCTTAGCCACGACAATCCAGGACGTTGGTGGAAAGGCAGGATTTGAATTGAATGGATATACTATAGATATATACTATACTATGGATATACTATGGATATACTATCTACTCTATTCCTCCATGTTGATCAATATTCATCAACATTTAGCCGTGCAGAACATTTTTCACATCTAGTCATCCACAAGTTGCTTTACCACGTTCATCTGTTTTATGAATAGGTCAGCAACATACGGGAGCCATGGAACATAGCCTTACATAGTTGGTAATTTTCAATGGCTATCATCTGGTTATTTAACATAGTCATGGAAAATCCCTAAAATCATGGAGGTTTTAATGGGAAAATCAACCATTTTCCATGGCTTTGTTAGTCATAACCAGAGGGTACATTAAGTCACGAAAGGCTGGGTCTGGGTCAAGACTCGGGGGACCGAATTCGCCGTCCATTTGGATTGGGGTATCCAGTTGAAGGATCCATAGCCAAATAGCCTCTGGTGATGAAAAACATAGGAAGAGTACGCAATTCTAGATGATTGACCTTCTATATCGATGGCTATTTTCCATGGCTATGTTGAATTACCAAAGGGTATATCTATAACAGTGCCCTGTAGTTATAAGTTGGTTCATTCACCCACCTACAAGATCCTACAAATAAATTATCACATATTATTACCATAAAGGCAACAATTTTCGCACCCCGTAGGTTTTGCTTACCAAACTTCGCTAAGAACCGAGAACACCCTGCAGCTGCCCCGCTGAGCACCAAACCCAAAGTCCTCCTCCTGGCAGGCCAAGTCATCCAAGTCATCACTAGTTGCCCGAAATGCCGCAACAAGTTTATACAACATGGTATCCTCCAACAGGCATCACATGTTACATAGCAAATACTGTTGGAGGACACTATATTTATGCATTATACCATGTTATGTTACAACTGTTACAACTAGTTTATACCTGGCAGGCAATGCATCACAAATATAGCCCTTTTTTGCCAGTTGTACATATGATATATATATATATAACCATTACTCGTTTATAGTATAGTCATATTAATATAATATATATGTATAATATAACCAACTAGTTACAGGAATTATTTCATCGCACTTACAATTCTTTTTTAGGGCCCTGCAGGGGATCCTGTGGGGAAATCTGAAGTGCCACAGTGCAGACTCCCAAAAGCTGCCATGGTCCAAACATGGGACTCATGAGGGTCGTTTATCTCAAAACATGGAATCCTTACCCATAGGATCCATGTATGGTATATATGGTAACATTGGGGGTATATTGATGGTAAATGTTACCATATATAGCATACATGGATCCTATGGGTTATGAAAGCCGCAGCTTGATTCACTTGATTCACTTGATGGTCATCCGGAAAAGCAACGCAAGACCATGGCAAACATAATTACGTGGGCAGTAGAGTCCTGCAAGAATACCATCAGCAATCTATTTCGGCCAAATAAATTGAGGAATATCCACTAGTGTGAAATATGCTTCCCGACAATATGGTGCATCCAATGAATCAAATAAAGGTGACATAAACATCAATAAAGCCATTTTAAATTCCATTAAATTCCAATATAAGCCACTATTTTCATTGCAGATGGCGTTGCTACCACCCATTTCTGGTAAGTGAAGGGGGGCAAAAACCGCCCTCTATGGCCCCACCTCATGATCCATGGCTAAGCTGGCTAAGCTGGTGGCTTTTCGGTGTTTCTTTTGGGGGTCATCAAAGATGATCCTTCACCCTATATATTGTTTAGTTATGTTTCGTATTGTTTAGTTATGTTGATGCCCTAAACTTTAATTTAGATTTGTTTGGTATTTAGGGATGGAACATGAAAAGGAATTGAAACATGTTGAAACCGCCAACTGAGACGCAATGGAGTGCAGCAGTTGGTGCTTGGGGCCCCAGCCCCCTAGCCCCCTAGCCCAGTTCAGAGCACTCCCAACGGTTGCAACGTCACTACTCGCCGGCTTCCCCAAAATGGCAATCATCAAACATGTTTTTTTACCGATTTGCCACTTAATCCTAAATGTGAAACTGGTTTTGCGAAGTGTCAGAAAGGAAAAGTTGGCACCTTAATAATCAAACAGTGATCGAACATATTTTTTGTGGCGACCTTCTGAATGCTAATTGGATTCGTGGAGCCTGTGCATTTAATCCCACATGGATATCCAGGGTTGGAGTGTTCAACTTGAGCCGGAAGCAGCAAATAAAGGGCCATGGCTACATGTGGCGGTTTTGACCTGCTGCACTAGTGGGACAGCCTCATGCAACGGTCCCTAATTAGAGGCCTCCTGTAATCAGTTTCAACTAGTTCTGGGTCTGCAAGCATCGCAACTTAACTCTTTCTTATCATATGCTGTTTCTTCTCCTGCAAAAAAAAACAGACAACTGTTTTCAACAATTCAGTACCATCTCAATATCTCAACAATGTGAGGGGAAAGAATCATTTTGGAAATGAAGAAAGTATCCAGGGGCACAGGGCACGAATCGGTGCACCACATCACGCCTGGGGGCCAAGCACCGCCAAACTGACTGGTGGTTCCCATGTGTCAGCTGAGTTCTACTACCAAAAACCTTCGGACAGTTGAGTACACTGGATTGCCAACTTGTACTCAAAAATCCCAATGCTACCCATCAAGTGCAGTAAAAAACAACTGCTTGGCGTGATTACCTTCAGCAATGGTCTGTGGAAAGCTAGTGGCTAGCAAAAGCTGGAAAGAAGAGGCCCTGGCGCCCTTGGCTTTTCTTGGCGGACTAACTTTGACGCCCAAAACGATTTTGGCTTTTGGTTTCGGCTTCGACTTTTGCAACTGACCCAAACCACAAAGAAGCAGGAGCAGAGACCTGCTGGTGCTGATTCTGCTCACTGTGGACTTTCGTGATCGTTTTCTGTTTTTATGCTTTTTACGTATACAGACTGTAAATGACAATATATGAACATAAGGATATATATATATATTAGATAGATAGATAGATAGATAGATAGATATATAGATAGAAAGATAGATAGATAGATAGATAGATAGATATATATGTATATATATACATATTAGATAGATAGATAGATAGATAGATAGATAGATAGATAGATAGATAGATAGATAGCAAATGACCTACGGCATAAATTTCTGCCAGCAGCACCATCATCAAGGTTTCTGCGGTCGCTCAAATGGTGACTAGCAAGTCTTGACATGCCTGTACAATGGATACGAGTCGGAGGAAATCCTATACTCTGTACTCTGTAATCGAAAAAAAACAATGGCCAAGGTGGGCAAATCCAGTTTTGGCCATAACAAAGCCCTGTTCACTCATATGATATGCCAAAAACTGGAGGGATGAGTGGGTGTGTCCAAACTTCGCTTCATCAACTCAAAACAGTCGGTTAAGAAATTGATGTTTCTTGAGGGGCACCGCAAAATAATCCATGTTATCTTCGGATGAAATAAACCATCCAGCTATTGAGGTACCATGACTATGGAAACCTCCATATAAGTCAGTTATCATCACATTGATGTGGTTTATAACCCCATTTATATCCATGTACAACTGGTACCCTCTGGTAAACTAACATAGCTATGGAAAATGGACCATTTAGTTCGATGATTTACCTACTAGAAATGGTGTTTTTCCATAGCTTTCTGTATGTTTACCAGATGGTAAAGGGCCACCGTTGGTAACCACTTTCCAACCTTCCCTATGCCACTTTCTACTGTTCTATGTCCGACGGTCCAAACAAATGCAAAACCTCTACTTACAAAAAAAATATGTTGATTGATATTGGATCCATATCCATTATTACATATTATTATTATTACCATGCTGCAATACCATGCAATACCATGCAATACCATGCAATACCATCCAACAAGGGGATTGAAAGTCCACTTGCTAGCGAGTTTGGTGTTCACTGGGCAGGATTGACCCATCATTCCATGGGTAAAATGACTTACGATACTATCATGAAGCATTGCCAAATGGTGGTCAAAACCATGGTACCCAGTTGGTACCCTAAACTAGCTGGTTTTGTTGCATGGTTATTCCCCCATTCACATGCTAATATATAATTAATATGTAATAATAGGTCTTGACCCAGCTCCAACTGGATGATTAATGGATGTCATGCTTTGGATTCTCCTCCTACAACTGCCATCTGATGTCAAGGCACTTCACGCGCCGGCGCATTCTGCGACGACGACGACTCAGAACTGTACCGCGCAGTGTCAAGTGGCGCGCAGCTGCTCGACATGGGGAGGTTGATCAAAAATGACGTCAACTCCGTCAAACATGTGGGAAAATGAGGTATACCAGTGTATACCAGTACACCATTGAACCATACCCAGAAAATGGCAATTCTAACTGGTTTGACAACAAGACCAAAAACCATCAAAAAACCAGTTAACATTGGTTTATAGATGGTTTATAGCTGTTTTTTCCCACAACAAATCGGAGAAACCCATGTGTCACATGTCTCCATGCACCGATCGATCTATTCCACTCCGTACCTGGACTGCGATGTCATGCGAAGATCCTGTCGCGAGCGATCTGGGACGAGACGACCGACTCGACCACTTTTTGTATCATTCAATGTACCATCTGGTTATGACTAACATAGCTATGGAAAATCCCCATTAAAAACATGTTTAATGGGAAAATCCATTATAAATGGCCATTTTCAATAGCTATGTTAGTTTACCAGAGGGTACCATCTGGTTATTTAACAGTTCGCCATGGAAAATTACTATGTTTAAGAACGGTAAACCCAGGTAAACCATCTATTTCTATGGGCAATTGTTCCCATAGCTATGTTAAAAAACCAGAGGGTATGTTTTTTACCTATATGTCTTACTACACTTTTACCATTTGCTGGTTGGTGGTTTCAACCCCTCTGAAAAATATTAGTCAGTTGGGATGATTCTTCCCAATATATGGAAAAATAAAAGCCATGTTCCAAACCACCAACCAGATTTAAGTAAAAAAAGGGGTATACCTAGATGTATTTTAAGTGATGCTCATTTTGCCACTTGTTGCCTTTCGTTCATCGTCATGTTTTCTTAAACATTTCAAGTTATCACATATCATTCGACAACAATCCGTACCATAGGCCATGGCAAGTGGATCAGAGGGCATAAAAATGAGATGTAGACATGTAGAATTCGATATACCCGCCTTTATATTGCAAAGAACAAAGCCCATCTGCAAAAACATCGGGTAATACACATCTATGAGATCGATTAATCCGGTTGAATCCGGTTGGTGCCAATATATTGAGTCTACTTGTCGGCCATGACAAGGGTGGAGAAGTTCCAAACAAATCCTCGAGTCCAGCAAAATGGTCATTTTTGAATATCTAAGTGGTTTCAAATAGAGACCTGCGAAAGAACTGGTGTGAAATCATTTTATATCATCGTGGATTCTTTTCTTGGATAAATTCATGCAATGTGCGGCCCCCCAGTTATAAAACGGTTTCTAAACCCCATGAATACGATATATCTGCGGATCAGAAACATTCATAAACCAGAAATTCTTGGAGTTATTTGCACCAACTTAGCGATTTCCGAGGCGGAGGCCCCACTTAGACTTTTGAATTCCCCAACAGGCCCCAACATCTATGGTGACCTCCCCCTTCACCTCCTGAACACAGCTCCAGGTCGACGCGACTTCGACTTGTCACTCAAATGTCCTCAATTGAATCAGCTGGGAATCGAAGCATCATACAGATTATGTACTATATGGAATCTTGATATACCATGGAATATTGATATGTTACTAATGTTACTATGATTTTTTGTATGATTTTTTCTGGGGTTCACCCTGGCTGCCACTTAAACCTGCCATTTGGGGCTAGTTATTTTGCGCCCTTTTACGGCACCACATTTGGGGGAATTATGTAACTAAACAACCACTTGCTCATCTAGAAGCACACCAAAAAAACAACCATATTCCGTAGTTCGATTCCCCAGTCTTTTCGTGGAGTTCCCAGCGGATCCAGGTTTGATGGATGGGAGGTTGGACCAAACTTTGCCATTGAATCGTAAGATATGCGATATAACTTTCACCATTCGATGGAACAAGTACGGTACCTTCAAACAACTATAACAAAACCCTTTAGATTCGAACCATACCCGTCCAATCCCATGATATTCCCATGACATCACCATGACATCTCCATAAAGTTTACGCCTTCAAAAGTCTTGCTACGACTGAACATATCTTGACCCATCCATGGCCCTGATTTTTTGTTTCAGTTCAAGGTGTCCATCTGGAAAAGTTTACATTTCATGTATAGTTTCGGGGTTACCCTCTGGTAATCTAACATAGAAAATCACCATGTCGTATAAGTAAATCAACTATTTCTATGGCAATTTTCAACAGCTATGTTAAATTACCAGAGGGTAATTTAGTTGGGATGTTTCTAGAAAAATATTGGATTTCGAAGCACAGTCGGAACACTTAAAACCCCAATCCTTGAGGATGGTCTCCGACTTGACCCGTACCCATCGATTGTTCGGGTAGCCCGGCTTTGTTAGCCCGTGAATTCCTGTTATCTCAGGATATTCCAAATATATTCTGATTATATACCCCTGCCTTGACCAGAAAGAAAACTTTGAAAATAAAGGCTTCGCTGGAAACTGGATGCTTTTGAAAAAAACGAGTTGTTGCTCTTTTGGTTTCAGCCCATGAAAAATCAAAGTGTGGTGGATTTCGTTGTCATCTCTGGTTCACGATGCTCCCTCACGGACCATGCAAACATTGGCTGCCATGCCGACTAAAACCATCAACAAAAACAATGAGTTGATACGGGCAAATATGGGTTTAGTCCGGGCTCAGTATGGGTTCAAGGTTTATGCCAAAAATTATGGGTTAGTACGCGTAAAGTATGGGTTCAGTACGGTTTCAGTATGGGGTTAAGTTGGCACCTTTTTTTCTGCACAAGAATCCTTCCTCCGCGCAATTTCGTTCTGCAAGAGGCCATCCGTGCAGATTATATATAGTTGTTCCCATCATCTTGATGTTCACCCTTTGCTTTGAATTGCGGGGTTCAAACCAAAATCGAATGTTTTCAACAGAAACCCGAGGTTTTAAACCATGGAAAATCTTGAAAGGTCTTGGCGGTGCAGGTACCCATGATATTCCCAATGCATCCCGCTACATCCCATGAATTTCCCATGGTATTCTTATCCTAGCCCAATAGATACCATTAATATCCCTCATATCCAATAAAACATTTCCATCCGTCCTGCCAAAAGCTTCCATGATGTCCATTAAATCCTGTAAAATCCCCATTAAACCGTTACTTCCCATGATGTTCCCATGACATTTCAATGATATCTCACTGATGTCTCCCTTAAATCACCATGAAATCCCACGAAATCCGATGAACTCACCATTAAATGATGACATTCCTATCATATTCCCATTTAATCACCATTCATTCCCCTTAAATCACCAGGAAATCATGAAATCCTCATGAAACCCCCATGAAATCTAGAAAATTCCCATCAGATCAATCAGATCAATCAGATCCGCTGCTGGGCGTCGCTTGAACTCTTTGCTCTGAAGATCAAAGGCGAGGTCGAAGTCTTCCGTCTCCAACGTCTCCAGCGCCTCCACTCCCTGGGGCCATGGCCAAGACATGGGGGTGGATGAAAAACCGGGATTTTCCCATAAGTGGGGCACCCAAACAAGAAGTTGCCAAAGATAACTCTATGGTTATGTATATATATATGTATATATATATGTATATATATATACACAATTATACACATGTTCTTTTAATGGAAACATACGCCAAGAGGAACACTGGCGGTATGTATAGTACATTGCGGGAAACCGCCATAAACCATCGCAATGACCATTCATGGCTGGGGTTCATTTTACAATTCCTTCAGGGTTTATATACCCAATTTTTAATTAACCTCCATTGGGGTTACCCTCTGGTAAACTAACAGTTTGCTATTGTAAATGGTAAATGGCCATGAAAATAGTTGATTTACCCATAAAACATCATGATTTTCCATAGTTATGTTAGTTTACCAGAGGATAGTTTATTATTTGGTTTACCACATTGATTTGTTTTTTAGATGGGCATACATCCCATCCATTAGGAACATTGGTGTGCTAGAGTGTATATATATATAAATGCAATAGACGGTAACATGTTGAAATAGGATCTGCTATATGTGGTAGGATTATTTGTAATATAATGCAATTATATATAAACATACACATATAAAAAAATGTATTTAAATAAATATATACATATATATATATATCTTTATATACATAATATATATATATGCATACACATATAAAAGTGTATTTAAATAAATATAAATATATATATATATGCATAAAATATTTATACACTGTATCACAACGTATTGTATATTCCCCAATGGCAATCCACCTATGGCAATCCGCCTATGGCAATCCGCCTATGGGTCAACCAGAAAGTAGCATGACAGCAGAGCGCTCGGAACTCATGGAGTGACGCTGTTGACATGTTGCATGTTGTCAACCACGGATTAATAAACCAGGGTTTGATTGATATGATACTTAAATACTTAAATACCTAAATCATGAGAAATGGTCAACTAATACCAATTGAGTTGAGACATGTATTCCGCCAATAGTCATGATTTGATACTTTTTTTTGCTACCTTTCCAATTAGGCTCAGCCGGCCGTTTGGGTTTTATTCATACAGGGTTGACATTGTAACACGTGTTACAGTTGGGAAGCCATGTGATTCCCCACATATGGATGGGACAGCTGGGACAAGGCAATGTTCTCCGTCCATGTGAATGACTCAAAATGCTGACTACTACCCCACACGAAAAAATGTATATATAAATATATATTGTTAGATTATTATATTATGATATTATGATATTATTAAATGAAATTATTATATCATTATAGCATTATATTATTATATTGTTATATAATCATATTATTATAGTAGTATATAAACAAAATGTATTGTTATATCATTAAATAACATATTAAACATGAAATATGATATATTATGTATTTTTAGTATTATATCTAATATATTATATTAAAAATTAAATTATATAAAATAGAATTTAATATTAAATTATATAATATGTTACATTACATTATGTTATATGTTAAATATTATATGTAATGCCTACTATATAATTAAAAAATGTATTTTATATTACATATGTATTATATAATGTTAAAAAACTATATATTATAAGTAATGTATAATATTAAAACAATGTATTATATTAAAACTGAAATAGTTTATATTATATATTTTATTTTAAATCTTCAATATTATATACTATATTGTTATTATTACATATATAGTTAACATTAAATATTATAAAATAAATACTATATATTATTATCGTATATATGATACAATATACATTATATGTTATATATTAGATGTTATGTATTACATATAAAATATTATATTAAAACATATTAATTATTATATATTGTATATAATACTTTATATATTAGATATTATTTATTGAAAATGAAATATTGTTTATCATATAATGATAAATTACAAATCGCATATCATGTTTTATTTGATTTTTATATTATTTTATGTTATATTAATATATGCATATTGAAATGTAACTCAAAACATACAGTCTATACATGCATAGGTGACAACCTCAATGCAGGCGTGCTGTTGCAAGAACATCCGAAGGAACGCTGAATCATTCTGGGGTTGCAACTCGGAAAGTATCGTCTATATCTATATCTGTATCTATTTAATACGTACATATAAAATCATCTATGTATAATATATATATATATATTAATTATAATATATGTATAAATATTAATTATACATATCTTATGAATATATACATTTACTATGAACATATTTACATATATTATGAATATGTATATATATATATACATACGTACATATATGTATACATATACATATATATATATACATACGTACATATATGTATACATATACATATATATATATACATACGTACATATATGTATACATATACATATATATATATACACATCATATATGCATACTTCTTGTCCTTTCTCTCAGAGATCTGTGGCTTACGGCGAAGTTCACCGACTCAAGTTCCGATCCGCCTGGAGGTCCAAAACCTCTGTCACTTGCGGATAGGGACTGAACTCAGAAACTTCAGGACCTGACGGACCTGCGGATTGGCACGGCCTGGAAAACCATGGAAAACATCGATCATATCTTCCTGTTGCTTGGGAAACCAGCATCGAAATAGCCATTTCTGGCCATTTATTAGATGTGGTTTTCTACCTGTTTTTCTTGTTTAACTGGCCATGTGGTTGGGAAACTCTGAGACGTCTTAGCTGCAACTGGCTCCCATTTCCTCATGGTTTTCTAGGGAATATGGAGAGCAAGAGCTCCGAACCACTTCCTCTCAACCACTTTTAGACAATGATATATGTTGTTTGTTTCTGTGGGAATGTCAGATGCAAACATGGAGATCACTGGCAGTTGTTGGTAAATCTAAACCAATAAATATTGCGGGTATTGGGTGCAGGGGCGTGTCCCTGGAATGGTTGTGCAGTTGGGTCTACCATCCCCCAAAATTCACGCAGACCTTGCGAAATAGGGGGGTTGAGAACTACAGCCTATGGCCCAACTAACAGTTTTAAATGGGTTTATAATGATGTATAACCCTAGTTGTAAGAGCCAAACAATTCCATTTATATTCGTAGTTGGGCCATAACTGCACACAGAAATGCATAAAAGCAGAGCCATGAATCCTTCCCGAAGGTTTATCCCAAGGTTTAATCGGGATTTCTGTACTGGTTTCAACTTCAAAAGATCATACCATGAACAAAAGAATTGACCTGTACACAAGCATCATGCATCAAATAGAGAAAATGACCCATGACTGGCCCATTGCTATGCCAGGATATGCGTGGCGTTGTGGGAAAATGTAGTCCCATGAAATTGCAATCTTCATAGGGAAAATGCTGATAAAGTTTATCAAGCTCTAGGGGTCAGACGGCTTTCCCCCCCAAAAAAAGCCATCATTTACCACTATAGGGCCCCACCCCAACAAAAATGAAAATGTGATATCCTACTAAAAATATAATATAATGATAAATGACTTTTTACACCATGGATGGAAGTCTTTTACATCATTTTCTCCAAAACGATGGAACAAACATAAGATCCAACTAAGATATGTGTTAATGACTTTTGCTATAAGTACCATGATAGCTGAAAATTACACAAAATTACTACACTTACTTTCATGGGATACTAACTCCACGGAATGGAATAACCACGCATGAAGGGTTGTCATACGGATATTATTCTACCAATAATAGGTTACCATCATTGACAATAATAATCCCTACCAAGCTCTAGCAAATGTTACGAGTGCTATGAGAAATGCTCTTATTACTATATCATTGGAAGGTAAAACCTATAGCAAGTTTTAGTAATACATAATGGTTTGGGGGCCTACAGGAAGGGCCCCCCTTCCTGTGAGTTGGTTTAAAACCCCATCCACGTATAACTAGTTCTGTCACCTATAAACCCACAATCATACGTTAGGCAAGTATTGTGCGTCAATTTAGTTTCAATGTGGGGCCCCTTCCTGTACTAAGTTGGTTTATAAACCCCGTGAATACTCTAGTTATATGTGCCACAAAGCATAGCAAACTTGGAGTTCTTTGCACCAACTTAGCTATCATAAATCCGCTACAAGTTTCATCAAATCCACCAATTTTCTGGATGATACCCCCCATTTTCCGATTGTTTTCCTACTTGGGGGTGGCCCCTCTTAGAAAATGGGTTAAACCCCCAGTTACATATGGAATCTCCCCACTTGTATATCTCTTTTATTCGGATCAACCGCTTACGGCCAAAGTGGGACAAAAGCGCATCCAAGTATGGCCATGATGATGAATATGGCCTTCCGAAATAGCAAGTTTAGTAACGATTACCCTCTGGTAATTTAACATAGCTATTGAAAATCACCATTTTTCATGGGAAAATCCACTATTTCTATGGCCATTTTCAATAGCTATTTTGACATAACCAGAGGGTAGATTGCCTACAGGTCCCTACATAAAAATTCATGCCATCCCTCACCTTTGGTGGCTGACCAGCTGTGGTCGCTGCGCTCCAGCGCCTGCCTGGATCGCTGGAAAAAAACTGTGTTTTTTTACCGGGAAAAACGATGGGAACAGATGAATGGAAAAAAACATACCCTCTGGTTATGTCAAAATAGCTATTGAAAATGGCCATTTATAGTGAGTTTTCCCATTATATGCTATAACCCATAGGATCCATGGTGCTGCCATATATGGTGCTCCATGAATCCCATCAATATACCCCCTTTATGTTAGCATATATACCAGCACCATGGATCCGTCATGGGTAAGTAAACATCATGTGGAACGTATGAGAAAATCAGGGGAAAAACATTGAAAGACCATGAGAAAATCATGGGAAAGGCATTGGAAAATAGAAGAAAATCATGAGAGAATCATTGGGAAATCACGGGAAACGATGGAAAATATGGAACAAATCAGCGATTTTTACAGGCATTTTTTTATATTGGAATTGTCCAGCTAGCAATGTTTGATGGAAAATTCAATTTCATAGGTTCAACAACCTTTGTTTCGCTGTTTTTGATGTTCCTTTGTTGTCTGTGTGGTTGTTTGGTTGGTTGTTTGCAGTCGCTGAACAAAGGAACATAATATGTTTCAGGAACCCCCCCCGAGCAAGGCAATCTACCCTCTGGTTATTTAACATAGCCATGGGAAATGGCCCATAGAAATAGATGGTTTACCTATTGAAAATGGTGGATCTTTCCATGGCTATGTTAAATAACCAGATGGTAACTAAGTGGATGGTGGATGATGGTTTTATGATGCTGGGAAAATCAAACCATCTTGAAAAATATTAGTCAATGGGCAGGATTATCCCATATGTTATGGGAACTACCAAATATTTGAAACCACCAACCAGTAATTCTTGGAACACTGATTCTTCGATGAATTTCCATCCGTTGTAGCATGGCAGACACCAGTTCCATGACTTTCGCGAATCTCATGGCTCTCTTGTAATCTTTGTGGCCCAATCAAGAACCAATTCCACATCACCGGGTATTTTTCGATCGTATGTCTATAAGATATACAGAAATCACAATCAGTATTCGTAGTTACTGTTGTTAATGTCAACCCCGGATTTTGCTAAACCATGATTAGTCATTTCATCTGACACATTTTTTCTCATGGTACCCTCCCAAAAAACGGCTCAGCCGGGCGTTCGGGGTTTATGAATCCAGGGTTGACATTAATGGTTAGTAATGGTTTTCCAACATCAGCACTGGATAGTAATGGTTAGTAATGCATAGGAACGAATAGTCATGGTTTGTAATGAGTAATGGTCATATCCATGGCTAGTAGTCATGGTTATAGGAGACCCTTTAGAATCATACCCAAACACGACTTCTTCATCTTCCAATCAGCCCATCTTTTGCGCCTAAAGCCGCTGGAGGAGGCCTTCAGAGTGGTCACCACAAAGTGCACGCGCAGCGACTTCGAGTGGCGAACCCCGCACTTCTCCATGGAACCCAAAAACTTCACCACGTCCTCCCACCTCAGTGGAGATTCTGACGGGATATGATGGGAGAATGGTGTTCAGATGTATGTATGTATGTATGTATATATATATATAGTGTATACATGTATAAATAATGTCTATTTCAAAGGATGTTTGACCGGGTTGAATTTCCACAGGCGCTCTCCTGACCATTTTGTTGACTTTTGTGGATGTTCCCAGCCAGCCAAATAGTGGGAGTTGTGGGCTGCCCGGGTTGACATGTGTTGAAACTAGCCAATCTCATGTTATAAATAATCCGGATACCTGGAAATGGATCTCTAAATATATATATATGGTTATATAATATATACAGTATATATATATATGCTCTATATATGTATATACCTATATTGTTATATTATGTTATATTCAATATATACTTATCTTTCATAAACCTACTACTGGATTCATGGAGATTGGTTTTACTGGTTGGTTTATGACAGGATTGGTAGTGGACATGCTGCGATTGTGGTTGGTGGATTAAGCGATCTGAGAATATTTGGGACCCAAACAACCAATGTTTTAGTGAAACCATCAAATAGTAATCACCATCAATAATGTGTATATGTCATCTGGCGCAACTACAATAGTGTTGACACCGAAAAGATCTGAAAGCTGTTGCCATTGAGGGATGCCCCGTAAAACATCCAGGAACGTCACAGTTGGTGAAAAAAAAATGTATTAGTCAACCAAAAGTTGTACAGTTAAATGTCACAAGAGTGTTTCATTCAAAGAATCACATATCATCACATATATACTGGTTGGTGGTTTTAACCATCTTGAAAAATATGAAAGTCAATGGGAAGGATTATCCCATATATTATGGAAAATAAAAAATGTCTGAAACCACCAACCAGATATATATATATATATATATATATGATTATAATCACATATTTTTGATCAGCACAACCCCCGTTCACCACGAAGCGAAGCGAAGCCAAGACACTGAGGATCAAAGGGACACAGCAGTGCTTCAAGCCCTTCCGGGGGATACTGCTTTCCCTGGGAGAGCTTGAAACATTGATTGGCTGTGCCAATGAAAAAAAGCACATGTATAATATATTGTATACTGTAATGTGCTTATATATATACACATTAATATGCGTGCATAAATATAATTATGTATACATAATATATATATATATATATATGGTCAATTACATATATTAACATATAATTACATAATATGTATGATGTCCTTATTCATGCATTTGTTTACCACGATCTTTGGGATTGATGAATTTCCGAAACCACCATAAACACATGTTGAAACCACTCAAAAAAGGCAAACACACCTGTGGATACGAGCACGAAGCCATGTTCATCAGGAAGAAAACCAGGGCTGCAATTCCAAGAAAACGCTGCAGGATAACTATCGGGTTGACCCGAGAAAACTTGCAGAAAAAATCATGAACAAAAAAAGCTTCCAACTTCCAAATCGGATTTATTCCTCCAAACTGGCGAAACAAATCACACATGAAACCCACAACCCACCATTCGCCAGTTATGCAGTTATCTCATCATCACAGGCACTTGATTCATTTGATGGTACTTGTAAGGGGTCAAACAAAATACAGTTTGAAAGAAACAATCAGTCAATATCAGTCATATGGGTACTATATCGCTGATGTTATATCATTCAAACCAACAAATCCATGAACCCATCAACAATCTGAGATACTGGTAACCCATCATGACTTGAGCGAGTCGTAGCCATGTCCACCAGCAAAGTCCAAACCATTGAGAAAGTTCCTGGTGAAATCCCTGTTTTCTCCCTGGGTAAATCCACATGTTGTTTTTTTTTTCCTCGGAACATTAGGCTTCCAAAGCATCCTGGTTGGTGGTATACCTACCCCTCTGAAAAATGATGGAGTGAAAGTCAATTGGGAAAATGATTCCCAATATATGGAAAAATAAAGAATGTTCCAAACCTCCAACCAGCATCAAATTTGGCTGGATGATCTGGATTCCCCCGAAAAAAGACTCGGCTAAGCCACATGCCTGTTGCTTCATCAAGCTACAATTGGGCGACCCTCAGGTTCATGATCACCCACCGAACTATGGTAATGATCACCATAAACCGAACTTAGTCAGTTGAAGAATCCAGCATGGCTAGCTGACAAAAACACCAATTCTGGTTTTCCCATTACCTGGTTTTCCCTGGGATTTTTTTTTTAGCTGAACAAAACCCAAACACTTCAGATGTTCCGGATCTTTGGATCGCCCAGTTTCTGAAGATTTTCCCATGGAAGCAGCCGGTTTTTAAAACAGCAGCGCCCAGTTTCAAGGTACCAGCAACTTGGAAATGAAGGTCGTCGCCTTGTGGAGTTGTTCAAAGGCCTCCTTAGGCCGAGCTCGTGGCTGATGGTGTCCTTGTTTTTACTTGATCATGAAAACCATTCTAAGTAGAGAAAACAAAGGAAAACGACAAATATAAATATACAGAATATATATGTATATATATATATATATGATTTGAACTTAAAGATGTGTGCGTGTGAAACATAGTTTTTTTGAACACTGACGAACCAGTTGTTTTGTAATCAACAACACCGGAAGTCACCAATAATTCATGAATCAATGGAACAACAACATCCCACAAACAAACCAATTCTGATGACCCTCAATTCAAGAAAAAAACGCCCAAAACTCAAAGGGCTTCAAACTTGCGTACCAACTTCAAATGGGATATATATATATATAGAGCTATCATTAATGCTATGTGCTTTGGAAACTCTGAAATATAATAGATCTCCGAGTGTCTGTGGCCTCATCCAACCCGCTGCTTTGAAAATCGCTCGGGAAGGCGTACCCAAACTTCGCCATACCTCAGCAACAGATCAACAGTTCCCAAGCCATGGTTTGAGTTTTGCTACAGATTTCTGGCCCGAAATAGCAGTTGAAAGTCGTTGAGATCACCATTGAATTGATGGTTCATGAACTGCCTATTTGTAACCATTTTGTAAGTGGTAAAGAAAGGGCTTCAACTTGTAAGTTTTTATGGTTTTTATCCTCCTCAGCATCCCTCCAGGCCGAAACAGCCAAATGATCCAAAGAACTTTGTATTTGTATCAATGATACGCAGGTTTGTGGGAGGTGTCCACATTGCCATGCTAGATTTCCAAAAGAGAGAGAGAGAGATATATATACATATAAATGCTGTTTGTCCAGAGAGGACCAAAGTCGATGTCATCCAGATTTAAGTACGTTTCAGCGGGAAAATGACGTAACCATGATATACATTGATATAACCATGATATACATTGATATAACATGATCCCCATGATTTTCCAATGATCACAGAAAACCCCTCATTTCTGTGGGCTGAAACAAACCAGTTCTTTGTGGTTTGACTCAATGGGAACCAAACGGTTCCATCTACAATCAACTGATGGGTATTAAAAGAGCTTGAAATTTAAGCCCTACCCTCTGTTAACGATTCGATATGTAATATGATAATATGATATGATATATATCATACAAAACTTACCAGAAAATTCCCCATCCCTCTGTGCGCATCTGCTCGCGCTGGCCAGCTCTGGCACCTGAACTTTTGATTTTTCTTCTCATCACCGGGGAAAAAATATGGGTCTCCTACGTGGACTTACAGCAACTCCAAAATTGTTCGTCTCAAACTGGTCCCATTCGGCAGCCTCATCGACGCACCGCTGGAAAAAATCTCAGCTGCTCCACCGAGAGCGAATCTTGACCATATAACCTTTTAGGGGGTGGCAGAAAAGCCTTCAAATGACCGGCTTCGTTGTTAGATTTTATCAGAGCTGTTGTCCTCCTCCTCCTCCTTCTCCTCCTCCGCCTCCTCCTCCAGTTTTTCCTCGACCATGTCTGCATCAACTTCCACCTCCACTTCCGCCTTGCCAACTCTTCGCCAAGCTCTTCGCCAACTTCCGAGCTCAGTGCGCACTGCTGGACCTCAACCTGGGACCTTCCCAGCTCAGTGCGCACTGCTGGACCTCAACCTGGGACCTTCCCAGCTCAGTGCGCACCCCTGGACCTCAACCTGGGACCTTCCCAGCTCAGTGCGCACTGCTGGACCTCAACCTGGGACCTTCCCAGCTCAGTGCGCACCGCTGGGCCTCAACCTGGGAGCTGCCGAGCTCAGTGCGCACCGCTGGACCTCAACCTGGGGCCTTCCGAGCTCAGTGCGCACCCCTGGACCTCAAAAGCCAGATAGAATGCCAGAAGATATGCCAGAACATATGCCAGAAGATATGCCAGGTAGAATGCCAGAAGATATGCCAGATAGAATGCCAGAAGATATGCCAGAAAAAATGCCAGAAGATATGCCAGATAGAATGCCAGAAGATATGCCAGATAGAATGTCAGATAGATTGCCAGAAGATATGCCAGATAAAGTGCCAGAATGTTTGCCAGATAGAACGCCAGATAGAATGCCAGAAGATATGCCAGAAAAAATGCCAGAAGATATGCCAGATAGAATGCCAGAAGATATGCCAGATAGAATGTCAGATAGATTGCCAGAAGGCATGCCAGATAAAGTGCCAGAATGTTTGCCAGATAGAACGCCAGAAGATTTGCCAGATAGAATGTCAGAAGATATGCCAGAAGATATGTCAGATAGAGTGCCAGAAGATATGCCAGAAGATATTGCAGAAGATATGCCAGGTAGAATGCCAGAAGATATGCCAGATAGAATGCCAGAAGATATGCCAGATAAAATGCCAGAAGATATGTCACATAGAATGCCAGAAGATTTGCCAGTAACAAAACGTATAGATGTCATGGTGGGGATATCTCGAACTAAAGTAAGTGATTCCTTTCAGTGTTTTTTTTAAAGTATTTTTCCTTAAAAAACGGGTCGAATATTTAGCTCTGGATCTACCACATGTGACCATGTTATTCCCCCGAATATGTCTATAAAAGTCCCATACAATGCCGATTCTTGATAGTTAAAACCATTTTCAGACAGAACAGAAGAATATATCATATTGTTGCTTACTGTTGCTTGTATATCTCATTAAAATTAAATATTAAATATCCCATTGAATCACAGCCCATCCATGACTATGCGTCCCAAAGGCCAGCAATGGACTCTCGAATCTGCCGCAAGAAGTTCGCAGCGACATCGTCGGGAATCCGTGCGACACCCGGCCTGGTGACGCACGGAAAGTGCTGGCCAATGTTTGTCAGTGGAAAATATGCCCGCTGGTAAACTAACATAGTGTAATAACATAGCTATGGAAAATGGACCGTTGATAGGTGATTGACCTATTAAAGATTGTGATTTTTGCTATATGTAAACGTTGACCAGAGGGTAAACCGTTAAACCATATTGTAGGGGAAAAACAGAGTCTTCAAATAGCCAAAGTCTACCAAGTACATGGGAATAAAAGGGAACATTATGATCATGGAGATATTCTCTGTTCAACAGGGATACCCAAAGATGTTAGACTTATCATCAACTACAAGGTAATGCCCCAAGTTGAAGGTTGGTTTGTTATAAACCCCAATTAACTATATCTACAGATATGATATATCCCCATAAACCAAAGCTTTAGCATGGTTACGCACCAAACCACCCAACCAAAAGTCACAATTAAACAGCTCTGAACTTCCTGAAGCTCAGTTCCAGTCAGAAATGATGGCATTTTCTACCAGGATTTCTGGTGATTTCTGGCAGGTGGGGCATCAACCACAATCTCATCGGGGTCCAATCATCCCGCGATGGACACAGCAAAATCCTGAAATATGTTGACAACATCATGGTAGTTGGAGACAGCTGCCGCCCGAAGATTGCGCGCAGCTGCAGCATGCGCCCGCGCGCCAAACGCCATGACAGCACGGGTGTGAATTCTACGTTAACTTCAAGAGCTACCGGTCGGCTGCTCTCCTGAGAGCGAAACCTGTGTGTGGCCGAGTCAGGTTGGATCCTGTCGATCCGGATGGCGTATATGCCAATTTTTTTGAATCGTAGAAGCAATGTGACCAGAAATTGCGTGGTTCAAATCAGGATCACAGCTGTTGAGGTGCCACCCGAACCGACGTTGCAAAACATTCGGTGGGCAAGCCACGGGTGGAGGGTCGGCTTGACACTCCCACATGAGATGCTGCCAAGTACCCCTTTCGTTTTTGCACAGCGGACACGTATCTTCGCATCCGGGAACGTCTTCCATGTGAGGTCCATGAAATCTGGAAGCCGTAGAGAGAAATGAACCCATGAAGGCCGCACGGATAGCACCGTTGGCATCTAATTCTTTGCGACGTCCCCGAAGGCTTTCAAGAAGACTGGCTGCGTCAAGTAATACATGCTGATATGTATATGTGTATATATATATATGTGTATATAGATGTATATATATATATAATTATATAAAAATATACATACATTACATTACATTTCATTACATTTTGTTACGTTACGTTACGTTACGTGACATTACATACATATGCATGTATGCAAGTGATTGCAAGTGTATGTTTGGATGTAGCCAGATAGATAGACGGATAGATAGCTAGATTGATAACCACACAGATAGGTATGTTACACAACTTTATGTCCAAAATCCCCAACAAAAATCGCATGATGAGGTTCCTTGCATCGTCATTTCTGCATGGTTAACTTCTATCAAATCACCATATTTAATGGTCAAATCCCAATATGTAAATCACTATTGTTCATGGTTAAATCCCATTAAATCACTATTGTTCACGGTTAAACCCCATTAAAACACTATTGCTCATGGTCAAATCCCATTATATAAATCATTATTGTTCACGGTTAAATCCCATTAGATCACTATTGTTCACGGTTAAATCCCATTATATAAATCACTATTGTTCACGGTCAAATCCCATTATATCGCTATTGTTCATGGTTAAATCCCATTATATAAATCACTATTGTTCACGGTTAAATCCCATTAAATCACTATTGTTCATGGTTAAATCATTAAATCACTATTGTTCATGGTTGAATTCCATTAAATCACTATTGTTCACGGTTAAATCCCATTATGTAAATCACTATTGTTCATGGTTAAATCCCGTTATATAAATCACTATAGTTCACGGTTAAATCCCATTAAATCACCATTTTGTCATGGTTATCTCCTATGAAATCACCATTTTGTCATGGTTATCTCCTATGAAATCACCATTTGTCAATGCTTAAATCCCCATGATCAGGTCGCAACCATCGTCGTAGTCTCCCACGGTCCGGCGGCCTCCCAGGTGGAAAGGCGACGGCAGTCTTCAAGCGATCAGTGGCCGGTTTCAGGAGTTCCATCGAAGCATCTGAGCCGCTGAGACCCTGAAGCTTAGACTATGTATATATCAATGGGAATCTATGGTTAATATATGGTTAATATATGGATAATCTATGGTTAATGGTTAATATATGGATAATATATGTACAAGGTGGTGCCCCATAGTTAGATAAGTTGGTGCAAATAACTCCCATAACTATGGTTTATGGCAGATATAACTATAGTTAATGGGGTTTATAAACCAACTTATAACTGGGAGGCACCACATTGTAGATAGATTCTAGATGCACGTATTGTGTACGTATTGTGTACGTATTTGTGTATGTATATTATATATTACATGCATACCTGTTATATAATGTTATATATATATATATATCTAAATATATATAAAGTATACAGCTGTATCTATCTGTAAGTTGATGATTGATAGCGAGTGTATGTGATTATACACCAAGAGCAATAATAACGACACTAGTTTAATAATAAAGAAACATTATAGGAACATGAGCATACAAATATAAAACCGGGGTGTACTTAACAACGGCTTTGAATCATTTAAAAAATTACGTTCTTAAGTGGATGCACATTAAGTGTGGCTTCAAAGAACCTGTGTCTGCTTGGTTGCTGAGCAAACCTCCCTACAAAGTATGAGCTGATTGTGATCAGTCTTGTTTTAATTCAAACCTCATATCCTACACACATAAACAACATCCAAGACCAAGTGAAACTGAGATACTTGATTGGTTTCTTAAGAGAAGCCATCCCTTTTTGCGATACCATGCGATACCCAAGTTTAATTCATACATCTAACACCTCATGTATAGTTTTTACTGATTGTCTCTAGCTGTTCTTCTACCGTTACCATAATCCTTCCTACATCGTACATATACCCTATAGGCAAGACGCAGAAGAAATACTTGATATTCCAAAAACTGTGCTGCATCACACAAATAGAGCTGTACCATCTCTCGCTGGCTGAATCTCCACCAGACTCAACCTTTTTGTCAAGCTCTGATACTAAAAGTTCCGTTAGTTTTCTGTTTTTGGCTGGTTTGATCTCTCATTATGAGCCATCATTTCCATGGTTGTTTATTGTGGCTTTATTCTTATATCAACTTATATCCCATGACCCATTCCCCAGAAACAGCCATGTTCGATCTCCCATGATGCATTCTTCCCAGCCCAGATCTCAGCACCTGGACATTCGCTCTGTAGGAAGTTCCTGAAGGTGTCCTAAGAGCTGTGGCGCTGGTCCCAGGGAAGATCTGGGTGCGTGGGACGTGAGTGATTTATTATCCCCCCCAAAAAATGTGTTCATGGGAGAAGTATGGAAAAATGTAGTGATGATCATTTTTTTAGGGGGACTTTGTCGTTGAAAGCAACCTTAAGAATTTGATCGTCAGATGGGGAACTAAAGCAACCAATGAGATGGAGAAAACCATGAGGTGTTCTACATGTTGTTCTATTGGAGCGAAGCGGTAGAATCTGCCATGAGAATGTATTGACCCCCGATCAAACCAACCAAATCACTATGATATCACTCTGGAGTGATATGGTGAGCCGAAACCCTGGCACCCGGACCTCAAAAATCGCTGCTTTATGGATGATTTTTTCCCCCAGAGCCCCAGGTGTTGAGCAAATCCAGAAGAAAATGCAAGGTCCGAGAATCGCTGTCAGCCGTCTCGGCCCAACTTGGGCTATTCATCAAAATCTTATGGCACTCCTTGCCCTGGTTCTGCAAGGTCTGCGCGCATGGATCACATTGGGTCTGAGGGCTTGAAGTTTCTGCTGACTGAGAACCCCAACCGCAAGCCTTGTGCGAATTCATGTTGGTGAGGCAAAAGTGGATTGGGATTCGGAACCCAGTGATAGCAACATGCAGCAACCCATCATTGTAGCAAAGTTGGTCTTTCAGCAGATGTATACAATTTTGGGGAGCGAAGTTGAGGATGTAACCAAAGTGCAAATCAACATAAATAATATAAATAGATGTAACTAGGTTTTCTCTAATGATCAACTATGCAAGGCCAACAATTTTGGCTCTCCGATCTACAAAACAATATAACAATGGCTACCGCAAATAATTTGGTCAAGTTTTAGTATCAACATGTATCATCAATCCAATGATCAGGGTAAGGTGATAAACCCATTAAACAAAAACAATCCCCAATATTATCATAAATAGGCGATCAATATCATCACCAAATTGTAGGTGTATGGCATTGGGCGAATCCCACAACTGATTTTGGCCCCCATTTTGTTAATAGCATATTATTCGACTATCATTTGAATGGTGGTACATAACCACCATTTTATTGGTTTTAATCCCATCCCTCATATTAAATACCCAAATTTTGCTCCAATGTCATGGTTTTCTACGCCCCTATTGACCTGCTTCACGATGTTGGATGTATGACTTTTCGGTGGCAAAACCAAATAATATAAAACTAGCCAAACATAGCCAAACTAACACAGCTTCTGCACCCTCCTGCTTGGGTATTAAATGGTATGTCTATTGCACCTACCTCAGATCGGTACTCAAAAAAATGGGCAATTGAGAATCCCCGAACTAAATGGCATTTTGAAAAGAATGCAAAACATCTATAAATGGTGGATTTTCCTTTGCCACGCTTAATCTACCGGAGGGTATTCGTGTATTCCAACTTTAAAGCTCATGTAACAAATGTAAAATGTATTCCAAGTCAGCCCAGAAAATGAATGAGCAAAGCATTTATTTGCCTATCCCGGGGTACCCCAGAATCCACTGTTATTTTGTTCAGCACTTTCTCTATTGGCACTAAGCAATTTTGGGATACCCTACATTTTCAGACACATGCAAATATCACATTATATACTGCTTTTTTTAAAATATATATATATATATAAATTTATATAGATAATATATATATATATATATTATGAAAATTATATATACATATCAGATTATTATATATTTTTGCATACTAATATATATATATATATTCTATAGCACATTATAGCACTATTCACTAGCATTGAATCCACGTTTTGACGGTAACACCCCCACATCGTTCTCGCGAGCCGCAGCTCCCGTTTCCCATCGTTTCCCTGCTCCCCTGACCCTCCGTTTCTTTGGCCATTCTTGCAAGAATTTCAGGACGCACAGCCTGGCCACCCCAACAAAATGACGTAAAATGGAGCTACTGTAGCATTACAGGCAACTTTCTGTGAGGATATTCCCAGAAACTTAGCCCTCTTTTGGGGCTTATGCTAGGTACCTGCAATAAATTGGTGCCTGGAATGGCCACTGAACCATGGAAGCATGGTGTATGATGGAAACGGCTCAGGATATTTCACTAGTAACAGGGGTCACTGGTGAGTATACCGTTGTTTTGAACGGCAACAAAATACACATGGAACAGTGGAACAACCTCAAAATTCCAGGACTCAAGCTACATCGCTGCAGCTATGAATAGTTAGCAATTCCAGTGGGTTGTCGGTTTTACCTCGGTGCCTTCCAGAGAGGTATTCAGACTAGCCTGGTGATAAATAAATTACATATGGCCAACCTTATGATACCGTTGAAAAAACTGTTTTTTTCGACGTGGTTAATATACATTGTAAATATCAAGCAAACACATTTCAAGTCTTTTCTCAGAAACATGCCCAAAAAGTCATTTCAGCCAGGTGATTTTTTCAGAACCCGGCAACAAGATGCTAAAAAGTGAGCCGTCGCTATTTCCAAATTGTTTTTTGTCTTTCTATATTTTTTTTTGGGGGGTACTATACTGGTAGGCTATATGATTACAAATGATGGATATCATCAGTGAAAATTTCTGGAAATGGGTACCCCTACAATCCAATGGTTCATAATCTTCCCTATCTGCAAATAGCAATCTCAGGCTATACTGTTCCCTTTTTTGTCACAGACCCGACATCGCCAATGGTTTGTTTTATTTAGTGCCACCATATTTATTGGTCTATGTCTACTATTTTTCATAACAATCCCCGTTGGTTTCCAATATAGTTTCTATGTGTGCACTGTCATGGACATACCTCATTTTTCAACAAGCCACTTTGATGGATATACCACATGTTGCGCAATTTCATGGATATACCCTCCCATAAACCAATATAGATGCGGTTTTAACCAACGGTAGATTAGATCATGTTAGGCAAAGAATGGGGTAAAGCCACATCGATCTCGATCTTCGTTTACCTAGGGTACCGGTTTAAACCACTGCCTAGACCCTCCTTAAATACTCGCCAAAAAAAAGGTAAAAGTACTAAACATAATGTGGTAAAAACACTTGCAAATGGGTTTATAATGATATAACCCTAGTTATAGGAGTTATAATTCCATTTATAACTGTTAAGGGCCATAACTGTACCAAATGGAGGGTCTACTTGCCCACTTTTGACCCATTTACGATCAGTGGGGCCCACACCCCCGAGTCAGAAGTGGGTTTATAAATTACTTTATCGTCATATGTATCATAAACCACCAACTTATCTATCTACATGTTTTTGTTGAGAATCGGATGTGACTTTCTTCATCTCCCAAGTTTTGCTTCGGCGGGGTTCGCCTCGCATCCTCGCTGAAACCTTCAAGGACTTCGGGGCGGTTCCTGTACCGTGGAGCGCCGTGCGCGGGATGCGAAGATAGTCGGAATATCACCAACAAAAGTGTGGAAAATGATGATAATATCACCATGAAAAAATATCGGATTGTCATGGGAAAATCATAGGAATATAAATATATATATATATATACCTATAATATGTACGTATATATAATATGTATATACATATTATAATATATAATTATATATATATATCATTTATTTACTTGCTGTACTTATTTATTATATAGATATATTGGAAATAACATGGTGATATTTGGCTTTGTCTGGAAATGGGGGGACCCCAAGCTGTGGCCTTTTTTTAAGAGGTGGCAAACCGATGCAGGGGTTACAAGATAGGAATCATGTATACTGCTTGGTTGATCTAAGGCCGGTAGTTGATGCGATCCTGGTTTATGAATCAAGTTGCAACTGTGGGGGTCACTCTTTAGGGGACCCCTTCATGGAGTAAAAAATAGGGAATTATACTTAGTGGGATAGGGGGAATAATCATGAGAATAAACATTTTGAATAACAGTGGGATTGACCTGCCTAGGGGAAGAACATGATTTAGTCTTCTTGCGAATAGTTGTGCGGGAAAATAATGGACGGTATAGCAAAATAATATGGTAATAGCAGCTATTCAATCCATGTTCAATCCATTTCACTTTTCTCAGCCACGCACAGGTGCGTGGTACTTGGAGGACTATATATCCCGTTTTGTGAGAGGTTAGTACCTGTAAGTGGGGTTTAACAAAACACTTAACCTACTGAATAAATGCATGGGTACCTATTAATTTTACTAACCAAGGCTATTAACCATTTGAGCTATGTGGGATGATCCCTTGGTAGAAAGCTACAGCCTCCAACATCCTGTCCATCTCTATCATCTTTTAAGGGGACCATGTTGGTTTTGGTGGGCCAAAACCAGAACAGTTCTTGGTCAAAATGCCATAAATGAAACAAGCCTTGGTCAAATCGAGGTGCCTCGATATCTGCCTGATCTCACAAAAAAAACATTGGGAACCCAACAAAAACTGGATACATTGCAGATCCAATTTGTGGGGCCACGTCCACATCCGCCATTGATCCATTGGGCCTGCAGGCTCGAATGCCGGGATGCAAAACTGCCCATGCATCTTCGGAAGCCTCGAGATGCGGCCATGAGGCAAACTCATCTCGCCGGGGGGCATCCATGGGCTACCCAGCTAGGTGAAGTTGCAAAGCGCAACATAAACAATGGCAACATAGAATATATAGATTCGCTTGAAAGATCATAACAATCTGACCATTTTATTACAATGAGTTGTTACAGTAGAGATATTCCTCTACTGACGCCATGAAACTAGCCTTCAGTGTGACAAACTCCTCCCAACCCCAGAGGCCCCAGAGCCTGATCCTTCCGCGCGGAAGATCGCAGGTCCAGGACCTTCTGCACACCCTCGGAAAACTTGGTGGCCATGGTCCCTGTGGTCCCAAGTTGCCCCTTGGCGACTGGGAACACGGAAGGGCTGCGGAATGTGGAGATGTTTTTTGGAGTGACAGCCATGTTTCTGGCGGATGTTTCTTCTTGAATGACACCTTGGTGATAAAGTTCAATGCCTGAAGCTGGACGTGATTTCGATCCGCTCTTGATCTTGAGGATGTCGGATATCTTGACATCTCTGCTGTGCTTTACCTTGATGAAAAATGTCAGGCAAACCATGGACAGATTCAACATGGCGCATGGACCAAATGGTTGGCCGTGACTTCAGATATCGTCAGGATATCTGATATGCTTGATATGGATACCTATAGACCCTAAAAATACACCCAAAAAATGGTGAAAGTGCTAAACATATCTAAACATCTGAAGCAAAACGCAATTTGCGTTGTTCCTTGGACAGTCTGTAGGTATGGAAATAGGGGTGGTTTTCCAATGTTTTCCAAACATCTATACCTGGATCCTCTTGATCGTGGAAATTTCCACGCCAAAGCCAAAATCGATCAATTTTGCCAAATCAATCCAAATTGAAGAGAAAAAACAAATTAAAAAAAAACTCCTGACGGGTTATTTCCACTCCAGAACGTGTTTTTCACTCCAGAATGCTTCGGCCACAGAGTTCCGCCCGGGCGACGAGTATGGCAACTCTGCGCCTCAGTGAAGTTTCAAGCATTTTGTCATCCATCAATGGGGATCAAATCTTCCAGTTCCGCGGAAACATCGGTAGGATATTGGTAGGATATTGGTATACTTGGGGGATACAGTTGGGGTTATAGGTACAACATGGTACAACAGTAGTAATTTCAATAAGCCGGGAATAGTTGGGATATGGGCCCCTTTTGGCTATGGCGAGAAACAACTCAAACAAATTTCCCTCTGGCAATCAAACGTGGTGATTTCCGTCAACTAACTCCCCTATATCTACTTGATTTTTCCAGCGAACAACAATACCTCCATTGCACCACGGCCAGGGGGATTTCCCAACACACCACACACACCACTCACTGCAATCACCTGACAACCACTTTTTCCCTGCCCTGCTGTTGGGTGCTCAGCTTGTCCACTGAAGGCGACAGTACCGCACCCAGGAAGAATCAATTTCCGGTTGATTAAGAAGGGGGGTCCCAAATAATTATACAAAAGATCCTACAGTTAGTTCATTATTCGATTTCATCATGGCATGATCTATGTTTAAATTTCACTATAGTCATTTATTAACAAAAAACAACGGGAGGTTGACTCCTCCCCAAGGGCATCATGATTCTGCTTTGCCCTCTCCAACCTCCGCCGCGGCTTCCGCCGCTTGGCTTGCTGCCGGCAGCGGCGCCGGCGGCGCCGTGGGCGGCGCCGTCTCCGGCTTGGCCGGGCTTGCCAAGCGGAGGTTCTGGATGCACAGCGCGATGTGGACGAGACACGTGAGGAACGATTCAAGTCCTTGGTTCAGAACACATTTCTGGAGAAATAGCAGATTGTATTTGTTTAAAGTCGTAATGTTTGGATATATACATCGACATTGATGTACATGTATATATATATATATACACGATATGTTATACATCTTACAATTTGGTTTATACACCCATCAACTATAGCTATATCTACCATATTCTATCATTCTTATGGGAATTGTATATATATATATATATATGCGCCTAGCAATGAATCGAATCCACCATCTTCAACGGCGGGATTTCTGGATTTCTCCCAGAACCGACCTGTTCGGACATGTAGCAAGCCCTGATTGCAGTAGGGATATTGATTTGATGGTTGTCTGGATGAGAACTGACCCATGAGAAAAACAAAAAGAACGCCTTGAAATGAGATTCAGTGAGTTGTTCTTGAGTGTTTTAATAATAGGTACAATACGGGTATATGCTATTGTTAAAACCCATGTCTTAGGGTTGATACCTGATAGTGTACAGTGTCAATCAATAGTTCACTGGCGGTTTGGGGTGGTTGTATTCTCAACTCAATGGGAATTCCAGGATCCTAGAATGGAGGTACTGTACCATATAACGCCATATTTTGTGGCGATATTCCCTTACATAGGCCTGAAAAATAGGCCTTATATATGGTAGCTACCTCCATTTTAGGATCCTGAAATTCCCATTGATCAAATTGTTTTTTTTTTGATCCTCAATCTGAAGATCTTGGTGAAACGATGGCGTCCAAGCATCCCTGTATACTGATGTAACATGCGATTGGGCCGTCCATGTTCCCCTTGGTCCTGCATGGCCGGGGTTCCAACTTGGCAGCTCAACAGATCATAATGATCTGTATATGTATACGTATACACAAATAAAAAACAAATACATAAATCATTGACAACTAGATCAATAAATATACAAACAAATATGTATATATATATAAATTATAAATGTATTTATGTGTATGTGTGTATGCATGCATGCATGGATGGATGGCTGGTTGGCTGGAGGATGGATCGATGGATGTATGCATGCATGTATGCATGTACTTATGTTTGCATGCATGTATGTATGCATGTCTGTATGTCTATATGTGTGTATGTGTGTCTGTGACATGTACATGGGTGTAAGCATGCATGCGTGTATGTGTGTACGGGTGTATATGTGTGTACGTGTGTATGTGTATATGTGTATGTGTGTATGTTTATGCGTACGTATGAACATACGGGCGTACATACCCGTAGGCATGCATGCATGCATGCATGTACGTATGTATGTGTTTATGTATATGTATGTACGCACGTGCGTATGCGTGTGTGTCTGTATGTCAACTGTATGTAATGTAATGTAATGTAACGGAATGCAATGCAATGCAGTGTAGTGTATTGCGATGTAACTTAATGGAATTTAATTTAATGGACTGTATGCATGCATATGTATGTAATGTAATGCAATGTAAGGTAAGGTACTGTAATCTAATGTAGCGTAACGTAACATAACGGTATGTATGTATGTATGTATGTATGTATGTATGTAATGTATGTAATGAATGTAATGAATGTAATGAATGTAATGTATGTAATGTATGTATGTATGTCTGTCTGTATGTCTGTATGCCTGTATGTCTGTATGTCTGTATGTCTATGTGTCTGTGTGTCTGTGTGTCTGTGTGTCTGTGTGTCTGTGTGTAATGTATGTATGTATGTCTGTATGTCTGTCTGTATGTATGTACGTCTGTATGTCTTTGTGTCTGTGTCTGTGTGTATGTGTGTATGTGTGTATGCGTGTATGTATGTATGTATGTTTGTTTGTATGTATGTATGTTTGTATGTATGTATGTATGTACGTATGCCTGTATGTCTGTATGTATGTATGTCTGTATGTCTGTATGTCTTTGTGTCTGTGTGTATGTGTGTATGTGTGTATGTGTGTATGTATGTATGTATGTATGTATGTATGTATGTATGTATGTATGTATGTATGTATGTATGCCCGTATGCCTGTATGTCCGTATGCCCGTATGTCTGTATGTCTGTACGTCTGTATGTCTGTGTGTCTGTGTGTCTGTCTGTATGTATGTAATGTATGTATGTATGTATGTCTGTATGTCTGTATGTCTGTATGGCTGTATGTTTGTATGTCTGTGTGTCTGTGTGTCTGTGGGTGTGTATGTATGTATGTCTGTCTGTATGTATGTATGCATGTATGTATGTATGTATGTTCGTATGTTTGTATGTATGTATGTATGTATGTATGTATGTATGTATGTACCTGCATCCTCCAAGAGCTGTCAAATTTCAGCCCCTACCTCAAGAACAGACCCTGGAGTAGAGGGTTGCTTTTTTCACCCCAAGATCTGATTTGCTTTTTTGCACAAATCTCATGAATGATCATGAAAAACATGCAAAAATAAGTTATTCAGATATGGAGTTATTCATGCAAGGCAATGAGTGATTCATACAAGGAACTGAGTAATATATATTATATTTATAAAAGGAAGTGAGTTATTCATAAAAGAAAATATTTTGTTCATATACCAGGAAATGAGTTATTCATATACAAGGAACATCAAGGAACAAAGTTATTCATATACAAAGAAGTGAGTTATTCACACAAGGAAATGAGTTATTCATATGAGTTATTCATATAAGGGAATGAGCTGTTCATACAAGGAGATGAGTTATTCATAAAAGAACATGAGTTTTTCAGAAAGGAGTTCTTCATATACGTGGGGGTTATAGATGAAAGGAAATGAATTATTCATATACAACGAAGTGAGGTACCCATACAAGGATCCATGTTATTCATACAAGGAAATGAGCTATTTATACAAGTTATTCATACAAGGAAAAGAGTGATTCATACAAGGAAATGAGTCGTTTATACATACAAAAAATGTTATTCATACAAAAAAATGCATTCTTCATATGTATTTTCAAAAAAGGGACTGAGTTATTCATGAAAGGAAATGAGCTATTCATATACAAAGTAATGAGGTTTTCATACAAGGAAATAGGGTATTCATAGTTATATATATATATATACAAAGAAAGGAGATATTCACATGAGTTATTCATAAGGGTGAATGACCTATTCATACAAGGAAATGGGTTATTCATGCAAGAAAATGAGTTATTCAAAAAAAAAACATATTCATATACATGGTGCTTAAAGATGACAGGAGATGAGTTATTCACATGGGATATTCATATGCAAGGAAAATAGTTTTGATATATAAGGAAATGGGGTATTTATACGAGGAAATATGTTTTCATACAAGGAAATGAATTATTTGTATGAGCCATTCATACAAGGAGCTGAGTTATTCATACAAATTTTGCATACAAGGAAAGGAGTTATTCATATACAAGGAAATGAGTTCTTCATATACAAAGAAATGAGTTGTTCATAAATGCAAGAAAATGAGTTATTCATATGAGTTATTCATACAAGAAACTGAGTTTTTCAAACCAGGAAATGAGTTTTTCATAGAAGAAAGTGATTTTTTCCCCACCTGCCAGGTGAGGGTTGTTAGATTTTATCACGGTTGTTCCCCTCCTCCTCGGCTAGCTGTCCTCCTCGTCCTCCTCGTCCTCCTCCTCCTCCAGTTTCTCCTCGACCATGTCTGCATCAACTTCCACCTCCACTTCCGCCTTGCCAACTCTTCGCCAAGCTCTTTGCCAACTTCCGAGCTCAGTGCGCACTGCTGGACCTCAACCTGGGACCTTCCCAGCTCAGTGCGCACCGCTGGACCTCAACCTCGGACGTTTCCAGCTCAGTGCGCACCGCTGGACCTCAACCTGGGACCTTCCCAGCTCAGTGCGCACCGCTGGACCTCAACCTGGGACCTCCCCAGCTCAGTGCGCACCGCTGGACCTCAACGGCCAGATAGAATGCCAGAAGATATGCCAGATAGAATGTCAGATAGAATGCCAGAAGATATGCCAGAAGGTATGCCAGAGAGAATGCCAAATAAAATGTCAGATAGAATGTTAAAAGATATGCCAGATAAAATGCCAGCAGGTATGCCAGAGAGAATGCCAAACAAAATGTCAAATAGAATGCCAGAAGATATGCCAGAAGGTATGCCAGAGAGAATGCCAAACAAAATGTCAGACAGAATGCAGAAGATATGCCAGATAGAGTGCCAGAAGGTATGCCAGAGAGAATGCCAGATAAAATGTCAAATAGAATGCCAGAAGATTTGCCAGTAAGAAAATGTATAAATGTCATGGTGGGGATCACACGAAGTAAAGTAATTACAGAAATGAGTTCTTGATATACATGGGTTTGTAGATGAAAGGACACAAGCTTTTCAAATGGGATATTCATATGCGAGGAAATTAGTTTATCATACATGGAAATGAGTTATTCATACACGAAATTGAGGTTTCATGCATGAATTATTCATATACATGGTGGTTATAGATGAAAGGAAATGAGTTGTTCAAATGGGAAACTCATATGCAAGGAAATTAGTTTTTCATATACAAGGAAATGAGTTATACATACACGAAAATGAGCTTTGAGAAATGATCTATTCATATACATGGGGGTTATAGATGAAAGGAAATGAGTTGTTCAAATGGGATATTCATATGCAAGGAACTGAGTGTTTCATATACAAGGAAATTAGTTATACATACAAGGAAACAGGTTTTTCGTACAAGAAAATGAGTTATTCATACGAGTTATTCATACAACGAAATTAGCAATTCATCTACAAAGAAATGAGTTATTCATACGTAAATGACTCAGTCATGAAAGCTATTCAGAAAAGGGAATGAGTTATTCAATCAAGGAAATTAGCGATTCATACCAGGAAATGAGTGTTTCATACAAGGAAATCAATTATTCATACAAGGAAGAGAGGTATTCATACAAGGGAATAAGTTATTCATACACAAGGGATGAGTTATTCATACATGAAAATCACTCATACTTGTATGAATAACTAACTTTTTCAAAAAAAACAAAAACCAGGGGCGGAAATTTATGGGTAAGGGGCGGAAATTTCCGGTCTGAAACTTTGGGTCCCGCATGAATGCCATTTTTCTAATTTTTTGGCTTTCGGGTTTGAATGGTGAGTTCTTAACTATTCAAGTACAAGGAAGTGAATTATTCATACAAGCAAATGCGTTATTCATACTAGGAAAGGAGTTATTCATATACAAAGAAATGAGTTGTTCATACAAGGAACTGGTTATTCATAGGAGATAATCATACAAGAATAGAAGTTTTTTCAAACCAGGAAATAAGTTTTTCATACAAGAAAGTTTTTTTCAGACGTAAGTTATGCATATACATGGGGGTTATAGATGAAAGAAAGCAAGTTTTTCAAATGGAATATTCATCTGCAAAGAAATAAGTTGTTCATATACAATGAAAGAAGTTATTCATGCGAGTTATTCATGCAAGGGGAGGATTTCTTCATACAAGAAAATAAGTTACGCATACGAGTTATTTAAACAATGAACTGAGTTATACATATGAGTTACTCATAGTTATTCATACACGGAAACTAGTTTTTTTCATACGACGAAACAAATTATTCATATACAAAAAATGAGTTATTCATAAAATGAAATGTTTTTTTGATATGAGTTTTCCGTGTAAGGCAATGATGAGTTAGTTGTTCATGCAAGGAGATGAGTTTTGCATATACAAAAAAAAACACGAGTTATTCATACGAGGACATGAGTTGTTCATACAAGGAAATTAGTTATTCATACAAAGAAATTATATATATTCATAAGGACATGATTTTTTCATATTTTCATACAAGGTAATGAGTTATTCATAAAAGGAAACGACCGATTCATACGAGGAAATGAGGTATGCATACAAGGGAATGAGTTATTCATACACAGGGAGTGAGTTATTCATACATGAAAATCATTCATATGTGTATGAATGACTCACTTTTTCAAATAATCGCAAAAAACAGGAGCGGAAATTTGTGGAAACGGGCGGAGTTTTCCGGTCTGAAAATGTGGGTCCTCCATGAATTAGATGTTTTCAAGAGTTGTTGTTTTTGGGTGGAAATGGGTAATTATTCATAATAACAAGGAAATGAGTCATTCATATATGGGCTTGTTCATGCAAGGAAATTGTTTTTTCATACAAGCACATGAGTTATAAATAGTATACATACAAGGACATTAGTTATTCATACAAGGAAATGACTTTTTCATACAAGGAAATGATTTATTCATACAAGGAAATGAGTTATTCGTACAAGGAAATGAGTTGTTCATAAAGGAAATGAGTGATTCATACATGATTTAATTTTCAAAAAATCAAGCACACATAAAAATCACACGCACTTGTATGAACGACTTACTCTTTCACAAAATCCAAAAAACAGGGCCGGAAAAATCCGGGCAAGGAACGGACATTTCCTGCTTGGGAATTGGGCACCGGGGAATTTCCAAGTTTTGGACATATTAAGTTTATGGGTATTTGTTTCAAAAAAATGTACACGAGTTAATCCACAAATATTCATGACCCAAGTGAATCCCAATCTCGCAGTCTTTTGACCTGATGCCTTGTGCACTGTTGTTCCAAGATTATTCCACCAATACGTTCGTGGAGGGGTTGGACGTTGTGTAAAGGGAGGTTGAAATCTTTGACTTCTACCGAAGCTACACTCACTCAAGGACTTCAAACGCTTTGAGGAGATGGTTCCGGGTAAAATGGATGTGTGTTTTCAACATGGTATGTGTTCAAGTGGTGGACAGGGGTTGGATCAACCCATATCATATGCTCTCATGAATCTCAAAGGGTATTAAGAATATTGTAATATGTTTGCATTAATATCAACACAATGGCAGAAACATCTAAATCACAAATACTCCAAACATGCCAGGGTCTGAACTTTTCATTAGGGTCTGCAAATGAATTTGGGGTTCAAAATTTCAGGCCCTAAGACCAGGATCTAAAATAATACCAGGGTGGAAGTTTCAGGTATGTATGTATGTATGTATGTATGTATGTATGTATGTATGTATGTATGTATGTATGTATGTATGTATGTATGTATGTATGTATGTATGTATGTATGTGTGTGTGTCTGTATGTATGTATGTAGGTAGGTAGGTAGGTAGGCAGGTAGGTATGTAGGTATGTAGGTATGTATGTACACATCATACGTGCTATATATGAATATATGAGTATATGATCACTACTGTGTTGATGATTATCGCGATTCTTGTCACTACTAATATAAGTAGAGGTATTTAATATATACATACATATGTATATAGATGTAGCATCATTATTCTGTATTATTAATATGTTTACAACATTGCATCTAGGACCGCTGTACATAGCTTGCAAAGCCTACACTTGGGACATCCACGATGTATCCCTGAAAAATATAGGCATGCGTGCATGTGGCTTGAGGCAATTCCTTTTTGATGGTTTGTGCGTTAATTTTTTCTTGGCTGTAAGCCTTTCAGAAAACATCCAAGACCCCTTTAGATAAGTTGCGAAGCCTACACTTATATAGAACATCCCTGGCTAGTAAAGCTTACACAGAATATCCAGAACTCTGTAGATAGGTTGCAAAATCTTGCGCTTACAACGTCCTCAATGATCTCTTGCTCGCAAGATCTAGACTAGAGGCATCAGTACTCATTTCTGGTGGACTCCAGGGTTGTAAGAAGTTGTAAGCCCATTTACCCTCTGGTAATTTGTGACATAGCTATTGAAAATACTCAAATATAAAGTTGATTTACTTATTCAAAATGGTGATTTTCTATAGTTTTTTGTATGTTTACCAGGGGGAAACAAGGATCTCTATGCCTAAAATTTGCTCAACGATACGACACCGACGAACGAGTCGGATCATCTGGAAAGAGAACGGAGGCACGGGGAGAAGATACAGCGATGGACATCCAACAGCTTTCTGTCACATCAATTACTTGTATAATATAATTATCTAATTATCCTAATATAGTGATTAATAGTGATTAATATAGTGATTAATAGTGATTAATATAGTGATTTATAGTGATTAATAATAATTAATAGTGACTATTCAGGATATACCCTCTGGTAATTTGTGACATAACTATTGAAAATGGCCATAGAAATAGTGGATTTACCCATTAAAAATGGTGATTTTCCATAGCTATGTTAGTTCACCAGAGGGTAATATCATTATCTAATTATGCTGATACTATTACTATTACACACATGATATTAATTAACATCTTACGTACTTAAATCTATAATTACGTATATTTACACCAATAAAACTTACACAGGTTTGACCAGTAATTTTGTGCATCAATATGTTTCCAGGTAAAATGATCAAACTAGGTGTCAGAACATAGGTCGCTGTTCTTATGTTAATCTCATGGGATGTTCTACGGGCTTTGTATTGCTGGGCGTTCTGTGTGTGCGCGCACCTAGGAGACTGGTAAATAACGTTCCAACTCACTCACTTAGAACATCTCTAGCAATGACAAAAACAAGAAAATTTAAACGTTCTCAAAAAAAGAGTCTCACTCATAGTCCCTCGCTACAATCATTGATGGATGCCCATCCCTTATGGGGACGCTACAATCAGCAGCTTCCGAGGCTTTTTCATTGGATTAAGCCTACTCATCCCACTAACCAGGGATATTTTCATGATATAACTAGTAAGTGGATGTAAGTGGGATGAGCCACCAAGTAACCCCTTGTTGAATATTTCACCATCCTCTGTTTCTTTTCCCAAATTTGAGCCATACCAAATTCAGGATGAAGAGAAGTTGAACAGTATCAAAGGAGGGCTGGGCAGCTGTAATTGGAAAGCTGGTGAGGTTTACACATCGAAATTACAAAGATTAAGTAGGTCAAATCCCATGCAGTATAAGTAGGTAGATGTGGGTAGGTTATAATCCAATACTGAAAGCTGGTTCTTTAATTTCTTCAACTGCCCAACTCACCCACCAATTGACCCAGGTTTTCGAGAGCGGATTCCGCACTGCTTTGGTGGTGAAGTTTGAACGAATGTACACACCAATGTTTGATGCTCAAATGCCTCTCATCATCACTCTACAGTACCAATTACCCATGTTTTTGATAGTGAGTCCTCTCTAAATGTTTGATGGACTTTGGTGGCTTCAAGATGGTTCAACTAAAATCCCCTATAAATGTTGGTGTCTTCAATGTTCAGTCAATTGTTTTTCATAGCCCAATGAACAATATCATTCAGCAAGCTCTTACCCTCTGGTGAACTAACATAGCCATGGACAATCACCATGTTTAATGGGAAAATCAACTATTTCTATGGCCATTTTCAATAGCTATGTCAGCTATTACCAGAGGGTACCCGGCCTAAAGTACGCGCAGTGCGTATCGTAGACCTTTGCCATTGCCAACCCAGCGAGACCGGGCGCCACTAGAGCCCACAGGGCCACCAAAGCACTGGCACCAGCGAAGACATAGCGAACAGCACGTGGACAACGACAACAAAGGGCAAATAGAGAGACCTTGGATTTGGGGAATTCTGAAGACTTTGGAGATGACTAGACATGCCTATCCCGAAACTGTACAAAAATTGTGATATTAGTTCTTTTACCCGATAACTTTAGTACCGCTGCATACTTTTACCATTTTTGGGGGGTATTTGGAGGGTCAAGAAGAATTAAAGAATGACATCTTGAAGCGTTGACAGGTCCAACACCATGAAAGAAAACCACATCGTCAAGTTGAAGCTGCGTAGTTTGTGAACTCTGCGACATCTTTTGACATATGGGTGGGTTCCTCAGAAATGCCACATGATCCATATGGGTGGTTCCTAGACTGGGGGTACCCTCAAATCATCATGTTTTTGTGGAATTTTCCATTATAACCAAAGCATTTTAAGGGAGTAGCCCCATGGAAACCTTCATTGATCCGAAAAAGCAGCCAGGAGACCCAAAAGATCATAGCGCTGACTGAAAGGCAAAGGTTCCACCTGAACGCTACCGCATAGAGCTCATTGTGGAATTTAATCCAGTCGCAGCCCGAATCACCTGAGTGATCTCTTTGAGGATCGCTGGCGGCACAAACTCCCTTCAGTTATGGCCCAACTAACAGTTATTTTCATGGAAACCAATAACTCCTACCAGGGTTATACATCATCAACAAAATGTGAAGCCCCATAACTGTTCCAAATCCATTATCTATATAGATATCATGATATCCATAGTCAAATGTCTGAATTGTTTTATATAATTACCCCAAATCCCTGTCAAATACTATAGGCTAGATGATGATGAACCATGAATTTTAAGTAACGAGCGGATTTTCGGACCAATTCCTTAATGCGACAAACCTAAATCATAAATCTACGATTTGGGGATGCTTGAAATCCCAGCCCATTTATGGGTATTTTAAAATCTTTTCTTGGGTTTACAACCTCTTACAACATGGGTGATAGTCTGAAAATGAGATGTCCCTCAATCTAGTGCTTGCTCATGGTTTATCATATTCCCGTTAACATGAAATGGCCATTTGTTGCGATACCTCACTTTCCGACACACCATGGAAATTCCTTTGGCCCCCTGCCTGTCAAGTTCACTGGCACTGATTGACGCATTGCATCTGCCAGGCGAAGGCTGACCCAAAGCAGCGGCATCGCCCGTGGCACAGCTGGCACTGGCATAAGGGCCATGATTTTTCTATCTCAGGAGCGAAGAATTTAACAAGCAAACGTTCGAAGATGATCGATCTCATACTGAGCCGAGAAACACGCAATGCAAAAAAACGCAATGGCGGAGTTTGTGGACCCCTGAATCGTGACAAACAAACCTGCTCTGAAAAAAATACTTCACCCACCTGAAACGCTTGGCATTTTGGAATGGTTTCAATTACAAATCCAACCATTTCATGTTGAAATCGGATTAAGAACCCCTCCCCACCCTCCCTTCAAATTCAGTCATCCCCTTAATAGCAGTTGAGGCCAAACTAACTTCCAGGACCAAGGACATTTAGTATTGCCGAACAAATTGCCTAGTTAAAACGAATAGATACAGCTATGGCCCTTCACACTTATAAGTTGGATCATAACTCCTGTAACCAGTTGGTTCTATATATATATACACACCATTATAAACCAGTTGTTAAGGGCCATGACTGTAATAATTGTCTTTTTGGGACCCCGCAAATTGCCTATTTTCACACATGACCTAAGTTCACCTTTCTGGGTTCTTTTAATGGGGGATCCCCCAAAGAGTGGGAAACAATAGTCTAACCACTACCCCATTTTAGAAAACATCCATATGTTGCTGGTGATTTTCTTATTTTCCATTTGGCCATGGATCAATAGCTTTTTACATACCATCTTTAGGGGGATGGACATCCATAAGTCCCAGTTATTTTCATGTGAACAACAGTACAAGGTTTTGAACCATCCCCATTTATAGAAAAAAAAATCTTCGAGTGATCCACACCAACTGAAATTCTATCTGACATATCTCTTCTGACATTCTATTTGGCATTCTATCTGACATATATTCTGACATTCTATCTGCATGGCATATATTGAGACATTATATTTGGCATTCTATCTGACATATATTCTGACATTCTGGCACATCTTTTGACATTCTTTCTGGCATTCTATCGAATATTTCTTCGGATATTCTTTGTGAGGTCTGGCAGGGAACCCTCACCTGACAGGTGGGGAACGGCAGGATTCTCCACTCCCACTCCAGCCAGGTCGCCACCGCAAAAGCCATGATGGTGTCGGCTTCGCATGTGGTCTCTGTTTTAAGAGGGGATATCCATACATATGTGTATGTATATATATAATGTTTTTTATACATATATATATATATATATGTACATATCTGGTTGGTGGTGTCAACCCCTCTGAAAAATACGAGTTCGTCAGTTGGGATGATGACATTCCCAATATAGGAAAAGTCATAAACAAATGATTTAAATGTTCCACACCACCAATCAGATATATTATAGCCATTTGATGACAGTCCATCAGATTTGCGCTGTTTTTTGGGGCTGTGAAATCTGCCGTGAATGTCTTGGCCATGTTCATCATGAGCTCTTGGAACGAATGCGAAATACTGTGGATAATGGTTGAAACATGTTGAAACCCTATAAATCATGGGACAAAACATCTATCAACTGGTGCAGGATTTCGCAACCATCCACAGTAGTAGCTTGGATAATTCATTGGATCTGCGCGCTGATCCACAGGGTTGCGAACATGAGTGAAAATCTGCTGGGCCGTGCTTGAACTTGATCTCATGCTGCTATGTGAGGCACTGGGGCCTCATCCAAATGATGTAGCTTAGAAGAACAATTATGACACCACCGAAACCACAAGTTTGCAGTAAACGGAGAAATCACTGGAGTCAAATGGAAGAACGATTGTTCCCCACATCCATGTCAAATTTCAATTATAATATATATATATAATTACTGTAATGATTAGATACCCTGCATGAAAGTTTAGATCTAGCAAGAGGTCTGTGACATTCCTCCGTGACATGAAAAAAATGGACCCATTCACCAGCCCTTCACACGGTCGTTTTCTCGAAGATTCGAAAAAACACCGCCCCCGGGCTGAAGGAATTCTGTGGTTTTGGCATCAACATATGCAATATGCTCCAATGTGGTATACGTAGATACCTGCAACACCTGGCTTAGGCTGAAGTAATTATCTCTGATTAAATTGGAATGACCCTTAATTTCGACGTCACTGGCATAATGGTAAGGAGAATTATCCCCTATTTTAGGCCTTATTTCAAGTCAGTGAAATATCTTAATGTACCCAGATTATATGCAATTCTTGCATCCACCCATGAATTAGGGTACTTAGTAAGGCTATAAATAAACACAATGGTTCCCAGACCATCGCTATGAAATAAACACAGTGGGTAGTAGCCTCATGGCATTGAGCCTAAATTAAAAGTTGAACTTGGGTACAGCACAAAAAACCATTCCAATCAGGGGTTTAGCAAAAAAACATTGTTTGAAGTTCAGTCCGGCTGATGCCTTGGACGCTCTGAATTGTCACCTCATTTTGCGGATGCAATTTGAAATTTGTAGAGGGAACCCTGAACTTTATAGAGACGGCCTCTTTTCAAGTCAATCCCAAAATGATTTCAAATGTGCCCTCAACAGCACCCAAACTCTGTGATTTTGTCTGACATTCTGTCTACTATTGTTTTGCAGTTTGATAAAAAAAATCGCTACAAAAAAAAACAACACTTCATCATACTTTATCTGATAAAGTCTAATAATGCAACGTTGAACTCTGGCAAAGAAAGGTTCTGTGACAACAAAATACATGGGCCGCTATAAAGTTGAACCCCTTGCACAACATGACAGCATGCAACCCTACGAACTTGAATTGGTTTCCTACAATACCAGCTGTCCCCACTACAAAATGCGTTTTCACCAGGTTGCTTTTCATGAGAAAAGCAAGGACGCCAAACCAAAAAGGCATTTGTTTAGAAGCTTAACAAATCATGAAAAACCACAGCAAAACCCGCATCGAATTGCAGAAGGCTCCTATGGGGCAATTCCACTGTCGGTTCCACACCCAGTCCATGGTCACAGTACCCCACCCAGTTTTCCAAACATTCAAAAAACATCAAAAAACACATAAACAATCTTCAGCATGGTTTTTCCATGGTTTTTACCCTGGGTTTTCACCGGAAGAAGCGTCACTGACCATGGCAGGGATCTGGTGACTCCTTTGGAGTCTCCAAAGTTCGACCAGGCCAAAAAAAGCTCAGCTAGTCTATTCGAACGCTGAGAGTCGCGACAAGAAAATCATCAGAAACGACCCAAAAAGGTGCTGCAGTATTTATATATATATATATATCAATGACATATCAATGATTTATGATGATTTATGATGATTTATGATGATTTATGATGATTTATGATGATTTATGATGATTTGTGATGATTTATGATGATTTATTATGATTTATGATGATTTATGATGATTTATGATGATTTATGGGCCATTTTCTGTGTACCGCCAACGCAAAAATACACTGCCAATGTTTGATGCAGATTATTCACTGTGTGTTTGAAAAAAAAGATCCCTGAAAATACAGGCACAAGAAAACACACTCCGTGTAAGCATCTTCTGCAGGAACATTCTCCGTCCAAATTTCCAAGGAGTTTTGAACATTTACAAACGTGTTGCTCTATGGTAATTCAACATAGCTATGGAAGCCATGGACCATAGTTCGATGATTCACCATACTCATGGTGATTGTCCAGCTATGTTAGCCAACTCTTAGTCGTTATATAGTCTACTGGAGGATAAATGCTATCAGTCTGGAAGAAATTCAACAACATCCTCACCACACGTAAAACTATGGTCAAAGTTTGATTTCACTTCGACATACTTCGACGCTCTGGCTGGCTTCGGCAGTTTGGTTCTGCTGAGTGATGTCGAGATTCATACTTGGTCATATTCATCCCCAATAAATTGAGACCAACTTGAGACCGCAAAAAATGGGACCCGGGAGAAGAAATGATAAACATACATGGAAACAACATGTCGGCATTTGCAATCTTCCTTCAATCCATGGATAAATAGTTTGGATATGTTTGGATTGTGGGGAGATTCGTGATAGTGATAATCCACAGGAAAAAAAACAGTGATTCGCTAAAAACTCATGGCCTCCAACGAATCCAAAACAACATCATGGAATGATTTTCTGACAGAACCATATCAATTCTGGACTCCACAAACTGGAGCCCCCTAGATTCATCTAGATTCTAGATAGCTAAGTTGGTGCAAATATCTCCAATAACCATGCTTTATGGTACTTATCACTATAGTTTATGGGGTTTATAAACCAAACAAAACTCGGGGGGCCACATCTTTTTGTTTCTCCCTTTTCCCCTTTCTCTGCATCGATCTTCGGACTCCAGAAGTGCCCTGTCTTCAGTCAATTGGGCGTATCATCCCAGTTTTAGAGATGGAATGGATGGAATAGAAAAAACACATGAAGAAACAATCTGAGGAGTATCCCAGAATTCAAGTTACTTACCGATTATGATTGCATGCTGGTCACTGGGTCACTGTGATGTCACAACTTTGCAGCAACAAACAGCCACAATATTCGGGGGCCGCGTATCCAGTTGATTGGCCAATGCCTTGTCCCATAATGTCATTTGATGGAGTTAGCCATCATTCCCCCTATGTAAAGAACTAAGCATACCATCCAATGGTGGTAAATGACACATGTTGAGACACACCCAAAAACACATATTGTTGGTGATATGTCCCATAGGTTCCAAGCATATTTACCTACATTTGGGTGATTGATGCTGTCAATGTTTGTAAATATTCCACACATGAAGACATGGGGCACAGGGGCATATATATATATAATATCGTTTACATTCATTTTCATTCATATATATATATATTTACATCCATTTACTGATCCATATGGGTTTCTCAGAAAATATGGCAATTAACAAACAACTTCCTTGAATACCACTATATGTTCCCGCATGAATTTCCTTTTGAATGGTCAATTGATCTTGGGTATCCGGGTATGTCACACTAATATTGTTAGTGTGTTTGATCATCTTATATAGTCATGGCCAAAGGGCCAAACATATAGAAAAGTAAGATCCTACTAAAGTAGTGCTTTACGTCTCAGCATCTGTGTGGGTAAAACTATAACACCGTGTTAACAGCCTAGAAAAGTTGGTTTACAAACCCGTAAACTATATGTATATATGTATGTATGTATATATATATATATGTATATATATATGTACATATTTGATATATCTACCATAAACATCCATAAACCTACTTCATCAAGTTACACCAAGCCAGCTCTCTTAACAAAAAAAAAACGTCAAGGGATCCGGTCACGTCTGGATGACGATGCCCGAGTCCCGCGGCGACACCATCTTGGATCCGAAGGAGCGAAGAGACCTGGATCCCCGGGATCCGGGATCCGCGAACGCCAGGGGACGAAAATCATCATGGCTATCAGTAGGTAATACCATGGCATCATGGTTTCATGGTTGACACAATGTGGTGCCCCCCAGTGATGTTAGTTGGTTGAAAAAAAACCCATAAAAAGTATAGGTATATCTGCCATAAACCATAGTTATGGGAGTTATCAACCAACTTAGATAACTATGGGGCACCACCTTGCATGTGTTTTGCGTTTTGCAAGTGGCTTACCAGAAAATGACCCGGCCTGGTCATTTCTGACACTTTGCGAAGTTGAAAATGGCCCAGTCGAAATAGTTGATTTACCCATTAAACATGGTGATTTTCTATAGTTATATACACGTTTACCAGAGGGTAGGTAATACCATCTGGTAACTTAACATAAATAGTTTATAATAGTTTTAAAATGTTTGAAACAACATATGCGCATTCCCACTATATTTTCATGATATTCCGTTATTTCTACAAGGTGGTGCCCCAGTTCGTTAGCTAAGTTGGTGAGCATAACTCCAATAACTTAGGTTTATGGTAGATATACCTATATTTATGGGGTTATAAACTAACAAACGTCATTGGGGGGGCACCACCTTGTAGGTAAAACCATCTGGTAACTTAAATTAGCTATTAAACATGACCATTTATAGTTAATATATGTTAATTTCTAGCTATGAAACATGGTGATTTTTCCAGTTCATAAATTGTATATGAGTGGAATATTTACCAACATTCACATCAATATGTGTTTACCAAATGTAGGTAAATTTAATGGTTCATCAATTAGCCGAAAACGTATTTGATTGCCAATCGGAGTAATTATGTACAGAAATATCATCGCAAAAAAAAACATTATTTTTAAAGACACACATCACATGACGATATCTATGGATAGTGGATTACAAAAGTGGAGTGGCCCTTTTGTAACAGTTATGTTTCTGGATTTATTTCATGATATATAAGCCTATAGCTGGGCCATAACTGGAGCTTTCAATGGAACTTTACTTCATTCTACTTCGCAAATCGTCGTGTTTTTTCAAGGTTTCAAACCATGATTAGGTATGATTATATAGATGATTAGATGATTGGAAGAGGATTCTTCGTTGAAGATTTTTCATTGGGCTTTAACGCTTTAACTGTTGATGCAGATCGGCCATCGGACCTTCCCAGTAGATCCTTTGGATGACCAAGAGCTTCATTGACAAATTGGGGGTTCTTAATGGGTCAAGAAAAAAACATAGTCTGATGAAAAGATTCAAAAAGGGTTTCATCTTATTGTTTTCAGAGTTAGTTTGCCAACTGACAGTTGTTTGTTTATGTAATCATAACTTCTACAACGAGGGCTATGTATCGTTTTAAAGCCATTTACAATTTACCAACATTTTAATCCCCTCACCCTAATAGTAAACACCCCATAAATGGTCCCAATTATGTGGAAATTCCTACTAAACCATGGTTTCTAAGGGGGTGTTTACGATTAGGGGGATGGGACTATAACTGTTAGTTGGGCACTGCAGCGACCTGGCTTCATCATTGATCACAGGCCCGGATCGTTCCTGGCCTTTTGATAGTGGGCTACCATGGGCTACCATGGGCTACACAGTGGAGTGGCCCAACTAACAGTTATTTACATGAGATTTTACATGTCATGATATAATTCTAGTAGTATAGTAATACCCATTTACTTTTCGGAGTTATTGGTTTCCATAAAAAAAATAACTCTTAGTTGGGCAACAACCGTAAGAAACCCCCAACGATGGTGTCTTAACCGTAATGACACGAGTCATGGATAGTCATGCCTACTGAAGCTATCATTACCCACTCTCGTGGTAGAAACAGAACAACTTTACTGTGCGTATGATCATCCGAAATATTGATCTTTTATGGATCTTTAAAAAAAGGTCAGACCGATTTCTCACGAAATGGGCCGTGACTCCATCCTCTACCGGGATGTTCTTGGAAGGAAAAAAGAAAGTCAGGCATTACCTTGGAAATGTTTTTTTGGCTCTTGGAACTGGATGGAACTGATTTATATATATTATATATACATAATATAATATATATATAATATGTAGTACTAGTATATTTCACGGGCTTAATATCCTTTAATTTCAGAAAATGCTCCATCTATAGAGGGTTTTCCCCAAAAAGCCTCCATCTATGAATTACTCAGTGGCTTTAAACTTTTTTCCGTTGGGTCCGAGCGCCAGGATCCTGACATATCCTGGCTTCTGCATGAAAAAACCTGACATTTTGCACATGAACATGTTCATCAAAGTTAAAAGACTGGTTGACCATTACCCTCTGGTTATGACTAACATAGCTATAGAAAATCACCATTGTTAATGGGAAAATCCACTATTTCTATGACCATTTTCAATAGCTTTTTGTATGTTTACCAGAGGGTAAATGGCATTATCACGACGGGTGGGATGTATTGCCATTAAACGCCTAATATTTAAGTCACTAACCATTCATAATCCAGAATAATCCAGTCATTATCACTAAAAACATTGCCATTTTTTGGTAAACATACCCATCCCATTCTAGTCCTCATTCATGTGGGTTTCTGTCCCAAGTTGTGGAATCCACCGAAAATAACACGGCTGGATGCTCGGTGGTTGGATGTTGGGTTTCTTCTAGGGATCCCCACAATGGAGCATGATTTTTCCTAGATATTGGATACTACAACCACCGAACCAATCATCAACCATTATCAATGATATCCCCATGTATCCTCGGATGTTTCCAATGTTTCCCATATAGATGATGTCTAGGCACTGCTCAATTCTTTTGTGGTGCGATTGACATATGGGTTTGGCTCAAAGTTGGATACCCAGGGCACTAACAATTCATCGCTTTAGTCATGCGACGATTTTGCAACTGTTCTTCAGATGAACTGCATTTGTCTTGCTATCTGAATCCTCATTTACCCTGTTTTTGCAGGTAGTTTGTTATTTTTTTTTGAGGTTTATATACATCCTCTCGCTTAGCAAAATCATCGGTTCGTTTTTCTTTTTGTCGAGCAGATTCCAGTTTTTCTCTACATTTTGCACATCACCGCATGTTTCCAAGTTTTTGTGGGTTACCCTCTGGTAAACGTTTACAGTTCGCTATGGAAAATCACTATATGCTATTAATGGGTAAATTCACTATTTCGACTGGGCCATTTTCAATAGCTATTTTGACATAACCAGAGGGTATCAGTTATCATTCATTTTTGTGTGTGTGTTGCATCCTCATGTCGAGGCAAACCATCAACATTCACAGAGTTCGAAATTGGTTAATAAACCCAGTCAAAAATTCAAAACTACACATTTATGTAGATTTACAGAATTTGATGATAGGAAAATTTACAGGAAAACCCTATATTTGAAGGTAAAAATCATGGTTTCCGGTTAAGATGTTCCCTTCAACAAATCCATTGATAGATACAATTTATGTGGGGGGTTCCATAAACGGGGTATCCAAAATGGTTTGTTTATTTCATGAAAATCCCATCTATAAATGGATGATGACTGGGGGTACCCCTATTTCAGGAAACCTCCATATATAGATAGATACATGATACATATTATCCATTGTATAATATAATAAACCATCCCCCCCACTAATCACCATTTTTATAGGTGGTACCAGTACTACGATTCCCAATCATGGGTGGTTTATGACATTGTTGTACAAACATTATTCCAATTATTAACCATTATTAATCACTATTAACCACTATTAACCACTATTAACCACATTATGGTAAACAATTATTAACCAGTATTAACCATTAGATGCATTCCAACAAAAACCCCTCACTTCACCTGGTGTTGCCAAGTCACAACAGAGACGTTCGTCTCTTCGGCAGCTCCAGTCCCCTATTAATGGCCTGGCGCTGGGGATATATATATGGTACCGTTTGTCCCTCCGTAGCCACAACAATTGTGTTTTCCGCAGAATTTCAGTACGGTTGCAGTACCATGATCTTGTGGTATTTGGAGGATTCTAGATAAATGGTATATATGACATATATATATATATGATTATACAAGATAATATATGATTATATAAGATAATATATGATTATATATGCTTAAAATTATATATGCTTAAAATTACATATGCTTAAAATTACATATGAAATACTTGGGATGATGACAGTCACCATGATGAATCTTTGATGGGGATATAGGCCATGGTCAAATTACATGGTATCTATCTCATATCGGGTATCCTTAAAACAAATGTATACAAATCCCCATTATTGGACCGATGACGAATCCGAATCCCTTGTAAGGGAAAAAACAACCCATGTTTTGACCATGGCACATACAAATGGTAAATGGGGTATGCGTCTCCAACATTGTATGTAGCACTTGCGTCCCTGAAACTTTGGATCGACTTGTCCATTCGGACAACCAGCGTACAATGACGTGTCTGTTCAAGTGCAAAAAAAAACCACTTGCAAAGAATGACGTGCGGCGTAGCATGATATGTCTGTGCATGTGCAAGAGAACATCCTCTGGCGTAGTATGACATGTCTGTGCAAGTGCAAGAGAACATCTACTGTCGTAGCATGACATGGCCCACAGACCCCACCCGAATGATGTATGTGTGCAGGTGCAAGAGAACGTTACGTTGTTAGCCCAACCCACCCCACCCCAAGGACGTGTGTAAATGCAAGAGAAGGTGATAAGCCCCCCCCCCCCCACCCGCCCCACCCCAGAAACCAGCACCGTTGCCGGGTACCGAGCGTACGTACGACACCGTTGCAACACGGTGTAGTTGACCAGGACACTTGCGGAAGTATAGGATCAATCATAATTGGGAGATCATGTGTGAAATATGATATACCATCTGGTTATTTAACATAGCCATGGAAAGATCCACCCATTTTTAATAGGTAAACCATCTATAAATGGGTCATTTCCCATGGCTATGTTAAATAACCAGAGGGTATATATATATATATTAGTATATATATATATATCATGGGACAGGCTTCAACCCAGTGAAGTGACCACCAGAATTATAAATGGTTGATGAATGTCAATACACCCATAAGAGTGGGTGGTTTACTTCGGGCCTTCGGGGAAACGCGTGTTGGTGGGAAGCCTTTGGGGAAATTTCTTGATGGAGTTGCTATACCTGCTATACCGCAGCAGCTGGGACATGGGACATTGGTGAAGTTGATCCCCCGAAAAAAGCAATGCCGTAGTTCATGAGTTTTGACGAAAATTTGAGGAAGTCCGGATGAAGTGGGATTCAATGTGGGATTCACCCAATGCCATCTGCACCATCCCCCCAAAATTACCATGTGGCAGTGTGTCAAAACCTTGTACCCCTGGTGAACATCAAAATAGCTGGTAAATGGATGTTCATCCCCCTAAAAATGTTTATTAGTGTATATTAGTGTGGTATGTCACAGAAACAGCCCCAATTTTTTCGCGAGTTCTTGAAGAACTGGGAAGCGCCCACAGGGATCATCGGATCATCCTGGTTCACCACACCGTGATCCCTGTGATCCCGTAAGGCGCCGTTGGGGATCACAAGAAGCCAGAAGAATTCAACAACGCACACGATGTTTTCATGGGCTTAAGTATGGCTCAAAACCTATGGCCCATTTGGCACCGTTTTTTTTTTTTCGTCCTCCTTCGAGGTTGCTTGGGATGGTTTAGTCTTCATTTTTCTTAACTCCCAACCGTAGGGGAAACACATGCCAACCGAGATGATTATTTTTAACATCTTATATATGTTATAACCATATAATAAGATTTTATGACATTATTTATAACATGTTATAACATGTTTGTAGATGGGAACGATGATGGCAATCCACCAGTGGATAGGGACGTGCCTCATTGACAAATCCATGGTAAATCCCAGTAACACCATGGTAAAATATGGTAAATCCCAGTAACACCATGGTAAATCCCAGTAAAAACATGGTAAATACCAGTAAATCTACTCATCACAACATATCGTGGGTTAAGACCGTCGAAATAGGTGCCCCCCTGCCCCCGCCCATCCATTTCGAGCCGCCTCAAAACCCTTTTCGCTGAGGTCGTTGTAGCGCAAGCAGAGTTTCTTCACCGTGCTGTTCATTTTCAGCGCGATGCCCACGGCCTACAAACTAAGGCGCAAAATATGGGGATGTGACCGGCAACACATCGGGGTTGTGATCCTGAAAAAGAAACAAGGACATGATTTAACCATCAACGATTTAAACATCGAAAACCTTGAATATAACATGATTCAACCATCAAAAAGTGCTTTCCACTACAAAAAATATGTTTCAACCTTAAAACAAATGGTGAGTTTCCTAAAATGGGGATACCCCCCAAATCATCCCTAATTAGAATATTAACTATTATGGTATTGAAACCTATGGTGACTTGGGGATACCCCATGTAGGAAAGCCCCAAACATATCCTCCTTGAAATTCGAGGGAAGGTGTCGCACCCAGCTTGTTGTAAATACAAAACCGTATGATTTCCAAAACCTTTATAAAATGGCTGGTTTTTGGGAACTTGAACCCCTAAAAAAAAACACATGTTTCTAAACCAAAAAATGGCTTTGAAACCCCAGTTCTGTAGTGCCTGGTTTCACCCAGAGGTCACCGGTGACATGTTGGACCGGAATATATATAGATGCCAAAAGAATACTGATCACAGAAGCATTTTGGATTGAAACACAACATGTTTTGCGAGCCAGCGGAATCTACGGATCCGATTTCTGGGATGCACATCCTTCCAGTTATGGCCCAACTAACAGTTGTAAATGAAATTATAACTATTAGGGTTATATATGTAAAAATACAAATTAGATGTGCATATATATATAATTATACATATATATATATATATTATGTGCATCTAACCCGAATTGCCATCAGAAAAAACTGCCATCCACCTCTGCCATCGAGTCAGTCATGCCGCTTCGCTCGAGGTCCAGCTCGTTTTTCTCAAAGTTGCCGCCGAGAAAACGCGCCAAGACCTCTTTTGTCAGACGTCAGACGTCAGAGTTGGCGGAGATTTCATGGGATTTCAGGTTTCATTCGAGGGTTTCATTCGAGGGTTTCAGTGTGTCTTTTGATATGGTGATGTTTCATGATATAAATGCGAATGTGTAATGGTGAGTTTGATAGGACTTACAAGCAGTGTTGTATGTTGCATGGTCATAATATGCAGACCTATTTATGGATTGATGATCATCCCCCAATTTGGGCATATCATCCAAGTGTTGACCTTGGCAAACATGTTGGTAGGGTGAATTATTATAGATTAATGGGAGATGTAATCATGGCCAATATTGCATCATCATTGCCGGTTAGCTAGGCTTTGTGGTGATCGAACAATATGGTTGTTTTTTCAACCAACGTATATATCGCTGGGGAAACAACCGATGTGGAAGGATGTGGGGTCGGTGAGGCCCCAATTAGTTGATTTGTTGAGTCAGTCAACATTGGGTTTAATGTGGTTAAAACAATGTCATAAACCATCCCCTCATCACCATTTTTATAGGTGGTATCAACTATTCCCAGTCATGGGTGGTTTATGACATTGTTTCCCAGTCATGGGTGGTTTATGACATTGTTTTAACCACATTTATGTTGAAGAAACATCGAACTTCAGTGGGCTGTTGACCGTGGTTTTTCACCGTTGAACCACCTATAAGGGGAGTTCTGATGATGATCCCCTTGGCTTTTTTGAACAAAATCTACCCGGCCTGGTAATGACTATGGTTAATCTATGGTTAATATATGGTTAATCTATGGATAATCTATGGTTAATAGTTACCCTCTGGCAATGACATTCACAGTTTGCGAACTGGAAAATTGCCATAGAAAGTTCGTTGATTTACCCATGAAAAATGCATGGTGATTTTCCAGTTCGTTATGTGAACGTTTACCAGAGGGTAGGTAATACCATCTGGTAACTCAACATAGCTATTGAAAATCTCCATTCAGTTTTTTGATTTACCCATTAAACATAGTGATTTTCAATCGCTTTTTGTATGTTTACCAGAGGGTATCAAAATCTAGGGTTCTGCATGGTGATGTTTGAAAACTGAAGGTATCCCCCAGTTTTGATGAGGTTGCATAGCCTCTGGTAATTTGACATAGCGGAACATCACCATGTTCTGGGTAAATGGGATTCAATCATCTCAATGGGCCATAGGCGGCCATAGGGAATGTATCCGAAAATCACCATGTAATTTGCGTGAGGGCATTCAGTGATCGATCTCCGATTTCCCAAGAGATCATGGCCAAATCAAGGCTCATGATTTGGGCACCTCACCCAGCAGGTGGAAATCCCATGGGAAATTCCCATGGAAATCCATGGCCGGCAGCAGCTAGAATAGCCGGAATATACCACGATATACCACGATCATCAATGATCATCTATGATCATCAATGATTCATCAATGCCTTACAAAAAGGCCACAAGGCAAGGGATCAATAAAAAACACCCGTTCATAGACAAATCCAGCATGGCGAGCCAACATTGAAAACTGCTACAGATTTATCACCCTATGGTCTGGTATACCAGCACCCTTTTTTGTTGCATATGGCAGTGTGTCAAAACGGTAAATGGATGTTCATCCCACTTAAAATGTATCTATAGGTATTGACCCATACCCATATCGCTTGTGTCATCGACAGTGTCTCTTCTTGGTGGAGAGTTCACTATTCACTGCAGGCCCGAGCAAAAGGTTCCTGAGCACATCTTCTCGTTACCATTGCAATTCACCAGCGAGGGTCATCACACAACCAGCTTAAAAGGCTTCTCTAAAATTCGGGCAGCGATTTAATCTCATTTTAAGCGTATTCAAATTGCAAGTTTTGGGATTTGGGGTGCCTTCCATTCCAAACAAACCCAAATCATTGGGTGTGCGAGTAGTTTGTACAGCAAGTAAAAAGATCAAGCCCATTAACCGGCTACAATCAACCGCAAATGAGCAAAACATATATCAAATCCATTCAAATCCCAAATCAGAAATACACACATGTTTGTAGTGATTGCCCTTCGGGGTGCACACATATATATATATATATATATACATATATTTATACATATGTCTGGGTAAAATTTAATAATTCACTAACATGAAATAAGACCATATTGGGATAATTCCCCGAATCCTAACCATGATTCCAGGGCTCGGGAAAACAGTGAGGTCGATATATCAACTGTTTCAGAAAAACCCATGAGCAGACATTTGGCGAGATACAGCGGTGAGATACAGCCATCTACCCGTCACATGGTTTTCGAAATTACGTTACCTGACCTGGTTATCTAACAGCAAACGCTGTGGAGGCTCACCATTCGAATACTCGGTAAATAATCAAACTCAATGGGCGACCAGGGTTCCATAGCTATGTAAAATTACGGATCAGGGTAGCTGGTTCGTATCCGTCCAACCACTCATTGGGAAGAAACACATGAGCAAAGCATCGTGCACCAACCAACCTGGTAATTCAACATAGCCATGAAAATTGTTAGCCATGGATGACCTTAGCCATGTCTTAACATGGCCAATTTCAAATGTAAATCATCAGAGGGTAAATAAGTTAAAACATGTTAAAACCATGTTCTTGGTTGAATCCATGGTTTTCACGACGTCATTCCTGAGGTCAGTTTTCTCTGTATCTGGGTTAAACAAATTGACCTGTAAATGGGCTATACCCCCAATTAGAGTAATGGACTATCCCCACGTACATATGGTACATATGAGATTGGCATGGCATAGTATAACCAAGTATAACTTCCCAAGTCCCCAACTCACCACAGTTGTGGCCCAGCTAACAGTTATTTTTCTGGAAACCAATAACTACTATAACATGGGGTTATATATCATGAAACAGACCAATTTTTTAATAACTGTTACTTGGGCCACTTTATTGTTCTAATCCATTATCCATAGATATCCATAGTTATGTGATGTTATGTGTCTGAAGAATGGATGATCTTTTAGATATGACATGGATGATATAAGTATGACAATAACCCCAAATGGATCCAGTTCAGCCAATTGTTTTTAGCTGGTTGGTGGTTGAAAAAATCATCGGCTGAAAAATGATCGGGTTCGTCAATGCGTAGGATTATTCGAAATATATGAAATGGACAATAAAATTCATGTTCCAAACCACCAACCAGTCATTGATCCACATCCATCTGGGTAAATTATAATATTTATAATCATAATTCACTAACCTGAAATTCGTTGGGCCATAAAAGGAGATGATTTCCCACAAATTACCCTCTGGTAAACTAACATAACTATGGAAAATCACCATTTTTCATGGGTAAACTCACTATAAATGGCCATGTTCAATAGCTATGTCAGCTATTACCAGAGGGTAAATCCCATTAATATCCCATTGAATCACTATAAAATCCCATTAAATCACTATAAAATCCCATTAAATCACGATAAAATCCCATTAAATCACGATAAAATCCCATTAAATCACGATAAAATCCCATTAAATCACGATAAAATCCCATTAAATCACTATAAAATCCCATTAAATCACTATATTTACCAGAGGGTAACCATGATTCCAAACCACCAAGCAGTTCTCAGAGCCTGGTGATGTTCCTTCCGTGGCAGCTCGAAGAGGTACAACTCCTCCAGGGACGAGCGGTACGCTGACCTCACCAAGACCTGGCGTCCCGCGGCGTCCCGCGCCGCGCTTTCCATGGTGAGTTGATGGGACATCAATGGTGAGTTCATGAGATTTATTGTAGATAGTATATATATATATTATATCCCATAGGATCCATGTATGGTATAGTTACATATATTTACCTAAACCCAATGGTTTTGCTGATCATTATCCCTATTAAATGGCTATTTCATTGGGAATATACCCTATTTTCAGACAATCCCATTTATTGTAGATAGTTTTTATATCCCATAGGATCCATGTATGGTATAGTTACATATATTTACCTACATTTGGGTGATTTTGTTCGGGCAAATGTTGGCCTATTGTAGATAGTTTTATATATCCCATAGGATCCATGGTGCTGGAATATGCAAACCAACATTTGCCCGAACAAAATCACCCAAATGTAGGTACATATATGTAACTATACCATACATGGATCCTATGGGTATATAATTTACATAGTAAATATTATTGTAGATAATATAATTTATATACAATGTAAAAAATCAGCAAAATGAATGATTAATGTTGATTCAATCAACACACGTTTTGTGTTGATAAGCAACAAACAAAATGATCTACACCAAAACTAATGGGACAAAAAAGAACGAATAAAGACTGATCAACAGTTTTTACCCAACCAAGAATGATCACACACGATGAGCACCCGAGGATTGGACAAACACGGCTTCAACCCACAGAACATCAAGTGGGTTTGCCTGAAAATTGCATACCCCCAAATTGCATGGTTGAGAACACACATATATATATATATATATATCCCATATATATATATATATATATATTCTACTGTATATATTTCACTAATAGTTAAAACTGCCACATATTGTATCACCGTATCACCTATTCTGAGAATTGTTCAGACATCGCCAAGTGGAAACATATCCTGCAAGTTACTACCTGTCTTACGTCCTGCTGAAATCCACGCGTTTGATGCTGAATGCTGAGTCATGGCGCTACAGTTTTGTTCCTTTACCAGTGATACGTTAGTGATATTTACTGATTCATGGAATGCATAAAGCCATTGATCTGGGAAATTACAGCATTTCGCAGGTCGCAGGTTACTTGCATTGTTTTACACCGCGTCGTTGGAATTCCGAAAAGAAGGTGGGGTTGGGCGGGTACACCTGGGCACCTGAAAAGGCTCTACATAAACGAACACTTTCCAGTTTGAAAATGAAAAACTCATTTTTTGACTCCAGAAATGCTAAGAAAGAATGTTTTTGAAAGCCCAGAAAACCAAACACTCATTCAACCTATCGAAGCGATTTGCCCCCGAACCGGTCGAAGCTATGTGGCAGCTGTGGCCTGGGGGGGGGCTCCTTTCCAGTAGGGCGACAAAATGTCACGGAGAGACATTGTCGCTGGATGGCCAAGGCTTGAAGCTTTGAATCCTCCCAGTGCTTTGCACCAGATCCAAGGTGGGAAGCGAGGCGCGTTTGGGGAACCTGGTAAACCCGGAGCGTTTCCCACGGCACAAAGAATCTGGCCGGCAGGTCCTTTTTTAGGAGTGAGGTCGGGTGACTATAGATGCATAACGTTTTTGAACTGACTTCATCCAGTCTCATCCAGTCTCCGAAACTGACCCACCGACTGCCTGTAGCCCAATGTCTCCCCAGTCGTTGCCAACCAGGGCCAATTTCTTCAGGCTACTGTTGGTCATCATCGCGGAGCACAGCGCCTCAAGGCGCAACAAAAGTCGTGTGCAAAAGTTGCTTTCCCTATTGGTCAAATATGACTATAGCTCATGATTGAGTCATGATTGTTGGATTTTTGGTGTATATTACATGTATATATATATATTATGTAATTATATTTGTATATGTTTATATAAATATACATAATATATAATTTAAATAGTACATGCACATACATGCACAATGCGTATGTAAATACATGCGTATATGCATTGACGTCATTTGACGTCATTTGACCATGAATCATTTTAAAACAGGGTCACCATACATCATCATACATCTATGGCATTCTATGGGGCAGCACAAACCAAGAAACACAACTGAGTCGTTTAAGGGGAAGGATTGATCAGGGACACATAAAACCCGATTCAGAACTGCGCGACTGGAGATTTTTCACAAAGAACACAATCAGGGGTTGGTAACTGTCCCATTTTGGGATATTGGACATCACCTTATAGTAGCCATTATAGACCATATACCTAATGGTTGGGTGATGTTCAATGGGGACATTTAATGACCCATGACAATGATGGATCCTCAAACGAACTTCAGGGACTTACCCGGAAATGTTAAGAGTTTGCTATGGAAATCGCCCAGTTGGAGGATTTAGCTATGCTGATTTTCCATATGCTAGCGATGTTCCATATGTTCCAGTAGTTTACCAGACATTCAACTACACCAAACCCATGCATAATTCATCATAATTCGCTAAAAAGTTCCCAAGTCAGAGTTTGGCCAATCTCATCAATCTGTCTGAAAAAAATCTCTGCGGCACCTCAGTTCCTTGCTGACCGATGTTGTTCTTATTCAGGACCAGTTCCACTAAGGTCCTGTTGCGCTCCAACGCCTCCGCGATTGCCTGGGGTGGGATCCTGGCCTCCTGGCCCCTGATCCAGGCGATTAAAAAACCCCCGCTACCGACGGGATAGGTTTCCATGTTTTAAAATTGACGAAACATGGTGAAACATCTGATGAAACATCTGATGAAACATCTGATGAAACATCTGATGAAACCATAAGATAAACCTTCAAGACTATCTGAAAACCATCTCTTCCTTCACCTTTGCCCCCTTGGTTACAGCATCATCGTGGCTTTCAGTGCCTGGGCTCCCGCATCTCCCAGAGCGTTGCCCGCAAGGTTCAGAATCTGCACGCAACGGTTCTCACTCAATGCCGTGGCCAGCGCCTGTAGCATGGAATAGGGGGTCTATACAGAGATTTGTTTGGGCACACATGTTTTTAAGGTGTTCTATGTATGTATGTGTATATATATATATATTGTATGAATACATTGAATACATTGAATACATTGAATACATTGAATACATTGAATACATTGAATACATTGAATACATATGTATGCATGTATGTATGTATGTATGTATGTATGTATGTATGTATGTATGTATGTATGTATGTATGTATGTATGTATGTATGTGTATATAATATATACATATATACACATATACAATATCCTGCAATATACATATGGATACCGAAAGCATGTTAGATTCTGGGAAGTGTTGAATATATCTTGCAAGGTACCTTTATTTTGTACAGTGATAATATGTCGTGTTCAAGGATCTTTTCATTTGTTATTAATAATTTATTATACAATGATGATATTCTTGCACTCAACATCAACCCTTGTTTAGTTGTAGAATGCTTCCTTCATGTTCTGTTGGAGGGAGAGAGAGAGAGAGAGAGAGAGAAATGGACCCATTGGTGCGGAGCAGTTGGAACCCTCAACATTTGCTGATGAAATCCCCATCAATACCTGGAAAAAATGCGGTTGCGAAATACAAGTGTCCGTTAATCGCTAACAAAATATATTTGTAAATAATATATATATATATATTATATTATTATAGAAATAAAAAATATATATACACTACGCATGTAAATATATCTATCTATTTAAAGACGTACTTGTATATACATATGCATATATATATATATATGATTATATATATATACATACATACATACATAATTACATGTATAACTTAACACGTGTTAACCCGCAAGTAGTTAACACAAACACACTTACTTTATGATCGTTTTCCCCGTCTCTGGTTTCGCCCTGGGAGCTGAGCTGGCGGGACCTTAGCGCCGGCGACGCGGATCTTGTTGAGGTCCAAGCGAAGATGCACCAAGGTCTGGTTGTATTGCAAGGCCATCGCCAATGCCTGGTGACCCCGTGACGCAATAAATGTTGCCCCGAAAAAAGGGCACCCTACTGGGGCACTCCGAAAAAAAAACGCCACCATTGTTTTGTGCGTTTTATTTCTGTAACCATGAAACAAACGATAAAAAAAAACACATACCTTTTGCTTGAGTTTGTTTCAGTGGGATTTGACTTTTCTATCTTAAAAAACAACAAACATGGTTCAACCAACCAAACCTTAGATTTTTTTACGATCCCATCAAGGAATTTTGGGTTGAGCATTTCGCGTGGTCAGAGTCCAATGTAATTATTGGCGTCGGCGGATAGTTATGTGGAGGTTTCCATAGTCATGGGGGTGCCCCAAAATAGATGGTTGTTTATAATAGAAAATCGTCGAAAAAATGGATGATTTGGCAGGTGCTCCCATTTTGGGAAACCTCTATGTCCTTGGGCCACCACGACATGTTCGTTGATCAAATGGGGTGGTTTCATGTGGTTTCCCAGCGCCTAGCCATCATTTTGCAAATCAACTCGAGATCGCTATTGTACTTCACATAGGTACATATCGATCATATCGACACGATTCAACACGTCTTACCCCCAGAGCTCCAAAAGGGGCCTTCAAAATATGCACCAAAACTACAACTCTTGCCAGTGGTGTTGAATTCTTACCTAAGTTGATGGGTTTCCTAGTCGTTGCAAAGTTCCAAGGAGTAGATTCTTGATCATCTCATACACAGCCCCCTACTGTCATTGGGATACAGTTGCCCTACAAAAACAAAACACGACAACCATCTTGCAAGATATTAAACAAAGTAAAACCATAATCTGAATGTGTGCAAAAACAGCGGTATTCTTGTTAATTTAACATGTTTTTTTATATATACATTGACATATGTATATATACCTAGAAAACTGTACAAACATTTTTTGTTTGTCCACTATGGGTTTTACCCGTAACGGTCGTTTTTTTGGTTCAATTGCGTATTTAGGTTTTTGATGTGTGAAGGGTGGTTCAAATCCTTTGACAACACCGGGCTCTGACATGCTACGACAGTTTCCAAAAGAGGAATTTCAGCCCAAAGTGGGGCAAATTGGGAGTCGCGATAGGGTATCCAAATCTGGCCACAAATACTGCCATATTTCCGACCAAATTTGGATGTATGATGTACCCATAAAATACTGGTATTTGTTTCAACATCATGTTGAAAAAAAACAGTAAGCAGATGTCAACATACTGCCCCAAATACTGTCTCTAGACGAGACACTCATACTGTCAAAACCAGTCCGACAAATCCAAGATTTCAGGAAAATTATTGACCTGTAAGTAGCAAGTTTGCAGCCGGACATGGCCGTATTTGGAAAAAAAAACGTAACGGACAAGAAACATGTCAAAACCCGTATTGACAGAAAAAATGTCTTTATGGTTTTCCATATATGTATATATATATAATATCATACACAATGTGTGTACATTATTTATATATATATATGTCTATGTAATCCAAAAATGTACTTTCATTAAAAAAAAAAACGTGTGTTGTATATGATGGAGTCTTGTATATTATGTCATTATATATTAATTGCACCATTAAAAAAAAACAAAGACACGGCCTGAAGAAGGCGCGGCAAGCACCGCACCACTTGCACCGCACCTGGGTGACCTCATCAGTGATGCAGCAGAAGTGGAGGTCCAACTCGCTCTGCGAAAAGCTTCCAACCAAGATCTCGGCTAAAGCCTGGCGTGGGAAAACCAGGCTTCCTGGGGTTCCTGTCCGAAACATCGAAGAAACCATGGGAAAAGCAAGGAAAATTAGAAGTGATTTATGGGGAAATCCAAGGTGCCTGAAATTTTAAGTCATACAACCGGTGCTTCATATACCGTATATATTACGTAAGCATCATATTAACAACCGCTGTTTGACCCCCAGGGAAACCTCTCAGGTTCTCAGCCTGCCTGATTCGGATCTGTCTGGTGATACCTGAAACAACGCAGGTGGGTGGCTGACTCCGATCCCCCCCATTGCAACATAGACGGAAAGCAGAAAGATAGATGGATCAATCGGTAGGTAGATAGATAGATAGATAGAAAGATAGATAGATAGATAGGTAGATAGATAGGTAGATAGATAGATAGATACGATAGGATAGGATAGGATAGGATAGCATAGGATAGGATAGGACAGGATAGGATAGGATAGATTAGATTAGATTAGATTAGCTTAGATTAGATTAGATTAGGTTAGATTAGATTAGATAGATAGATAGATAGACAGATAGATCGATAACATGGATCTATTCAAACATGCTTGGTAACTGGGATGATCTACGGAGACAAAGCCTCACTATTGCTGGTGAAATCCATTGTTTTGTCTACTTAAATTCTCATTGTTCTGACAGTGTTGGGTCTTGAACCCGAATATGTCGTCACTTCTGAGGCTGACTTTCCCTGTTTTGCTCGGCCTCAAGTGTTAATATTCTATGGATCAAAACATATTAAAAACTCCACCCAGCTTTGTTAAAATATGTGGCAAAGTCTCCACGTTGCCAAATATTGTGTCCGAGTTGTAAATGACCAGTTTGGATTAATTTGTTGCTTTTGCTCTTTAGATACACATGGTGAAATCCACACGTAATAACCTATCACATTTTTGGTGAATCAATGTTCCAAATCCCTTGTTCCATGTGTTGTACTTGTCAAATCAGTTGATTCATCATTGTTCCCATCATATGTTATATTCTATATAATCTATACAATGTCGGCCCTCCCAGTTGTAACTTGAGCTATCAGTCGATCTACCCTTGGATATATGCACCATAATCCTAAGTTGTATCTATTTAGAGCCTGGTAAACTAACATAGCTATGGAAAATGGCCCATTTCTAGTGAATTTTCCCATTGGAAATTGTGATTTTCCGCAGTTTTTGTATGTTTACCAGAGGGTAGCCTAGTTACAAACTAATTTGGCTAACTGGGGGGCACCGCCAATAGTAATGATCATGGCCGTAGGGCCATAGTCAGGGTTGCTCCCAAGACCTCAAATACAGTGGGGAAAATGGCTAAAGAGCTAGCAACACCCAATTTTTCCCTACACACGTGACTATAATTTACCTACAATAGGTTGGAGCAATGCCCAATTATCCAAATTATCCCCTCTTCTGAACGGTAAGATCAGTTGAAGTTGGATTAAATATCATTTTCCCAGATTAAATATCCCAAAGGTTTAAAAAAAACTCAGTTTTTTTTATGGGAATAATCTCGGAATACACGTGAAACATAAACACTGAACGGTAAATATGGCTGATATTCACCGTAATTTTGGTGAATATCAGCCAATGATATCCACAATGAACGATTAACCAAATATTCACCACATAATAGAAACAACCATATATTCACCACATATTCACCACATGTTCACATATTTACCACATATTCACTCCATATCTTTAATATGCGGTTCCCTATGACTCCAACCATCTGCGAAGTACGACTGGGGTATGATTTAGGGGGTTAGCCGTCCTTCCTCAGACAGTGTTTGGATCCGATGGGGTTCATAACTGAATGATCAATGACAAAGCTTCCATATACACATAAATTCACCATAAATTCACCATACATTCACCATACATTCACCATACATTCACCATATATTCCCCATAAAATCATCATACATTCACCATAAATTCACCATACATTCACCATAAATTCACCATACATTCACCATACATTCCCCATAATTTCACCATACATTCCAAATAAATTCACCATAAATTCGCACCATAAAATTCACCCTACATTCACCATAATTTCACCATAATTCACCATAAATTCACCAGAAAATCACCATAAATGCACCATAAATTCACCATACATTCACCATAAATTCACCATACAATCAACATACATTCACCATACATTCACCATACATTCACCATGCATTCAACATAAATTCACCATGCATTCGCCATAATTTCACCATACATTCACCATAAATTCACCATACAATCAACATACATTCACCATACATTCACCATACATTCACCATAAATTCACCATACATTCACCATAAATTCACCAAACATTCACCAAACATTCACCATACATTCACCATAAATTCACCATTCATTTCCCATAAATTCACCATAAATTCGCACCATAAATTCACCCTACATTCACCATAATTTCACCATAATTCACCATAAATTCACCAGAAAATGACCATAAATGCACCATAAATTCACCATAAATGCACCATAAATTCACCATACATTCCCTATAAATTCACCATACATTCACCATAAATTCACCATTCATTTCCCATAAATTCACCATAAATTCGCACCATAAATTCACCCTACATTCACCATAATTTCACCATAATTCACCATAAATTCACCAGAAAATGACCATAAATGCACCATAAATTCACCATACATGCACCATAAATTCACCATAAATTCACCATACATTCCCCATAAATTCACCATACATTCACCATAAAATCATCATACATTCACCAAAAAAAACGATACATTCACTATACATCCACCATAAATTCACCGCTGAGCTGCTCGAAGGGCCGCAGCTCAAAGAGGTGAAGTTCCTCAATGGCCCCCGCGCGTGCGGCATTGACCAAGGCCTGACGGTGGAGCGTTGGAAGGGGAGCACTGACAAGTCACAAACTGGGATTATTTATACAAGGTGGTGCAAAGTATAGGTATATCTACCATAAACCTCAGTACTTAGCTAACTATGGGGCACCGCCTTGTAGAAATGTCGGAATATCATGGAAATATAGTGGGAATGTATATGTTTGGTTATTTTGTTTATTTATATGTATCTGTTTTCTATTTATGTGTTTATTTATTTACTAAAAGTATATGGAGGTTTCCCAAAATGGGCGTACCCCAAAAAGGATGGTTTATAGTATTGAAATGAATGATTATGGCGAATATCTAGTTGATTAAAGGGATACTATAGAAATATAGATGCTTATACTATGTAAAAACAAAAAACATGAGAACCTTTAGAAAATACAAGTTCACAAATTGGGAATACTATAGAAATAGACATGGGAGTATGATTGGGAATTTTCTTTAGAATATGATAGAAACATGTGAAATATGGGAAGATCGCCGGGCATAGATATAGGGTAATTGGGAACATAAACCAACATATTCGTGCTCAAAAGCCAGGAAGAATGGAGCTGGAGAATGCCCAAAAAGCGCGTTGAACCAATCAATCGTAGGTCTGAAATGGTTTAATAATTACCTGACTATATGGATAGATTATAGATAGTAACAACTGGGAATGTCATTGGGAATGTGACACATGCATTAGAATAGAAGTGTACAAACATTGAGAGTATCAAACAAAATAGGGAACTATTGGCCCACTTGTGGGACATATTGTGGGGAATGTGGCAAGATTGGAAACCCAGATATAGTGTATAATCGTGAATATGACAGTCTTGTTCTACACGTGCAGAAGGAGTTGTAATCGTAGCGTCACTAGAAGTACAAGAAGCACCTAGTGGAACTAGAACCGGTCTTACTAGCCTCCAAGGTGCACTTGCAATATTGCTAGTAGCTAGTCAACTAGTTGCATTCGTCCAACTACCAGAAGCACACGGAGGAAGTGAACCAGCACCAGCAGCGGGAGCAGGACCAGCAGGAGCAGCAGCAGAAGCGACAGCAGTAGCAGCAGCCCTGGGAGGAAGATTACTAGTAGTGGCGGCAGCAGCAGCAGCACGGCGGCAGCGGAGGCAGCAGTAGTAGCAACGGTAGTAGCAACGGTAGTAGCAACGGTAGTAGCAACGGGAGTAGCAGTACGAGGACCAGAAGCAGTATTAGGATAAAAAGCAGCATTAGGGCCAGCATCAGTCTTTCTTCAGCGAGAAAGGGGTATGGATCAGGGGTATGGATCATGCAGTATCATAGGGTATGGATTAAGGATGATCAAGGTATGGATCGGGGGGTATGGATCGTGTGTGGGCCCGCGGCCTTGAGCAAACCTTGTATTTTGACTCGTACCCATATAGAAATGAAGTTGAATAAGGGGAATGTGCCCATCATATTCCAATGCATTTACATTGTTGAGTGAATATTGGTTAAACAATAGCAATATCATGGGAATATGAAGCACTTAAACCTGCTTAAACCTTCAACCGTTTCACATTCACCCAGCACATCATCAGTATGAGAAAACAAAAAACAGGAATGGTGAGCTATATTATGGTATTAACTTGAGACTACAACCCCCCCAAACCGCCAGTGAACTATTGATTGACTCTGTACACTATCAGGTATCAACCCTAAGAAATTGGTTTTAATAATTGCATCTACCCTTTATGTACCATTAAAACATATTAAAACACTAAAAAAGGAAAACCCACTGCAACATTTGAAAGGTATTCCCATCATGGGTCGGTTCTCATAATCCCCAGAAAACAATCAATATAATCCCTATTGCAATAAACAGGGGTTGGTAAATGTCCTAATGTTTCACATCACCCAAATATTGGGGAATCTCCAACAGATACGTTTTCAAGTGATGTGATTCACAAATCTGCCATGGGACATTTACTAAACCCTGATAAGTCAACGGGGTGAGTTTTTGGTCACTGCAAAAAACCGTTGAAGACAGCCTATCTATGGGTCAGCCTGAGTCCCGTCGAGCCCAATGTTGTTGCCAATCAAACCTGGGATCTCTGGGATCAGGGCTTTCTGCCATAGAATCCCGGCCCCACTGATTCTTTTTCGGGCCCTATTTTCATAGGGATGATGGATCCATGGATAAAAATGGTACCCTATTTTCAGACGTTTAGCCCTTCCAGTCCAAGGTTTCAATGTCCATTTTCAGGCAACAACCAGTATGAGTTAGCCCGGAAATGAGGTTCCAAGCCACTGGAAGAACCACAAAATAGCGCTAAGTCCTATGATTTTTGGGTACCCCAAAATCATCCAAGTTACTGAAATATAAAATACTATTGAAATCCACGGGCAAAATGAGTGCCCAGAGTTTCTGGACTCTATAAAACATGTCACGTGTTTTCTTGTGAGTAGACACCCAGTCCTGTCGGTTGCGAATTCAAAGCAGCTACAGTATCTTTTTCTGTCGAGAAATTCCCATGCAAACTGTTTGACTGAATAGGTATTGTTCTTTCAAAAACACACCAAGCATGCAATTTTTGGCCCACCTCCCAATGGCTTTAAGCAAACAATGGTTGATATCCAAAGAGACCCCTGTTTTTTGGGTACTGGCTATGATTTTCCTCTTTCGGCTCGAACAACACTGGTGTGAAAGGTGTGGTGCAATATAACATAATGTGGGAAACTCGAGAACAAACCTACCATTTGGGGATGGTTTGTAGATCTTATTTCTGGTGATTAGGGAATTGCTTACGGCATTGGCTTTACCATATAGAGTCCAAGCTGATCCACGCTCCAAGATGCTCAGCTTCCTCAGCACCGTGTTTTGTCTCAGCGTAACTGCCAGTTCCTGGCGACGTGGTGATTTCGTTATTACTGCTGAATGTGATGCTGCGAAAAAAAATAGGCCAATGTCAGTGTTACAACATCTTGTGACTGATACACATAGTTCTATATATTTATCTGTTTAGATGTATCGATCGATCTAAAAATGTCTATATATCTATGTCTATATTTAAACATCATACCTCTACATATCTCTACATACATAACTATGTGTCAGTGTTTTTTTTTAAATATCTCTACGTGATGGCCCACTTACAGGAGACAAAAATCAATGATCATCCCTATCGACTGAAAATTCGAAGTAAACATCCGGGGAAAAGTTGTGGATATCAGTTTGATAAACCAAATAATTGGACATATTGGTTTATATAAACCAAATAATATAAAACTGATGTGTAAAATAGTCATGTATACATGTAAACAATAATATTTACAATAATACATAACTTTTAATTGATGTGTTTTTTTAATGTAAGTTTAAACCATATTGGTGATTATATATATATAATATGTTATAAATATTATTCAAGCATGATTATTGTTGATGTCAATTATTGTTGATGTCAAAGTGATGGTTCAACCAAGAAAACAAGACTTGTCAAACAAACAACAAACACTGAGAAGGGAAAATGTGGAAACTAAACAATACCTTCTGCCAATGAGAAACACCCTCCGCTAAACTCTAAACCACGGTTTCTGGGGTGTTCGTTCTCGGAGGAAAAGAGTATTCCAAAGAATGGAAGCCGCCAAAAAGGTCGACCAGAAAAAAAAGTAGCACTTGTCATCTCCCCTGGAAGTCCCAAGAAAACACCTGGAACACACAGCAGCTCTGTCAATGGTCAGTCGTTGGGGTCGAAAAATGGAGCCCCCCAAATCCTATGTCTTGGACTCTTTACACATTGCCCCCCATCACGTTGCCATTAAGCTGGCAATGCGTGACGATGAGAGCTTTCTCCCCCTCAATATTCAAGTATCAACCCCATCCTAGACCTGAGAATTGATACTTAGTTGCTGGGTTACAAGCTACTTTGAGATATTTCCAAGACATAGAACAACAGCTTAGCTACGCAGCACCAAGTGAAAATCACCCTACATCCAATCCCCAAGCAACAAAAATCCTAATGCTGCCAACTGCCATCATCGGAAACATTCGGAAACGACCTCGACACCGAAGTGATTGATCATGGTGTTCTCCAAGCAGAGCTCTCGCAGGGTCATATTGACCTTCAAGGCCTCCATGATCGCCTAGCGCAGGCTGCGCAGGCTCATCGAAGACGAAGGATTCACAGCCGGTCAGTCGCTGGGAATTGAAGGAATGGAGTTCTTGGGATTTTATGTCGAATCTAGATATTCATTAGTGATATTGAAAAATTTAGATTAGTGTATTATAGAGGAATTGAATATATAAGGTATTCGAGAGCCCAATTAATTAACTAGGACTTAAGCTGTGTTTTGAATAAACGATCATCATACAATAGCTGGATGGTATATGGATTTATGATTCCTCCATGTTCATTAATCGTTGGCCTGTCTCCCAGGTTGTTATCACCCTACCACCTCATCTTGGAGTTGCTTGAGCCCCAAAAAAACAGACATGTTCCCTTGTTCGATTCCCCAGTCATTGTGGATTTCCCATTGGGAAAATCAACGCCATGCTGCATCAAAATTTCACACAGATTCTGGCTGGAATCTGAAAGTCTGAAAATATCGAGGCCAACCAAATGGAGTGGAGTGTATAAAGTAAAAAACCAAGAGGAGTGGAGTGTAAAAAAAATACATTATGATAGATTGTAATTGAAGATACCCCGAACGTGGAACTCTGATTATTTTGCGATCTATCGCAATTATTCTACCACTATTATCATTATAACACCATACCAAAAAACCATTTAAAACCAATGTTTTGCAAATCTACCACATTCTTTCCTTCAGGGTTTGCCATTTCTGGTCCCCACGCATTGCGTGGCTTCACCTGACGTGAAGCAACTCATGTTTCAGAGAGACAGTGGGACTATTCCAGCCGCGATGGCACCGCTGGAATTTCCGAGAACACTGCGGACGGAGTGTTCGTCCTTTTCTGCAAACATGTATGGAACATGGATAGAACATGGAACATGTATGGAAAATCAAGATGTAAAACGGTTTTAATGTATTGATAATATATGGATCATTGGGAATGATTGGCGTCTTTTTTTCCCTATGTCAATGATCCATACATCTTCCATCCTTTTTCAGGCACTCTGACGACTGTGAAGGCAGAACACCTGGTGACGGGACTTCACCCCAGGTCCAAATATGTGTTGATCCGACTATGGCTCAATAGCGGGTACATGGCCCCCCTTAGTAAATCTGCCATGTTTGGATGTCTTAACTATTCAAACCATGCCAAAATGATCTGAAGATATCTGACCATATCTTGTTCTCGGATCAATTTCTTTAATTCACTATAAATTACAAACCTTTTTTTCAAAAATGATATGTTTTCCCCTACTCGATCATCGTGACATAATGACATCGCACGACCTTATTTATCCAGATATCTTCTATGGCTATACCCCATATGTTTTAGCCATGTCCAACCATTTTAGGGTGTGATATCATGCAATATCATGTAGTATCCTCATCGGCGCAGCTCCCTTTTGCTCATTTCAGGCGAAGCAAGGCTTCAGCGAAACATAATTAAACATGGGGTGTGGGTCAACGGCTCTTTCGAACATATGCAAGGAACTTGGTTCGCAAATAGGGTAACTAGAGCTTATGGGAAATATATCTGTAGTTGACTGGGTTTATAAACCGACTTCCAACTGGGGGGCATCACGTTGTATGGAGATATGCAAAAAAAACAAGAGGAGAGAAACACTTTTTTTCACTCTCACGTCCTGCAACCTGATGCCCGCGAGGGCAACTCAACACATCGTTATCTCGTTACTGTGCAAAATCTGAATCAAGGAGAAATGATTAACAAACATCTAGGGATTAAACTGAAGGCAAGCAACAAAAACGGAGGGACATTGTGGATCTAAGAATGGGAATCCACTTTGGAATTGGATGATTCACCCTGAAAATGTCAAGTCAATCAGTGTTTCGCTCAGGGAATTTGAAGATTGACCCATTTTCACCTTGCAACCTGCATCACAGGATGACTTTGCCATCTGGTGCACGAAAACTGGAGGCAAAACTGGAGGCAAAACACAATCCACAGTTATGGCCCTTGACAGCTATAAATGGGTTTATAACTCGTCTAACTAGGCATATATCATTATAAACCCAAACAAACTGTTAGTGGGGCCATAACTGTACCGCTGCAGCCCGAAAAAAAATCAGCCAAGAATGCCGTAGACATATGCCGGGGCCAATCCCCAGCTTCCGGTCATCAACCCAGATTGGCTACCTGGGTGCCGGGTCCTAATGTTTTAAACAAATTTACCTTCCAATAGAGAAATCATCTATAAATGGAGGTTTTGTGAATAGAAAATCATCTATAAAATTCTATATTCCCATTGCTATGTCTGAATAAGATAGGGTAGGTGATATATTTACAGTCATGTTAACCCTGGATGACTGTCGACCCCTGGTTGAAATATAGAGCCATCCCCCGAATACTAAATGATTATACGGTTCTGTAGAAACTTTGGAGGGTCCATATGGGTGGTATTGAGAAAAGGTGGTGGAAGGGATTACAAACTTGCACAATTGTGAGTAGAAGTTATATGGCCCAACTAACAGCTATGTTTCTGGGTTTATAATGATATATAACCCTAGGCCCTAGTTATAGGAATTCTAATTCCATTTATAACTGTTAGTGATTAGTTGGGCCATAACTGGGCCATAACTGTAGAAGTTCGTATATCATCAATTGATCACCATGACGCATCCCCACTTGGTGCAAAAAAAAATGCCTCTGGGATGTCTAGGATCCTCTGGTCTATTTCTTGCATCAGATCAAGTTTCATGATTCTCTCAGTGATATGGGGTCAAGAGCCAAAACACAAAGTACCCCTGGTAAACACAAAGATATAGTGTATATATATATATATACATAGATGGTATAGCTGGATCATCAGGCCGTGAAAATTGTATCGCTATTGATCCAAAACCATGATTGCTGTGCGATGATTGCTTAGTGCAGGTCAGAAAACTGGGTTTGAGAATCCTGACCCTTTTACCACGCGTCGGGCTGGTAGAAGTTCGCGCGTATTTTTGGGGGTGCATGATCAAATCTCCTGAGAATTACAGAGTTTTTGTTTTGTTGGAACTTGGAAAAGCAAAACGAACTAACTTTTTGAAGGACGTGGGGATGGTATCTGCAAACCACAAAAGACATAAACATCCCAGCAGGGTGACAATCGCGCTAGCAGTTGTCCATGTTTTGGAATCGAATGTGCTCGGCGCCACAGCGCTGTAATCATGTCATGTTAGAATTGCACCTTGAAAATCCCGGGGATTTTTAAGACCCATTGTAACATTCCATTGAGTTCTACAGGGCAAAGCTTCTTCAAAGCACGTTTTTTCCTCCTCCGTGTGTATGTGCAAGAAAAGATGCCTCTAGCGTAGCAGGAAGTATGAGTATGTGTGCAACAAAAAACATCTGTAGAGTAGCATGAAGTATGTATGTATGTGCAAGAAAAGATGTCTATGGGCAAATCATCAAATCTGTGGGTAAATGCAAGAAAAGATGTATATAGCGACGCAGGAAGTATGTGTGCATTTGCAACAAAAAACGTCTGTAGAGTAGCATGAATTATGTGTGTATGTGCTAGAGAAGATGTCTCTAGCGTAAAATGAAGTATGTGTGTGTCAGTAAAGGGAAGATGTCTCTAGCATAGCAGGAAGTATGTATGTATGTATGTATGTATGTATGTATGTATGTATGTATGCGCAAGAGAAGATGTCGCTAGTGTAAAAAGAAGTATGTGTGTGAGTGCAGGAGAAAATGTCTCTAGCGTAGCAGGAAGTATGTGTGTATGTGCAAGAAAAGATGTCTCTAGCATAGCATCCAATATGTGTGTAAGCGCGCTTGAAAGTTATTGGCCCCACACCCCACAACCCCCCCACCCCATACCCCCCTCCCAAACCACCAAAGATGCATTTCGTATTGCAGTTTTCTACCAGCCCGACGCCTTTTACCAAGGGCACCCCTGGGCATGTTTGTTGGTTTTGAACAACCCCCATACGGCCCATAACTATAGGATATATTCTCATCGAAGGAAGTTTAGAGGTCAAACTTCCGACAATATGGACAGATGAAAAGCAGAGATGGGAAGAGTCAGAGAAGAGAAGAGAAGAAGAAAGAAGATCAAAAAAGAGAAAGTCTCAGAAGAAAGAAGATCCAGGTGCGCGAAAAGGTAGGAAAAGTCGCTAAACATTGCGTTTTTCCAATGATTTGTGGCTCCGGATGGTCGAAAAGTAGGCTCGCTAAAGCGGCGGGTGCGGAGCCAGCTGGCCAGATGAGAGATGAAAAATTGCACGCCGTTGTGGCGCGAAGCACATTTCCAAGTCAAAATGTACAAAGCACCTTCGCGTCGGAGCACAAAGAGTGCACGCCGTTGTGGCGCGAGGCACATTTCGAAGTCAAAATGCACAAAACACATCAGCTTCGGAGCACTTTTAGAAGTTGAGATGTCGAAAAAGTGCACACCGTTGTGGCGCGAAGCACATGTCGAAGTCAAAACGTACAAAACACCTCATGTTTGGACCACTTTTGGAAGTTGAGATGTCGAAAAAGTGCACACCGTTGTGGCGCGAAGCACATTTCGAAGTCAAAAGTGCAAAAAAACTGCGGGTTCGGACCACTTTTGGATGTTCAGATGTCGTTTCGCGTGGCAGGCGCAAGGGATTGTGCACCTTGTCAAAAGTGAGCAAAACGTGCAGGTTTTGTAGCATTGCCAAAAACGACGGCAGGCGTGGGACATTTGAAGAGGATGTGCAAAGATGCATTCTCCGTGGCAGGCGCAGTACAAGAGACATGCTTCATCAGAGCTGTTAGGAGGTCCGGGCAGAGGTTGCATTTTGCTGCATCTTCAGTTTTGGGAAGATGATTTTGCGTGACAGGTGCAGCACTTTTTGATGTTGTCAACTTCGAAAATTGAGGAAGTCTCGCAGAATGGTTTCGTTTTTGATGTTGTCAAGTTCAAAAATTGAGGAATTCTCGCAGAATTGCTTCGTTTTTGACGTTGTCAAGTTCAAAAATTGAGGAAGTCTCGCAGAATTGCTCCATTTTTGATGCTGCCAAGTTCAAAAACTGAGGAAGTCTCGCAGAATAGCTTCTTTTTCAAGCTTGCAGGTAGACAGACAGACAGACAGACAGGCAGACAAACAAATAGATATATAGATAGATAGGTAGGTAGATAGATAGATAGATAGATACATAGATAGATAGACAATCACAACTACAAGTACAACTACCACTACACTACACTAAACACTATACACTACACTACACTACACTACTACACTATACTGCTACAACTACAAATGCACATATTCTATGCCACATTACACTACACTAATTACACTACACTACACTAATTACACTAACAACTGCAACAACAACTACTACCACAACTGCAACTACAATCACAACTACACTACACTACACTACACTAATTACACTGCAGCACACTACAACTACAAATACAACTACAACCACACTACATTACACAACACTACGCTACACTGATTACATTGCATTACGCTGCAACTACATCTGCAGCTGCAGCTGCAACTACAACTACCACTACATTACACTACACTACACATACTACACTACACTACACTACACTACACTACGCCACGCTACCCTCCACTACACTACACTAATGACACTGCACTACACTACAACTACAACTACTGTACACTACCTTACACTAGACTACACTACACTATACCACACTACACTACACTACCCTACCCTACACTACACTACACTACACGACATTACACTGCACTACACTACACTAATTACACCACACGACGGCTACAACTGCAACTGCGCATGCAAATACACTAATTGCACTACATTCACTACATTAGAGCTACAGCTCCACTACACTACACTACAACTACAGCTACAACTGCAACTACAACTACAACTGCACTACACCACACTACATCCAGCAGTTGTGGTAAGGTGACCCCTGCAACCATTGCAACCATTCCAAAAACACAACTCCAACCACCTGTCGGTCCATCAGTGGATTTGCTCTGCCATCCGTGATTCACAACAACCAACCTCTCCTATAGGTTTCCTATTTTTTGAAACTTCCGCCACCGCCTTGTGCGGTACTACTGGTAACTAAAATATATTTAATATCATGATGATTTATGATGTGTCCAACACAAATCCTATGAGCCTAAATTTCTTTACAGAAGCCTATCACAGATCAACCATCAAATCACACACAGCGTTGTCATTTAAGACTTGATTTTTTACTTGTGAAGATAAAGACATTTTCTGGTGGTTAAAAACACATGTTTGTTAAACACCGCCTTTCTGTAGGTTAAAAGCCCTGTTCGTCCTATAGCAAACATCAAATTGTTGAGATATTAAAAACTGCTACAAGACCATCCGGGAATCTTAAACATGGTGTGCTGGAAAATTCGCAATTCATAGACAATGTTCCCGTTCAACCCTCAATGTGTAGATGATGTTCATGGATTTTCCAGGCTATAAACTTCCATAAACTTCCATTTATGGATGATTTTCCCGTATTTTCCCAGCTATAAACCTCCATGGCCAGGCCCGGCTAGGATTTCCCACGTACCAAAGCCCCTGTTGGGTCAGGAACTTCGACCAAGGAGCTGGTCACTCGTCCATCCAAGTCCAACTGTTTCCCCACCGCCACGACCACCGCCGCTTTCCCCTCAGTGGCCACGAAGCGACGAAGCACGCGACTCACGCAGTCCATGAGCTTCGCTTCGAACATCACATTACTCACCTCCGTCGAAAAATTATCCGAAAGATCAGGGACTACCAGGATACTCAGGGCACAAGATGATACATGTATATACATGTAAACAAATGTGCAAGCTGCAGGCTATCGAACCATGGTTTACAACTATGCTGGCCAACGAACGAACTGGTTAAAAGGAAGATCGGATCATCCCTCTCTAGTGAACCTAGGCCTGGTGATGGGAAGTTTATGTTTTTTCCACTTCGTAGCGGATTTTTTTTGAACAGTTGGCTATGGAAAATGATGAATATGGACCACTTATTTGGCTGAAGCCGATGATTCATCCATTGAAAATCTGGTGATTCTGACCGTTCTGCCATTTCTCGGCTTCATGTGTTCATGTCATGTGGTGAATTAATTGGATCTATATGAATGATCTATGTATATAGATACACTACAACCAAAGTCATATCTGATGGTGGTATATGAACTAGTCCTAAGCATCGACATGGAATGTGGCATTTCTTCGCAAACAATGACTTATTTACTCTGATAACATCTTAACAGCCAATCCCAACCAAGATCGACATGCTAAATCCTGCTCGAATTTTGTAATCAGTGTTTGTCCTATCTTTTTGAAGTTTCCTGTATTTTAATGATGGTTTCATGGTCAATCTTTGGTAGTACACAAAAAATGTCATCTTTTGCTGCTTATTTCCATTTATGTTCCATTTGTAGCAGACAACTAGAGGATTTTCCACTACCCACCCGGTTGGTGATGAAATCAGACCAGTTTCTTCTCACGGGCACAAGGTGAAGCTCCCTATCTAATCATTAGAACATTGGTCATTGCTTGGTGGGATACAAGGTGGTGCCCCCGGTTGATAGCTAAGTTGGTGCATTTCAAACTCTAATAAGCAAAACTTATGGTAGTTTATACCTAATTATACTCTATACTTTTTATTAACCATATTATCCCATATATCCCATATATCCCTTACATTATCCCAACCAGTTTAGGGGTTTCAACCAATTTATAATTGGGGGCACCACCTTGTAGGAACTAATCCTTCTCAACCTTGGCGGCTTAGCCGCTCGAGGTTTTCCGTCCCTCTGAGGTTTTCCACATCGGGGGATGGATGGCAATCCAGTAAAAAAAACTAATCAAAATCCGCCCGCACCGAAGGTGCTGGGGCGTGATCGTCCGGATGGCACGATCGTAAAAGGTTACAGGTTTACCTGGGGGGGGGGGCATTTTTCGGCCAAAACCTCCTGTTTTTGATAGGTCGTGACGCTCGCCTTCAAAAAACACTGTAAAAAACAGTACGGAAGACACCTGTTCGTGAACGCGCCCGTCCAAAATCGGCAAGCGAAAAGTGAAAAAAAAAAACGTGTTTTTCAACTTTTTGACCTCAATTTTTTGGTTTGCAACATCTTTTTTTGCGGTTCCGCAGGTGGCCTGGCCCGGAGGCGGATTTTTGAGTTTTTGGACCCGTTTTCGGACTGATTTTCGTCGTTTTGTGATAGCAGAAACACTGGTTTTTACAGTGTTTTTCTGTTTTCTGCATGCTTGACGGCTAGCTTCAAAACTTCCAAAAACCTCGTAAATTACGCTGTTTTATGTTACGGTGTGAATGAAAACATCGTAAATACCAGTGTTTTTTGACGTTGGTTAAAAAAACACTGTAAATTACAGTGTTTTTGGCCACCTGACCCTCAAAAACCATGGTATTTGCAGTGGTTTCTGCTTCTCACCGCGCAAAAACACTGTAAATAACAGCAATTTCGCCGTTTTTTCATGTTTTTCGTTATTTTTTGAACTGCGTTGGTCCGCTATACATGGCTATCAAATTCTTCGCGTTTTTTTTTTCCGACAATCAGTACTTTCGGATGTTTTTGGTCTCAATGGCCGACATCATTGGCAGTTACGAGCGGTCGCGAAGGTGTGAGAACAACATCGTTCAAACCGTGGCGGCCGCACAGGGGTTCTTGTCGCGGAGCGACGGCAATAGAAGAGAACAATGGCAGTAGAAGAGAACAATGGCTGACATCATTAACAGTGTGGACCGTTCACTCGATATGTACATATATGATCTTTATATATATATATATATAGACTATAGATATATCTCTCTATCTGTCTATCGGTCTATCTTTCTCTATCTATTTTGGTTGGCCGACATCTTTGCCAGTGTGGAGCGTCCAGACAACAAAAGCCTACATCTTGCAGATCTGATACTTATAAAGCTTTTCAAATTTATTGCTTGTGAGCCCAACGATGCGGTGCGGGCGGTTGCCGTCGCGAAGCGACGTGAATATATGAGCGTATTGTGAAAGTGTACTTTTAACATCCTTTGTGGGGTGTACTATATATATATATATAGAATACATATTTACACATTACCAACGTCTGGTTTCTTTCGGCTTCGACAGTTTCACCCAAGTATATCATCACATATCACATATGATCAAGTTTCAGTTCATCATATATGCTCCCCAGTGGACTCGCAATATGATCTTTACATACGAATCCAAAAGCCAGTTCATAATGGGATATTCTCTGGTAATCAAACGTGCTAGCTGGGAAATCCCCCATAGAGGGAGTTTTAATGGGAAAATAATCTAGAAACATTTAGGGGATTTTCCACTGCCACGTTTGACTACCGGAGGATAGTCGTTTGAAACCGGCTCTCTTCAAAACGCTCTCCCAAATGAGACGGAACGTGATCAAATATGATTCATGGTGGAAAATATATCTGGGTAAATTATATCATGTCAATAATCTGAATCTTGCCGCCATTTGGCCATTTGGGGATGATTTCCCTCAAATAAACCATGATTCCAGGGCTCGGTCGCAGTGAGGTCGTGATAATTTACCCAGATATATCAACTGGACTTGTGGAAACAAAACGTCAAAACCACAACGGTCATGAAAGAAAACCGAACCAAGTCATTGTGGAACATCTTCGAACATATTCAGTACAGTTTTGGCCCAACTAACAGTTATGCTTATGGGTTTATAATGATATATATTATATAACCCTAGTTATAGGAGTGTTAATTCCATTCATGTAAATATATATATATACTGTTATTAGTTGGGCCATAACTGTATGAGTTCACTGAGACACAAAGTCAGAAGCAAGTCACAAAGAGTAACCTCGCAGTAGCAATAGCCTCCACAATTTTCTGGTTCGACTCATCACAAATATCGCCCTGCAAAAACTCTGCACGGCTTCCCACCTGAGGCGAAGACTCTTGAGCTTTTCTCACCGCCTCCTTTTGTCGTTCATGCGACAGTTCCACGCCCACACCTTTCGTCAGATCTGGGAACAAACTCAAGGCAGTCAGAACCAACTCACCTTCACCGCTGCCCAAGTCAACGAAGGAGCCAGACTTTAAGAAGGATTCCACCGACGAGGGGCCCAACATCGCTTGCAAGGCGCTCCACAGCTCCTTCGGGAACAGGGCCACCTCCATAACTGCCATTTGGAGGCAATGTTAATGCATGTTCGAGCATATGAATTTATTCAATCAGAACAGGGAGTCCTAGTCAAACACGAGTGCAATGGATTTTTGCGGAAGTACTAACAGATCATAATACATAACAATACCATTCACATGGAATAGAACGAAACAAATCAAAACATAGCACAAGGAGGTCATAAAAACACATCGGGGTAGTACTAAGACGCAGTTGACTTATAACCCTGTGTAATCATGAAAAAAAACACTGAGTAATAATCACAAATCATTCATTTTCTTACACAATGCGTGGTTTAGCACAACCCGAGAGCATTCTGAATGGCAACCTCTCTGAACTTTCACCGCATTCATCAATTGACCTCGGTTGATTGTGGAGAAAAAACTATCATAAACCATCCCCCAGTCATCACCATAAATGCTTGGTATATCAACCATCCCCAGTCATGGGTGGCTTTTGACATTGTATTGACATTGTTTTACCCACAATTATGGTCAATTGATGTCAACTCCGGATCCTCCTGCGCCATTTTCTCCGATGCCGTGCCGTACACGGCACTCCGCGTCGTGTAGCCCGCGTCACTAAACCTCTGCGCGTCTCCGTCGCTGAGATACGTCGGGCTCTGCACGGCCGGCCGTGGCAGCTCTGACCTCGGCGCCGTCGAAACGGCGCCGCAGAACGGCGACCCCGAGCCCAAGGCCAGGAACAGCCCGAAAGCAACGAGCATCCAACGGCAACGGGAAGCACGGCGACACCTGTCACCCTCACACGACATGGCTGTAAAACAAAAAAAGGCACACAACTTTTCGGTTTAGAATCTGTGGAAATTTAATTTGGTTGGATATTCGGTCTGCACCACATTGAATTGGTCCATTTTCCCCACCTGAAAGATTGCTCCATTCCAAATCTCAGAGTTGAAACATTTGAGAGTCATGTTTGTTCTTATTCCTTTTTGGATCGTGGACAAAAACATGAACATACATGAACGCAGGACGCAGGAATGCAAAGCGATCAAAACACCCAGATCTTTCCAATTTTTTCACGGTAATCCCTGGCATTTCCTGGCTCCAACTATGGTATATCGTCAATCATCATCCACCTCTCCACCTTCAGTTCAAATAGATGGTCTCTTAAAATATCTTAAAATTGGGTTTAAGGTATATCCCAAAAAATCACTTTGCTGATGGGAAAATGATGATTCACAAATGGATTTGTAGGACGTTCACCTACTTTCAGACGACAAACCCAGAAGTCTGGTGGGGACAAGCCATGTTGGACCTGGGACCTCTGAAGAATCTGAAAAAGAGCACGGCCAGAAACAGCTCAGATTTATGCTCCGGGAACCAAACATGTCCTGGAAAATCTCCTAAATCTCCCCTTGGTAGTTTTTTTCATTAGAATGCCCATGTGTAAAAGATAATTCCTAGCTATGTTGGTATCTGACCACGGGATCTGAACCCTGCCCTTGACAAAAAGGCCATTTAAGCTAGGGTCTCTTGTTGGCACCCTGATCACGCCTGATTTGTTCAACCCCAAACATGTCAATGATGTAAACACAAACATAAGCCATACCCAATTTAGCCAATGTGACAACTTACGGATCCTTTGGGGAGATTGCACCAACATCACAAGCCCAGTGGAAGAGTCTCGCCTCCAGCCCCGCGATTCCAAAGTCATTCTCCGACAAATCCAATTTCTTCACGCTGGCAGAGTGACCAGGGATTCGGATTCCCGCCGACAAGACCTGCTGAGCGGCCGTGCCACACGCATGACGTAGGCTGGGTGGATTCTGAATGATACCCTACGGTAAACTAACATAGCTATCAAAATCACCATTTTTTATAGGGGAATCAACTATAAATGGCAATTTTCAATAGCTATGTTAAATTACCAGAGGGTAACATGTTACGACATTTTTTGTGAAATGAGATTTAACTCCAAAACCACTGACCAACAGTCCGACATCGTGCAAAGAATTGTCAGGAACTTGGGTGGTGTTTTTCTCAAGAAATGCAGCGTACCGCAATTAATAGCCTTGTAGATGAGCAACATGTCTTTTTTTTAATGGATTAATTATTTTGGAATACCTTACAACAAGGTGGTGCCCCCTACTCAAAAGTTGTTTTGTAAACCCAGCTAAGTATAGATATATCCTGCATAAACCCAACAATTTGCCAAATCGTGGTTACTGAGCAACACGTCCTGGGGCACCACCTGCAGCATTGTTGCACAAACCGACATTTCCTGACAGTCTGGGAGTCTCAAATTTCAATTCAGGTCTATATTTTGTTTTTCTCATTCATATCAGAACATTCAAATGCATACAGCCTGGCCCATTTTCTGGAGTTATGATTTGATGATGTCTTTCAACATGAGGTGACTTCAGTGGGTAAAAGGAAACTCCACTGTACTCAGAACTAAAAATGACCAAACTCCTACCTTCCCAAACCATCTCACTTTCCAATTCACTTCAAAATCTCCGATGTTCATCCAAAAGGAAATTTTTCATTTTAAATATGGCTAACCATTCAAAAAAAACATAGGTTTGCCAGGTCGTCCCCATTAAATCACATTTTTCCCATGATTTGTGGTACCCCAACCGTTGCCAAAACCTCGACCCCCGGTGCACCTGTGCCACCTCCGCCGTGACGCCGGCGTGGCGAAGGTTCAGCAGCTCGCTGCGGCACTTGCCGGCCATGAACTGAGCCAAGGCCTGACGTGTGAGAAAAACATGGCGAAACATGAGGAATGACCGGTTTCACCACAACATGTTTGAAACAAATGTGGAAAAATGGGTGGATTTAAGGGATTCCAGCAATCATGAGGTCATTGAACTATATTCAAGCAACAAAACATGACATGAAACGAAAATGTGGATTTCACACAGACACTGGGATTCATATTTGATTTACTGGAACTTGGGAACCACATCACTCGAGGCATCTCGGCTGGGTAAGTTATGTCTGGTTCGTAATCACGTCTCTATCTATGGGAAATCAAATATAGTGGAAAAATCAATGGGAATCTGTGTGTTGAAAAACCGCCGGTGATTTGGTTGTGGGAAAACGAAACCAGAAATCTGATTGTCATCCAAAAAACCAGAGGATGGCCCCAAAAATTAATTGGTTGGGTCAGGGAAACATCAAAGGGATTTCCTGCCACAGTTTCACCATGGTTTCGTTTCATCCAAGCCCCGGAGAGGGCAAATTGGGCTCATTGGTGCCTGTAGGATGGAGAAAAATTAACGATAAACTATATTGTGTTTTTTTTGCTTATGTTTATGTCCATAGTTTTGGTCCCCACCTGCCAGGTGAGGGCATTTAGATTTTATCAAAGATGGTTTCTCCTTCCTTCTTCCTCCTTCTCCTCCGGCAGCATCGGATCGTGCAACTGCGAGCGCCAGATATTGGTGGGCATTGCAGACCTCAACTGGGAGCTCCAGATCTCAGTGGGCACTGCCAGACCTCAACCGCGAGTGCCAGATCTCAGTGGGCACTGCCGGACCTCAACCGCGAGCGCCAGATCTCAGTGGGCACTGCCGGGTCTCAACCACGAGCTCCAGATCTCAGTGGGCGATGCCGGACCTCAACTGCGAGCTCCAGATCTCAGTGCGCAGGGCCACTGAGATCTGGCACTTGCGGTTGAGGTCCGGCAGTGCCCATGTCAGAGAAAATGTCAGAAAGAATGCCAGATAGAACGCCAGAAAGCATGTCACCATACAGGCCAGAAAGAGTGTCAGCATATATGCCAGAAAGTATGTCAGAACAGATGCCAAAGAATGTCAGAGTATATGCTAGAAAGAGAAAGAATGTCAGAGTATGTCTGGGCTTTTGTTTTGATAAACGTAACAAGGTGTATCGTGATTCAACTAAGTTCAACAACGCAGATTTTGGAGTGATTGAACCACCAAATCCCCAGTGCTCCCAATCAGTGCAGTCAATCATCTCTACTTCAGCTCGTTAAGCCTCCCCCTTTAGTTGCTAAAACCCTGGCCTTGATCAACCCAAAACTGGTGTTTTGACATCTGCACCAAAACCTTTACTTGGATCCCCACGTGCATTGGTTAAATGACCAGACTGGATAAGTCCCGGCTTATCATGCTGGCAATTGGAGTTGACTTTGGTGTTGCGTTTGCTTTGTCAGCACGCACGATTTTGATATTATATACTATCGTGAAATCAGCAATTTTGGGGTGGTTCCCTTCATTAGTCATCATTTACGGTGAAGGTTGCGGTGGGGTCGCTGTAATTTTCCCCGGGTGTCTTGCTATTACGCCACTCATCCAAACTCTATCATTGAATTGAACTCATTATGTCAACTTTGCCACCCATCACCCCAAGGAATGTTAACTTCTGATTAATAACCCCCACTTGAACAAAGCAAACTATCCTTTAATCCCAGCCCAACATCATGGTGAATGCCAAAAAATCTCACTTTCGACTAGTCAACGTACATTGCACCATTGAAATCGAAAAAATAAGTTGTACTAGTTGTATCTAACAAAGATTGACCCTGAATCATCCATCTGACGTGAGAAATTTCTATGAAATAAACCAACCAGCTATTGGGGATCCAGCCACCGTGACTATGGAAACCATCATTTTTTGAACATGCCGATTCCGCCCACAGCCCCCCAGAACAACAGCCGCGGTTCCTCCGTCTTCTCCTCGCTGCTCAACTGCGTCAAATGCAATTCTTCCAGCGCTGAGTTGCGCGCCGCCGCTGCCAGTGCCTGCTGCGCAGGAACCCAGGCGTTGGTTCTTTTTGGGGTCAATGGGGAATATATAGATACAATAATGGTTGTGTTGTGGCAGAACGCTTGGGAAAATGGAAGGCTAATGATGGTTACCACGAAAAGGAACAAACATTGAGGTTAAACCGCGGACATGGTCATATAAAACCAGCACGCATTAAGTCCTAGTATGTCCCGATTTTCATCTGTCCTTGAACCCGTAAATATCAGAAGTGGAACCAACATATTCTGGCCGAGCCCCAGCAAAACGTTTGCGTAGCAAATTCAATTTCCACTATTGACTAGCCCGGCTATCCACATCAAGTTGGCTGGCCACATCCGCTTACTTGTGGTTCAGCAACCCATCAGGTAACAGAGGGACTCGAGTTCCCTGCAAGAGGCGTAACAGGTAGAGAAAACGTGTTTTTTTTCAGTCGATGTGTCAAACCACCAACCAGAATCTACAGTAGAGCTCAAGTTCCCTTCATCGGCAATGGTTGCGCCTTGGGTTCCCGCTCCATTGATTTCCTATGTGATCCAAACGGGAATGGGCAAAAACTCCACGCAACGAAACAATCCCATCATGATCAACATGCTCTGATGTGTTTGGCAACCAATGTATTTGCCAACGCCCTTGTCACTGTGGATTTCATGATTCCCGAAGCTGAGACAAACAAATTCTATGTTTTCTTATGTTGGACGGCTCACAGTGCCGGCCACACTTTTGCAGGGAGGTCGGCCAGTGACAGTGCCATAATAATAATAATAATAATAATTTGCCTTTTTCATCCCAAATTCTGACAACCGCGGGCTGCCAGCACCTCGTACCCAGCGGCGTTGAAGCGGTTGTCTTGCAGACACAGTTTCTTGAGCGTTGTGTTCCATCGCAATGCCGAAGCCATCACCTTTTCACTCCAGGAGGACAGGGCGCACGCGCAGGCTGGCTATTTTTTGATTGAAAAAAGTGTTTTGCGAACCCGCTCACTGTAGTAACTGTAGTATCTAGTTTTATCCAAATATGCCCGTGTACTGCACGGATTCCAGGTTTTGGGCTACTGTCATTCGAGGTTTGGGGCGCTTCTGTAGAATTTTGACCTTAATGATAATTTTTGATTGTCAAACACAGGTGCAGGGGTCAAACTGAAGTTACAAGACAAGCGTTCCAGGACATGCCGTGCGCTCAGAGAAACTCTAAGGACTCCAATCTCATGTTTGAAAGGCTGACCGGAAAACGAAGAGGAATAACCCTTCCCACGTCGCAACTTGGGAGTATGTCTGGGTTGCGGGGCACCTTCTACAAGGTTGTGATTAAACGTGACCCGCTTCTTATCACTTTAGGCATGGATGCTGTGTTGCACGCCCTGGCAAGCCAAGAAAGCGCTACAAAAGAACATGCAATGTACATCGTTCCAAGAGGAAATGCGCCCATCAAGCGCTTCAGCTTGGAAAACTAGCTCTTTGTTGGAGGACAATTCCACCAGCCGACAATTTGAAGGCGTTGGCAGAAACCCGGTGACCCCCCAAACCCACCAGTTCCCAAAACCCACATGCGCGGCCAACCCAGTGAAATTCACCAGAAAGCCCGCAACTTGGTTTAAGGCCGCTTCTTGAGGTCTTTGGGTCATGAAGATGTTGCGTTCCCTGTGCATTGCGGGCTGCTCGATGCTGTAGCCATCCCACCTCCGCTGTCTGTGGAAGCAAACCCCAGGAGGTCACCAACACCCCAAGACTTCCTGATATCCAGAAGTTGCTGCCGTGCCTTGACTCTTCACTCCTGGTGGTGTGGTTGACACAACTTCATAAAAATCTTTCAGCAAGACTAACATCGCATAGGATATATACTTGCGTTAATTAGGCAAGAGATACAAACGTCTATTTCCTGTCGGTGAAGCAACTTTAATGTGTATGTGCAATCGAATAATATACTGTACATGTGTACATACATGTATTGCATTGCATGCATATATACCTTTAGAACAAAACCATATATATACATATATCAAATAATGATGAAGGTATATCATATCAATTAGATATGAATATTTAATTTAGTGGCTGTAAAATATATAAATGTCACGTCTAGTATTACATGCATGTTTTGATGTATGTGGCTGCATTACCTCATATTTGAAAAGTATATATATATATATTATAATTATTGTGTTATATATAATATGTAAATATTCATGTAAATGCGTGTGTGCTTCAAATGATACTACATATATGGACATATGGTTTATACATTCCCATTAAACGTTCAAACAGACTATATCATATGCGTAAATAGATGGATGCAAATACATGAATATGACTTTGATATATATATATATATGTTCATATCAATGTATATTGTATAGTGTCCATATGTAATCAAGTATTGGGTATATCATCATCACCACCACCATCATCATCATCATCATTTTCATCATTATCATCATCGCCAAAAACAATATATATATATATATACACATACATGTAAGGTTTTGCAGCCGATAAGGGGTCTCTGGAATTTGATTCTAGGGTCCTTGGTAATTTAGTTCTACCCATGATTGTGTGATATATGTGTTCCAACATTTACTGCTATTCTTTATCTATCTTATCTATCAAGGTAGGTGGCCTTGGTATATACTAGTGAAATTTATCCCCAAGGGAAAAATCGTATTGGGCTAGTGTCCCTTGGATGTTTCAATGTTATTAATTCTTATCCGCCGTTCGATTGTCATGCCAAGAAGGGGATTGACAATTTGCCTCTCCATCCATTTGCCCTTCTACTGTACTCCTGGAAGTATCAGTCAGAACAAACGATCACCAATTCGATCGTAGTTCAGATATGTTTTTGTTGGTTGAATACTTAGATAAAAAATAAGATAACATATTGTTATGCGACGGATTTGCGGTGGCGATGGATTTGGGGTCCCCCGAGCCAAAAGATCGGCCAACAAAAAAATCCTAAATCTCAAAATGAAGGACCCCGAATCCATTGCGGGAAAAATCATGGTAGAATATAATAGGTAAGGCTGTTTCCTATAAGGCCACATGCAAATTTCTGCACCCTGATATCGGCAATTTTTTTCTTTCCTAAATCCAAGGGTACAACCTCTGTATTGCCGAAGTCTAGGTGCAGAATTCTTCACCTTGACCTAACCCCACCAAGCACCTAGGATATCGTAATTTTCTTTTGTTTTGGCCTAAGTCAAGGTGCAGATTTCTGCTCCCTGAGTTCGGCAAAATCCATAGTTGGACATTGCATTTAAAGGATATATGATGTAAAGTAGAAATAATGGGGAAATTTCGAATTTTAATAAAAGAGTTATCCCAGGGATAATATTGATGGCTTTAAACCAAAGGTATATGGGGACACCGCCCTAGAAGAAACATGAGTGTGGTTGAAACAAATAGATATAGTACATACCCTATAAAGGGATAATACCCGTTCCATTTTAATCCAGCAATTGGTTGGGTACCCTTTAAGGGAAATGGTAGTGGACCCCTGTTTATCCAAAGAATATAGTAGAACAATAATCGTAATCGATACTGGGATGATACCAATTTAATCAACCAATTGGTTGCCTAAGAGTGAACATAATAATGCACATATGATAATCCATGAGCATGGTAGAAAACAAATAGATATATTAAATAACCAATGGTAAGATAATACCTAATCAACCAATTGATTACCTCATAGGGGAAATAATAAGGTACCCATAATACAATTCAATTCCACCATATATAAAATAGTTGGAAAGACCCAAGAATCCATTTCCAGAGACCCCAGATCAATTGCAAAACCGTATTTATACATCATATGAATGTATATATATATATAGCCATATATATATGTACAGGTAGATATATGTATAACATATATATATACATATCATACATGTTTCCTTCAAAGGACAAGTGTCTCTAGTTTACTTTTATGGTTTTTGTTGGTCATCTGCATTTCTGTTAGGCAAAACCGGAATCTTGCTGATATTCATATACTCCATCGATTGTGTCAATGCACCATCATAGATCTCCACTGGTTCTGATTCCTTCCAAACAAAGTCACCATCAAAAATGCATGCTTCTCCACCGTTTGGTTGTGTAATGAATTAATTTAAGTGATAAACGGCTGTTTGTTATCACAACCCAAATTAGTTGATGAAAGTTCTTGGCTATTAGCATGCCTGCCCTGCAGGGGATTGGGAACTACCCCCTAAATGGATGATTTATAAGGGAAAATCCATCTATCAATGGATGATTTATGGGTAACCCCATTTATGGAAACCCTCATGTGTCATTGAAGATTGATGACATCTGACTGATTTAAAACAGCTTGACAACTTCAAACAGAATTGTACCCATCATCGGCTATGGCGACGTGCAGTGAGGTCACTATAGTTCACCCAAATGGGTAGATAGTATTTTAAACCTGTCACATATCCATCTACTTGAAAGTCCAATTGATTCCAATGTTCAGTCTCATTGTCATAATATGATGCCTATGCCGCAAACTACATGAGTTACCTAGTCTGACGATTTGTAGATCATGTTTCCAGAATCATTCATGAAAACGGAGACACAAAAAAGGACACTTTTTTGGATCTACAATCAGCAATATGATTTTGCCCAAAACAGCAGGTATACCCCAATTTAACAGTGAACGTCATGTTCTCAATTCAGTCTCAGTCGCATCAAACTTAGGGGTACTCAACTCATCTCTGCCGAAATTTTCCGTGATCGGGGGCAGGGATCCAAAGTGGTAAGCCATCCATGTCATCCAAACTGGTCTGAAAATCGGCGACCAGTTTTCCTATGAAAATCCCCATTATATCCAATAGATCCAATGGTTGATAGTCCTCATATTCTCCATGTTTCAAATTTCTTCACGAACTATTTGGGTGTTTTTTCCCCATTTTCACAGCCCAGTGGGTCCAGTGAGTTATGGGATAAGCAACGAAGAAGTGGTGTTTTGGTGACAAAGCTCCAGATGGAACATCACCACTTTCGTATTCAAAATTTACAGGAACGCCCCCCTAAAACAAAAATTGGAAAAAATGGGAAACACCCATGGAAAAAAATGGGAAAAAATGGGAAAAATTGGAAAATCCATGTGTTTGCCGTTTTTTGTTCCCTAGAAAACCAAAATCTATTGATAGATGGGATGAAAAATTCACCACGGATCGACCAGGGATGCAAAAAAAACCCGCTGGGCCGCTGGGCCTTCGAAAAAACACATCACTGGGATTTCATGGTTCCCATCCAAATCTAAGAAATCATTGGGTAAGAAAATGGTCTATGGGATAATGTATGGGATATTAATGGGATAATAAGGTGAAACAAATCAATAGATATGGTGTATGGTTATTAATATCATTGCTGGTGGTTGACCTACCCCTCTGAAAAATGATGGAGTTGGTCAGTTGGGGTTACGACATTCCCAATATGATGGGAAAGTCATAAAATTCCATGCTTCCAGCCACCACCAACCAGATTGGGTACCCGAAAGCAGAAACCATCACACAGCAAATGGCCCATTGCATCTCATAGTTGATAAAAACCAATGATAAAAACCCATGGATTTAGCTGTGAATCCCGCGGTGATTGTCCATAGCCAGGTGAGTTAGTAAAGGGCACTTTATAATTGCTAAGGGCACACCGTTCCCAAAAAGCAAATCTCTGAAAAAGGGATCATCGAGCCCCTAACTTTCGTCGGCGAAATGATCATGGATGTATTGGTGTACTACTGTATAATCAATGATAATATGGTTACCAAAATGGTTATCAATTAATATTCAATGATGTCTTACTGTATGATAATCATTGGTGTATTACTGTATAAAACATGCTTAAACTAATACTCAATGATAATATGGTTATTCATGGTTATTGCCATATTATACCATTAATACTCGATGATACTTAGTGCTTCATCATTAAGTATTAAGTATTATATATATATATATATATGATGGATGTCTAGGGGGGGTTCCATCAATGTGGGTAACCCCAAATGGATGAATTGGGCATTGTGGCCCAACTAACAGTTATTTGTATGAAATTATAACTCCTATAACTAGGGTTATATATATATACACGCATATATATATAATTATATCATGAAATAAACCAATTTACATAACTGTTAATGGCCAAAACTGTAGGAAACCTTCATATGGCGCACGACAAGCACCTTGGCATTGGCCTCGCTTAGATCGTAGCCGGAGAAACTCGCCTACGCGGGGAGAACATGCCGGGCCTTAGGCCCTCTACAGCTCTGGCCCCCACTAACAGTTATGTTTATTGCTTTATTTCATTCTATTTCATGATATATATATATATGTATGACCCTAGTTACAGGAGTTATTTCATTCCATACAGCTAATCACTTTTTTTAGGGCAATGTAAAAAACATATGCTCGTCATTGGGGATGACGAGACGATGATGATGTTGTCACAAAGCTTTGGAAAAAAACAAGTCCTGTTAAATTTGAGTGTTTAAGTCTTGGTGAAACAGCAGAAAACATGGAAACACACAGTTTCACATGTGGAAATATAGACAACCTAGAATTAAATTTTGTGTTTAAGTATATTCTTGACCCATATTCTCTATGTCTTGGCTTTAAATCACAACGCCTGGAAACGCTCAGAGAATATATGGGGTCAATGTTCCAAGCAACATCGGCTTCAGACCAAGGATCAGCACTTCTCAGAGTAGGACATCTCTTCGCCAATAGCAACGTTGAATTGACCGTTCTGAAAACGAATAGATTTAATAGAACATAGCAATATCTCTGGGCCTTTTTTTTTACTTTGGCCCACATAGAAATATATATGAAATCCTCCAAAGCAACCACGGATGATCAAATTTGGGGGAACCCTTAAAGTGAAGGTTTACTGCTGTTGGTAAGGTGCACCCATGCTGTCATTTTCCAATACAGGCCGTACCCTGTGGTAAACTAACAGTTCGCTATGGAACATCACCATCTTTAACAGGTAAAACAACTATTTCTATGTGCCATTCTCAATAGTTATGTCACAAATTACCAGAGGGTATCTTAAAAAATCATCTTGTCTTGGACAATGCTTGGGCACATTGTACAGCCGTTGGATTGTTCATCCCTAGTTGAAGAGGCATCCCAGGCTGGTGACACACCCCAGTATCTAAGGCCACATCCATGTGACTGTTACCCACCAACACAAGGCCCATCCCAGCTTGGCTTATATGATGACCATGCCCGAGTCAAATCCAAGGCCATGTTTAACTCATATATGCTGGCAATGCTGTATATAACAGCCATTTCGGCTGGTTCAATTCCCACAACGAAGGGACTTAGAGTATTGGATTATTGGTGCAACCAATGCAAATCCATTGTGCTACAACAGCAACTCATTGTTACAGTGTTGATGCCTCATTGAAAGCTTGAAGTGTGTATGTATGTATATCTGGTTGGTGGCTTCAACTCCTCTGAAAAATATTAGTCAGTTGGGATTGTTATTCCCAATAAAAACATGTTCCAAACCACCAACCAGTATATATATATACACATGTGTATATATATATATACATAACATAGGTCTTCAGTCAATGTCCATAGATTTTCTACAAACCCAAATAGGAGCGGCTAAATCACTGGCGGAGATCTTGGACAATGTGGCGGAGAGAAAAACTTGGCGGTTCAGAAACCCTGATTCGAAGGTACAACAAAAACACAATCATTCACATTGGTTCTCTATATCATATCCCATAGGATCCATGCATGCTATATATGGTAACATTTACCATCAATATACCCCAAATGTTAGCATATATACCATACATGGTTCTCTATATCATATCCGCATTGTCCAGTGAACTCCCCCCAAAAAGTTTCTCCAGTGGCCTAAGATATGTTCTTTTCATGTTCAACCACTATATAAGCATACAACACACACACACACAATGAAACCTTCGAAATACGAACTGTTTTTCCAAGATTCAGATCCCTAACACTGTTTCGAAAAATCACATAAATCCTGTTTTTCACAAAAATAAACATATATCTGATATCTATATAAATCCATTATTTAATCCATATCAATCCATATTATATCCTCAATTTTGGCAGATATTTATCCGTAGCGCCTCCTCTCGACTGGGCTCCACCAAAACCTGCCACCAGGCGCGGATGATGATCAGCTTCTCATCGCCAAGCGCCTCCGGTGACTCCTAACTGGTCGCCAGGGCCGAAGGGCCGAAGGGCCGAAGGGTGGAGAGGTTTTTTTCTTAACATGGTTTAACCATGTTAAACGATGACTTAACTAGTAAACATGATGGTTTTAGATGTTTTAACCATGAAACATGGTTTTACATGTGTTAACCTATGCAAAATGATGACTTAACTAACTTAATTAGTGCAAATGATGGTTTTTAAATGATTTAACCATGACAAATTGTGGCTTAACCAGTAAAAAACATTGTTTTTACATGTATTAACTTGTTATCGTCATGAAACATGCTGATATAACATGACTTAACGATGATGAACGATGCATAAATTTTGTGATTTTGGCATCCACAAAAATGAGAACGTGTTGATGGAAAATGAAACGATCAGAAGGCTTGAAGCAAGTCTGGCCATGGCCATGTCATGGGAGGTTCGTCATGGGGATTGACTAATCCATGCCATCCCATATGAAAAAAACATAAAAAGTGTCGACCAAGTCTGAACTACTAAAACAAGTGGTGTTTTACCATGAAGCGCCATGGTTCTGTTGATGACCTAACAAGAACAGTTGAGGTTTTGGCAGCACAAATAAGTTTTAAGCTAGCAAACTGTGGATTGAAGCTACAAAGGATAGACAATTTAACTACCAAATAGTGGTTCGATTATAGTTTTAATAAGCACAAATGATGGTAACCGTTGATGGGAATGTAACTGAAAAATAATCTTAATACTGCCTTTATATGTTTTGATAATGTTTTTACTAGTTTTAATAGTGGTTAATCACCCATAGTGGGAATGTAATTGACAAATGCTGTTTGGCTGATGAGGTAACCATCAATGTTACGAAAGCACACATCAACACAATGCTTACAAATCATCAACACTGGAGATATAAAACATATATGATGGTCAATGATTTTGAGTTCTTTCACTGTCATCTAGGGTTGTTTTAGCATCAATAATGGGATATCATACAGATGTGATGTTCGGCTGACGTTGGATGAGTGGCATTGTAGATAAATCAACCATCAAGTAGTGGTTTTAGATGGTTTTAGAAGTTTCAACCACCAAACATGGGGGATGTACTTGACAACTCATGTTCGGTTGATGCTCAATAGATGACAACTATGAAAAGTAGGAGGTATTAAGCATCAGCCAGGGATATGGTTTAGGTCATGTGATGGTCGATCAGCAATAGGGCCAATAGGTTTCCTTCACCATGACGTTGACCGTTGACCGTTCTTGAACTGGCCGCTAAATAATCAATTTGCTGGGTTTGGGGATCTGAAACCATCATTTTTGATGGGGTCGGGTATAAGAAACCATCCAACTTAACGCCTAGGGGATGATCATGTCTTGGTGGCAATTGGCTACGGGGACTGAAGAAAAAAACGCAAATGGCTAGACTGGCACCTCCACGATTTGTTTGGATGTTGAGACTTGTTGATTCTTTACCCACTATGGGCGTTTTTTGGCTTTCTCAAAAAAACATAAAAAAAAACACTGCTCTGTCCCAAAAAATCAGCATCAAATGGCTTCAAACCCGGGCCCAGCCGACGGCGGCACGGCGGTACCGTTCGGTACCGGGGTCCTGCAACTGAAAGGCATCCATCATGGGGCGAATGTGTGGCAGAGCCACTCGCAGAAGACCCAAGTCAGAGTCTAAGTCTGCCTCGCGAGTCCCTTTCGGTGGAAGGGGGTGCCCCAGAAACTCCAACGGTGGAAGGTATGTTGAGTTAGTTGAGTTGATGGCAGATGGAACTACAGTGGGAAACTCATCCAGCAAACATACACTTTTTAAGCACCACCTTATGGAGTTCCTCTCAGGCTTCCCCGGCGCCGATTGGATAGGAATACTCCGTTTACATCCCCAGAGGGGGCCTCTGGGTCTCATGATTCATCACCCAGAAAAACCACGTGGGATCACTTGGATCATCTGAGGGCAATGTTCCAGTCTGGGCAAAATTCCCAAGTCACTGTCAACAAATCCCCGCTGGGGGTGGCTGGGCTGTCAAAAAAAATCTGATGATGTCGATCCGTGGCTTTTGGCTTTTCAAAGCATTTCGAGGTGTGTTCACAAGCATAAAACTGCTTGGTGGTTGAGCCCCACCCCTCTGAAAAATGATGGAGTGAAAGGCAGTTGGGATTACTCGACATTCCCAATACGATGGGAAAGTCATAAAATTCCATGGTTCCAGTCACCACCAAGCAGACTATTACTAGCGGTACGTGTGTACAACCCTCTACGAATGTTTGAGATCTGATCTCCCCTAAAAAAAATAACACCGATCCAAGCATTGCTGACCCCACCACTACCCTGGGCCGCCCTTGTGTTCGCAACATGGCTGATATGGCTCTGAAAATTGTTCATGACACATCCAACATGGTTATTTGAAATGGATTTACAGGTACCCAAGTTTTAGACAAGCCCATATAGGCATTGCTACATGTTTTTTGTTTATCGAACGCGATGGTTGCACAGGTACTGTATTTGACACATGCTTCTGAAGGTACTGTATTTGACACATGCTTCTGGGCAACTACTGTATCCCACCATTGATTGTTGGTCAATAAAAACAAGAACTTGTGCTGGTTGAAGAGCCACACATGTGGCGCTCAAAGATTGAAAACCAATAGACCTAGAATTGAACCATCCTTTTTTGGGTGCAATAACATTGAGCCATGTCAGTTGATCAGAGATTGGGATTTTCCAGGAAGGCCCCCGAAAAAAGAGGCCCCTAAACGATATAGCAAAGTTGGTGAACAATATAATTCCACGAATTATGATTTATGATACGCACATAACTATAGTAGTCATTGGGGTGAATCTAAACCACAAACAAAACTGGGGGGCCGCTTTGTAGTTAAACATACATACATATCATCTATATATACACACATATAACTTATAACTTCATATAACCGTAGCCCAGTTAATTATCTTAAAAATACATACATATATTATATATATTATATATACATGAAATTATATATATATAAATTATATATTATATATATATACATTATATATATATTATATATACATTATATATATTATATATATACATTATATATATACATATTGCCTAGTTATAAACCTCCAACCTATCCTTCCAAGGCCCCTGCGAGCCATTCCCACAGCTCGCCTCATTCCACAAGCGCCTCTCTCGAGCAAAATGTGAACCCCACGGTGATGAGAAGAAAAATATGGAGGTGCTGAAAGGTGATGTCATATTTAATACATGTTTTAACATATATATATATATATATACATAATATATATATACATAAATATATACGATATATAGATAGATAGATAGATAGATAGATAGATAGATAGATAGATAGATAGATAGATAGATAGATATATATATTACCAATATATACCCTCTGGTAAACGTTTACATAACGAACTGGAAAGATCCACCATGCTATTCATGGGTAAATCAACGAACTTTCGACTGGGCCATGGCTTCCATAGCAAACTGTTAGTCATTACCAGAGGCTACATTGTTTTTTGTACCTGTCAAAAAGCCATGGTGCTTCCAAGGTGAGATCATCCCAATGAGGGAAGCAAGATCTCAACATCAGCCCGTCGACGACTCGAATTCCCGAGTTCCAATGATGTCCAGTCATGTCCAGTCATGTCCAGTCTACATCCCGAAACATCCGAAAACATCAACTCAAACAGAACTTACAGAACTACCTAACTTACAAAACAACATGAAGTTGCCAAAGATACCCTCTGGTAAACTAACATAACTATGGAAAATCATCATGTTCAATGGGAAAATCCACTATAAATGGTCATTTTCAATAGTTATTTTGACATAACCAGAGGGTATCCATCCACCAGCCATGAAAACCATCTCCCCGCCTGGCGCCCAATTGATCCTCGTCATCTAAGGCGATGCCCAGGCGTTCCCCGAGCCACGGTGCCACGGCCTGGCGCAGACGAGGGAAGAAGATCCAGGCCAAGGTGAGCTGAGCCGCCGGGAAGAGCAGGTTCAGCGTCCTGGGGATGGGATGGCTAGGGATGTTTATAAGTGATATATAACTATAGTTGATATATCTCTAGTTGATATAACTATAGTTGATATATCTAGTGTTTTTATAACTGGGATGTTTATAGGTGATATATCTATAGTTAATAGGTGATATATCTACAGTTTATTATAGGTGATATATCTATAGTTAATAGGTGATATATCTACAGTTTATTATAGGTGATATATCTATAGTTAATGGGGATTATAACATATTTATAATTGGAATGTTTCTGAAACACTGGATGGGTTTTTTTAAGGGAAAATCTTAACCGGAAAACCATGGGTTTTTACCATCAAATATATAGGGCTTTCCTGTAAATTTTCCCATAATCCAATTCTATGATTCTGTTTTTTTTTGGGGAAGGGAGCGAATTTTTCGGGAATATGGGGAAGAATATGACATGACATGGGAATATGATCTGATGGAAAAATGTGATGTGGAATATTATTATGGGAATATCCATGGGATGAAGGGACATGATTGATGATGGGGGTTTTAACCAACACGACCAATGTATGGGATTATAAGGGATTGAGTAGGAATAACATGGGATATACCATGATATACCGGATATACAACCAACATCAACCAACATGTTTATTGGTTATTATTGGTGCTTGATTTTAGCAGCAACAAATCTTATCGCTCTTTCCAAATAATATTAGGTATACCTTCCATTAATGGGGTTTTGAAATCGATAGATCCGATAGATCCCAAATCCAGGGCTCTAGGTTTTATTTATCGTATATATAATATATAAACATATAATTGTCTAATTTTAATATAAACATATAATATAAACATACATACGTATGTATATGATTGTATATGTATTGGGGGATGGGATTGATGTGTGCAAACATGATGGCGCCCTGAAAACATCTACACGTCGCTGGCGTTTGGGCAAATGCCAGCCTGAAACAACAGAAGCCGCTCGACGGAAGTGAAGTCTCAGCAACAAACAAATGGGGATGTGATGGGACCAATTTTTACACAGAAAACCATCCTAGGAGACTTACAAACCAGAGCAATTAACTAGTTACGATCTGGGTGATTCTCCAAGTGGGATGACTCTCCACATGATTTTTTTCGCGGGTATTTTTTTGGGGTAGTGGGAAAAGCACCAACATGCACCAACCTTTATTGCAATGTCTATCCTGGACATTCTCATCCCCAAGGCGGACCCCCTTGTACGAACCGGTGGATGTTGATCCACAGATCGGCCAGGTGTTGTCAAGTAGAGAATGGAGACATGCCATTGATGCGCAACATTATTTCACATCATATTGCATCTATAGAATGATATGTACCCCATGAATATTGAATATCCCCATTGCTTTGCGGGAAAGCAGTCCCAAAAAATCAAAAACACGGTTTTTATTCATCCGGAACTAATATCAATATACCGTTCTATCCCACTCGAACTCCTATCCCATCCTATCCAATTCTATCCCCATAAAACGGAGACTTCCCCATGGCCCCAACCCATTCATTCCCACCATTCCACGCAAACCAAGCTGCGCAACCACGAGGGAGCCACCCTCGAGGCAAAGAAAGGCCAATGCCAGCACGGCCTGCGGAAAATTCTCCATACAGAGCATCCAACGCCTCGACGCTAGCGTTGGAAAATGGCTGAAATATCATGGGTGCCTCATATTGCACAAAGCTGAAATGTTGGGCATGGGGATGATTCCCCGAATCCTAACCACCATTCCATCATTCCAGGGTTCGGTCACGACGTGAGGTCACGATGAAAACTACCCAGAAAAAAAATGGTCGTACCCTTCCATGGAGCATTGGGGATGGCTATATCATGGGATTACGGGTCAAAAGCCGAATAGCCTACCCTAAAATATAGCTGCAGCTGGTTAATGGATGGCTAAGTCCCCATTCATATGGTAATAAAAGGTTTTGACCCATCCCCAGATCATGGGAATATGGGTGGATTTCATGAGATTTGTTTGGGGGATTAACTTAATACCTGGGATGTGTATGAGCAGTGTTCAAAAACCCGATTCATGTCGTCCCTTTGTACTGGCCGGTCAAGAACTGATTTCCCAGTGAATTGTGATACTCCCCAATATATTGGATAGTATGACCTCATATAATCAACCACCAGGTGTTAGAACACTGCTGTGGGCAAAGATATTCTCTTTTTTGGTGATTATGAATCCTTGGAAATCACAGGAGTGGAAAAGACCATGGAACTTTAAAACATATTCACTTGATGTGAACCATTGGGATTTGACCATATATGTAACTATGGCGACACATACCCACCCGAACACGTGGAATCAACTGCTTTTGCAGTGGGCCAATCATCGACGCCAAACCAAGAATGGTGTAAAATCTATGCATCTTTTCTGCGGATCTGGGAGTCCAACGGCCTAACTTAGCCAAAGCAAGGAACCCAGGACATTCCACCAAGAGTCTCTATAATTTTGAAATATCAACCTTCTTTGTTAAATGAGGTTTCCCTGCAAACAACATGTTAAAAAAAAAAAACAACGACTGAGGATCAGCTTCCACTTGTTAGAGCACAGTAGCTATTCACTTCTGGGATGAAAGTTTAAGTCTTGGCAGTTCAAACTTGATCCCAACATCTTCCAAGCTACTTCCTATTAACAAAATCAGTATTACAGTAGTCAGTTGTGTTTCCCCATGCTTTTCCCCATGCTTTTCCTCATGTTTTCGTCCCCGCCTGGTAGGTGTGGTTTGTCTGTACAGCACCGGCAAAATCCTCCGCTTCACCACGCCGCAGCCAGTTCCACCGGGCGCTGCCGTCGTCGCCGCCGGCACCGCGGTCGGTAGCAGTGCGGTGGAGGGGACGAGGACTACGGGGATGTGACTGGCAGCGAGTTCCGCCAGGGTGGAGTCCATGGAGAGGAAATAGAAATGGATGAAGAGCAGGTACAGAAGACCTCACGAGACACGGAAAAAAAAAAACACGAAAAAACTGTGTCGCTGTGTGAAGTAAATGTTCTGTGGAATTCCTAGCTGTGTGATGTGGATGATATTTATGTATAACTTGTGTATATCATGTGTGTGTACATATTACAATATCATGTACATACATATGTGTATATATATACAATGTAATATGATATATATATACACACTATACGTATGTGTATACATATTTATATATATATAGGAACCTAAAGGGTTGGGGTGTCTGATTCTATGGGTATATAATCAGAACCCCCAAGCTATAAATGTTTTTCCCCATATATATATATATATATTTATATAATCAGGACCGGCAGGAAGAATTCAACTGTACACAATCAAGGCCTCCAAGGTTCAGTTTTTGTGACATTTTTAGTCAAAAAAAACATTATTCTACCCTGGGTCAGCCAGATTAGCTAGATAATCAAGACCCCCCAAGGTTAAACCTAAGAAATATAACAAGAACGAGGCACCTCTACCTGGAAAAGTAGTTGTGACCCCAAAGTCTGTACAGGCTGATCTTGTTTTTTTTGGGGAGTTCAATCTTTGATTCTATAGCTCAAAATTAAGGGTCGGCGAGGTTCGAGCTAGTGAGTTTGGGGGGTACAGTCCCTGAATATAGAATGATACCAAGTATTACCAATTACAAGACACATTTTTTTGGTGAAAACCACATTGAAACATCTGAAGACATGAAACCATTTTAAAAGTGTAATGGGATATAAACGGAATTAAATGGATGTAATGGGATACATATGGATACATAATGGGGAATTAATGGGAATTAATGAGGTGTATCTATATATATATATTATATGGATATATAAGGTACATGAATGGATATTAAGGCATATCAAGGCATATTAAGGCATTATAGATTATTACAGACTACTCATGATATCAGGGGAATTCATGGATATTTAAATAACTATATATATATATACATCAAAGTATATCAAAGTTATGATAACATATCTGATGAATTCTATGGATATCAAAAACCCAAAAAAAGACGTCCAAGAGTCAAGGGTCCCTTACTTTTGTACAGGCCACAAGAGACATGGGAGGAAGCAGGTCCTGATTTTGTACGGAATGGTGGGACTCGTAAACACATTTAGGAAGGCATAGAAAAATCACATTACTTGACTAATCATGATATACATAATATATATCTATATATACTGATATACTATGACACCCTGTGATATGATGAAATGTAATGTATTGTACTGCATTAGATTGCATTATATAGAATATTACATAATGTCACATATTGCCACATTATAAACGCCTAATATGTGTTGGAAGTATTTTGGAAATTATTATCACACATGGTGAGTGCATTGAACTGTTTAAATAGAATGTACCACATTGTACATCATTATACCATATTCTTCCTTTCCCTCAAATGCAATGATGTTCATTGTCCAAAATACTAAGTGGCATTCCCACACCCTTTCATCATAGCATATATCATACTAGTAGCAATTAATTGAGTTTTCACTATTTTCCAATTGTTTCACACAAGGGAACCCAAAGACCACCCAAACAGTTTTGGAGACTGTGGGCTCTCCTTCCCCACTGTCGATTTGATATAATCCCCCCAGAAAAACCTTCAAAAACTCCTCCAAGAGTCAAGGGATCCCATTCTGTTCACCCAAAAAAAACTTTAGAGGCAGCAGGTCCTAATTTTGTACACTATCCCCTGGTTTGACCATTGCTTAGGTTTGCCCAATCAAACAACAGAAGCCAGAGAGAAAGCAATGCTAAAATCATGTTGATCCATTTTGTGTATTTTTTTTTCTAGTGTTGTCACATACCATGTTTCACGCTTTATTGCTTCTGAAAAAAGACGCAAACAAAACTGATCACATTGTCATCATTCACATTTCCTTGGGATCTTCTTTGGGTATCCTTGGGTTCTGATTCTGTAGACATTAAGACCAAATATATTTGTATTACCATCTGGTTATTAACATAGCCATGGAAAATCCCAACCATAAATGGGGGGTTTATAGCTGCTTTTCCATGGCTATGTCACAAATAACCGGGTAAATCAGGGCCCCCCCCAATCCACACATTGGACAAATCGAGACTTGATCGAATCCCATGAATCCCCAAACCTCAGGGGGACCCCCAGGTATAAAATGACTGGGTGGAGCTCAACCCACCTGATTCTACAGCTAATCCCAAGGGGGATTATTAATAAATTATTAGATAATCGAAAAAACATTGGAGACACTGTACGAGACCTCTGTGGCAAATGTGAGCAATCGTATTCACCAGTTGTGAAGTTGGAAGGTGTTTTCTCATGTTTTCTCTATCTCTGTATATTTCCCTTGCCTATCAAGGCGTAGATCTGCAGCGGCACTGGTTGTTGTTTGAAGGAGGTAACCACATATTGGTTCCATCCCAAATGATCAATGGAAGATGATGACCTACAGCCAAATCTCTACGAAACTAACATATATAGCTATGGAAAATGGGCCATAGAAATAGATGGTTTACCTTTTAAAAATGGTAATTGTCTATAGTCATGTTTGTTTACCAAAGGGTACATCCCTTACACACAGCCCTCAGAACTGTAAGAACTGTAGCAGGAAGCGTCCCTCAGACTGCTACTGGTCTGGGGGGTAAACTACCAGTAGCTGAAACTCTGTGACGTATCCATGGAGCAACAAAAATATGCTGGATCCCAAAAAAGGTGTGTTTATTCCCCTTGCACAACCCAAATCCCAGTTTTTTTTTGCACGTTTATATGGTTTATTAGATCCAGGCATAAATCATCCCTAATCTCATTAAGAGTGGATCGTATTTTCACATGTGTTAATATAAACTGAACCACGCCCAATTGGAGGTTTACTATTGAGTCTTCACATGGAACCTGGACCCATGTTCAACCCCAAATCTAGGACTTAAACTGGTTGGTGGCTTCAACGCCTGTGAAAAATATTAGTCAGTTGGGATGATTATTCCCAATACATGGAAAAATAGAAAATGTTTCAAACCACCAACCAGCTTTCTATTCATTTCAGTATACCCTGAAGATAGACCCTCCGAAATCTCCCACTGATGGTCTTCCCATGAACAAAGCTTCGTTTAGTTGGAGATTTCCCAGCTGATTACCCAAAAAGTCACCGATTTTCTCAAAGATGGAGCCAGAAAACTTCGGTGACCCCCGGCGTGACCGGCGCCGGCGTTGAAAATCCAAGACACTACAAATGCCCATGACACGCAAGAAGAGGCCTGGAGAGGTTGAACTCGCGTGAGGATCATCGTTCAATACTCCTAAATTTTACTGAAAATGAACTACTCGTTGACCTGAATAAATGAACCAATTGAAAGAAATTGAAGTTTAGGTCAACTCAAAATGGTTTGAAGCCACAGTTTTTCATTCAGGCTCACGGCTGCCCAACCCAGTTGAACATTTGATGAACACCCCTAAAGCATCCTAAAGCCATTTTGGAGTATACAGTATACCACATGTTCGGACAAACTGAAGATGTCTTAATCCTGGTAAAGATCAACACTTGATCATCAATATATCTGAGATGTTCAAACTCGGATAATTATTCAAAGAAACATGTCTGCTGCTTGGCACTTAATTCAAACCATTTGAACATTCTTCAATTCCATCCCCCCAAATAGGAGAAAGTTAAAGTTAGCTACCCCCATTTATCCAGGGGTTTCGTGGGTAAACGTTTCAAGAAACCTCTGTACTAGTGGAAAACTGGGTGTCTAAAAGTAGGTTTCCCTCCAAATCCAATAGTTTGTCATCCGTATCATCAATTTCTCTGGTAAAATTGACCCCGGAAGTCTTTCCAGGGTGTTTTCGATGATCTTTTCTCTGTTTCTCTCTCAAAAATCCAGTTTTCCAATTTTCCCTTTCTCGTCTCCCCCATCGGTTCCCATCGCGGTTCCCATCGCGGTTCCGAGCCAAGCCGAGCCAAGCCGAGGGCTTCCGCCGTTCCGCAACGAGCGTCTGTCGGATTGGAAGCACAGCCCCGCGAAGACCACGTCCTTCACCGTGTCGAACTGGTCCGAAATCACCGGCGACATCCCCATCAGACTGGCCTTGACACAGGGAAATCACCGGCAGCGACTAGAGATTTATTGAGCGACAAAAAATGAGAGGATAGCGATAGCTGACATTAGCTGAATGACATAACTGACTCTGAAACATCATTTACCCTGTTTTCAATGATATGTGATGAATCTTTGTGCTTCATCCTATAGTTCAATATAGTTGAGCCCTGTCTTGGGGGCCCCTTCCTGCAACCCCCCTTATCTTTTTTAGAAAGAGAGAGAGAGAGAGAGAACATTGGAGGTGTCCTAGAAAGGGGCATACCCAGTCATCACCATGGGCCAGTTTCGTTACGTCAGAACGTCATCAATGATTTGGATGAGAACTGGGCATACCCCCATGACAAATTGAAACTTCTATCCATAAACCATATCATATTTATATACTGATTAATCAAACAATATGCAGTAAATTCCATTGAACTATGGTTGAAATCTCAACATCCATTAAATCTTCTAGATTCACCATTTTTGGAGGGTTTTTACATTTAAAAACAAAACAGAAACACAATTTTTGGAGTCTCCAAAAATCGGAAACCGATCCCATGGGTTACCAGATTCTCCACCATCCACAGCCTCCGCAAAGGCGCCCAAGCGAAAGCTTCTGCCCACATTGAGGCGGCCCACGGCCACAAAAGCCTCCACGATTTTCAAACGTCCCACGTGGCGTGGAAACTTTCTGGTGGATTTCACAGTTTTTGGAGATTTCACCATTAAAAGGTGCATATCTTATGTATTTGTATCTTATGCATGGTAGGTACGCTATGTATGATATGTAATGATATGCTATTTATGTAATGTAAATGATATGATATATAAATATATACATACAATGTCGTGGTTTAACTTTACACCAACAACAATAATAATGTTCTGGCTTAACCAACAATAATGGGATATGTGATTTATAAAGGGTATATCATGGGATATGTTCAGACTAATAGTTATATCACTAACAGAGTACTATGTATATAATATATATATATACATATTTTGCCATCTTGTGATAGTTATGGAAGCCATTTAGTTCGTTGATTTACCTATTAAACATGGTGATTTTCCAGTTCGCTGTGTTAATTTACCAGAGACTAATGTTTTTATTCATGGTCAGGTTAGTTAGATGCCTGAGCTGTTTCAAGTCAGTTGGATTTACCCTCTGGTAAACTAACATAACTATGGAAAATCACCATTTTTAATTGGTAAATCAACTGTAAATGGCAATTTTCAATAGCAAACTGTTCATTTACCAGAGGGTAGTTGGATTTCACCATGAAGCATGATGACTTGAAGAAATATGAATAGGGAGATCATGCGATTCATAATCATGCGATTCATAACCAGCACAATGAAGAGTTGGACGATATACCCTCTGGTAACTTGTGACATAGCTATCGAACATGACCATTTCGTTCGTGGATTTACCCATTGAACATGGTGATTTTCCATAGTTATGTAAACGTTTACCAATTTTGGGAGGGATGATCGGATGATCATCAATCCATCAATAGGGATTTATAATGATTAACATGCCCAATGTAAGGATTCGAAATGGGATGGATGACCATAAACCATACTTAAAAATAGGGAAAGTAAGGGCAGAGTCAAGTTATAAATGGGCTGAACTAACATCCACACGTACACAGTTTTTTCTTTGGGAAGCAACAAAAGGTGACAAATTCGAATGGTGAATCTAGTGATTTCAGATGATTTCGGTGCAGAACATGTGTGTTCTGATGGGAATGTATGGGATATTAATATTATTATTAGGATAATATGGTTAATAATCAATAGATATGGTGTATGGTTATTAATATCTGGTTGGTGGTTTTTCGGCTACCCCTCTGAAAAATGATGGAGTGAGTTCGTCAGTTGGGATGATGAAATGTTCCCTTAACAATTCATGGAAAGTCATTCAAAATTCCCATGGTTCCAGTCACCACCAACCAGAGGTTATTAACCATAAAATTAACCATCATTAACCATCATTGTCCCATACTAAACCAATGTTCCCAACCACCAACCAGCTATGAAAATCATGGATTTCAAACATCAACGAAGAATTTCTTTGAGATTCAGCTTTGGGATTTCAGAAAAAAATCATCTGAAATGCCAAGGCGCCAAGGATTTTTTTATCAGTGGAAATGGATAAGGGAACATGTTTCATCCTACAATCCTGGTATTCAGTGGCTTATTATTGCCAATATGCTACTTATTCATCCAATAAGACATTACCAATAATGCTTATTATTGCCAATATGCTACTTATTCATCCAATAAGAAATTAGCAATGTGCTAAATGGATTGCCAATAATATTGCCAATATGCTAAATGGATGAGAACTGGGGGTATCCGCATTTTCGGAAGCCTCCATGTGTCATACAATTGACAGTGACATGTCCCACTGGCTTAAATCTTGAAGCTCTTTCGTGTTTCATTGGTAGGGGGTTCTCGCATTATATAGATTACAACAATCACCATCAAACTAGTTGGTCAATCCTATCTCAGCATCCACCAAAGACCATGGGATCTTTGCGCTCAAATGGAGTCACAGAAAGGCAAATATGTAACTCACATAGGCGAGAAACCTACAAAATGGATGGAACAATGGACAACTTAAACTTAAGCAAATGAGTTTGTCTCAAACATGATGTACCCCGAAACACCCCTGGTGGATCATCATCATTAAAACAGCCCCAATTTTGGCGCACCTGAACCCCATTCTCACGCCCAAATCATATAATTGTGAGGCCACTATCATGTTACTCTCCGGAATTTTAAGCTGGCCTTGCAACTCCTGCTTACTGTCGCTTCAACATGTATGGATTGTTTGTGTCAGTGCTAAGGGATTCCATTCAGATCTCCACCTGATAAAAAATAATGACTCACTGCAAGACTTCCCCTGCTGAACCTCGTTTTTTGGCCTGAAAACACATGGATCATTTGCAAACCAGCACTATATGGATAGTTTCGGAGGCTTCTTCCAGCACCTACATCCGCTTCATCATGTTAAATTCTAAGAGATGTTTGCTCCCAATCGCCACAAACCAAGCAAACGTCTCGAAAACTATCCGGTCAAATCAGCCAGTTACCTTCCGGTGAAAACACTGTTTTTTCACATGTTCGAAACATATGGCACTTAAAATCGGGTAGACAAAGTCCATCAGATTCCTCCTCCCCTTGCGAGCAAAACTTGAATCGTCAGTGCTTCGTGGTTAGCTTAGCCACTATGAATTTTTTGAATAAGCTACTGAAGGGGGACTTATTCACCAGGGATATGAACATATATATATATATATCCATATTTAAAAATGATATATATATATATAACTATTATATATATATATATATTAACCACTATAAATGGAATGATCCTCCAAGACATGATCCAAAAACATCTGCCTGGACCAACATCGACAGGGCGTTCAAAGCGAACAACGCCAGCCACAGCTCCCAGTCTAAGCCCGAGATCGGTGACAAACTCTGCTTGCTGATGCTGTAGATGGTGGCCATCAGACTTACCTCAGCTACGAGTACTGGATGCAACACAACAGTTAGCGGAAAGGGTGCGTAAGTGGAATTATAAGCCAATTAATGTGGAAGTTGGGAATGGAAGTTGATCAACCGATGATCAGTGGGAATTTAAAGACCCTAAAATGGAGATCATGTACAATATAAGGCCAGTTTTTGTGGGTGTATTCCCTGGAAATTAAGTTCAAACATAGGCCTTCCATGTGGTAGGTACCTTCAATAAATCGGTACCTGGTAGGTACCTTCAATAAATCGGTACCTGACATGGCCATTGATCAGTTGTGAGAGATGGTATGCTCAAACACCTCAGGATCTTGTCACAGGGATTTGGTATGCAATTCCCATGGGACAGTTACGGCCCGAAATACCAGTTATAAGTCACTTGTAAGTTATGATTTATGCAGTTCTAATCCCATTTATCACCATTCAAAACCATTTATAACTGGTATATAAAGGGCCTTACCTTAACTGTAGGATATTGATGGAGATATGGGTTGACCCTCAGGTGTCATCAAGATGACGTGCTGGAGACCAGCAATGGTTCGATATGGCCGGCGAACTAAACCTACAGTTATGGCCCAACTAACAGTTTTCATAAATGTGTTTATTTCATGATATATCACCCTAATTATAGGAGTTATAATTTAATTTCATGAATATAACTACTGTTTTTTTGGGACATAACTGTAGGATTGTCAATTGCTATATCTTTGATTACTAGAGGGTAAACAAACAACTCCAGGCAGAACGGCTAATCACAACCTGAAGTTGATAGCTGTGATAGTGGATAGATTTGCTTAACCCCCGCAAGAAAATGCAGAAGAAAAACAGCAAAGATTCCCCAAGTGATGGATTTTCTGTTGCAAACAAATGCAAACAACATCATTTTCAGCAGTTCCAGGTGATTTAGATTTGGATATGTATTCGTTAATATGATATAATAATCTTGTATCATGGTGGATCTTAGACATGCCAAACAAAATGACAGTAATTTTAGCTGCTTAGATCTGCTTAGTACAGTCTACCATTGATAGCAAAAGACTAAAATACTAAAGTATCTAACCAAGGTTGACCCAGTTATTCCTCATCAAATCCCTGGTGTAATAAATCAGCTGTTTTTTTTCAATTTGGCTGTCATAAAGCTATAAATCCATATAAATCCCGCTAAAAATCACAGCATTTTTGCGTGGCTGCTCAGATCTTCCTATGCTTTCGGCCATGGTTTCGACCTGCCCTGGCCCGGCGAAAAACCGAGGCGCCCCATAGGTGGCGAGAAAGACGGTGGCCACCAACAAGCGCTGTTTGCCAACTCTGAGCTTCGCCATGGAAGGAACCGAAGGAACCAAGTTCACTTGGGCCCGGAAGAACTCAATGAGTCAGAAATGGTGAATAAATTTAGCTGTGACATTGGAGATTGAACTCATGAAAAATAATGATAGGCGTTATTTTTTTCAATGTTTATAATCATCCAGCATGATTATTTGAGTGGCCAAATGGTGAATTGTTTTCATCAAACATCATCATTCTAGCGATCAACGTGGTGAGTGGTTTCTCATCAAAATGGTGATGTCAGATGTCAAAAAAAAAATGTTTGAATTCAATAACATTGGGATCTTGCGCAGTCAAATTTGAGGGGTGAACATGGAGATTTAAGCGGTCACAATTGAATCACCAACTCTGAGCATCAATGGATTGATTGAAGATATACCCTCTGGTAGTCTAATATACTTATAGAAAAGCATCGTTTTCAAGAGGTAAAATCAGGTAAATCATCTATAAATGAAGCATTTTCCTTAGCTATGTTAAATTACCCAAGCATATGTTGCAGGACAGCGGCTCGTTTTCCCGAATGCGTAGCAAGGGTTCCCGTTTCACTCTGGGGGTCCGGGGGCTGAGGGTGTGTTCGCTCGACGTTGCGTCTACGTTCACCACCGTTCGCAACCGTCCGCAACCATTTGCAACCGTCCGCAACCGTTCGCGCGATTGCTATACGGCCGTGCCTATGGTAAGTCCTGCAGTGGTGGTCATTTTTAGAGGTTTCAGACGTCTCGTTGCTTCGTTTCGCGTGGCAGGCGTGGCACTTCGTGACATTCAGACGTGTTTTGTAACGTGTCGAAAGTTGTTTTGTGTGGCAGGCGCAATACTTTTGCGACGTTTTCAGAAGATGCGTTGCAGTTCTCGTGGCAAGCGCGCCACTTTGGACGTGTCCATTGTCATTTTGCGTGGCAGGCGCAGCACTTTAAACGTGTCGCATTGCGTGTTTTTTGCTTATCGCATTGGCAGGGCTGCGTCAAGTGGCGACAAGGTGCAGATTCCGTGGTAGGCGTGGCATTTTGTGAGATGTGTTGAAAATTGATGGAAGCCTCGCACGAAACGATTTTGAGGTAGCAAAATTTAGAGGTTCCTAGGAAAACTCGTAGAAAAACGTAGATTTTGAAGCTACAAAGTGTGAAAATTGGAGGAAGTCTCGCACGAAATGCTCGTTTTGGTGCTCCCACGTGTCTCGTCTCGAGTCTCTGGTTTTCCTGTGGCTTCGCCGTGTCTATAGTCTATGGGGGAAGCTGCAAAACCTCTCCTTTTCGAAGGTTTCCAAGAGGATGTCATGTCGTTTTGCGTGGCAGGCGTGGCACTTTGTGACATTCCAACCTGTTTTATACAATCCACACTCTACACTCCAAACTCCCCACTTTACACTCCACACTTTACACTTTACACTCCACACTTTACACTGTGCACTGCTCACTCCTCACTCCTCACTGCACACTTCACACTCGACACTTTACACTCCACACTCCTTACTTTACTCTCCACACTGCACACTCCACACATTCCACATTTTTACATTTTCCACATTTTCCACACTTTCCACATTTTCCACACTTTCCACTCAACACTCTACACTTTACACTCCACACTTTACACTCTACACTTTACACTCTACACTCCACACTCTACACTTTACACTCTACACTCCACACTTTACACTGTACACTCCTCACTCCACACTCCACACTTTACACTACACACTCTACACTTTACACTCTACACTCCACACTTTACACTGTACACTCCTCACTCCACACTTTACACTCCACACTTTACACTACATACTCTACACTTTACACTCTACACTCTACACTTTACACTCTACACTCCACACTTTACATTTTACACTGCGCACTCCTCACTCCACACTTCACACTCCACACTTTACACTCCACACTCCCTACTTTACACCCCACACTCCACACTCCACACCCCACACTCCACACTCCACAGCACTCCTCACTCCAGAATCTTCACTCCACACTCCACACTTTACACTCCACACTTTACACTCCACACTTCATACTCCACACTCCACACTCCAGAATCTACACTTTCCACTCCACACTCCACACTCCACATTCTACACGTTACACTTTACACTCCACACTTTACACTTTATACTGTACACTCCTCACTCCACACTTTACACTCCTCACTCCACACTCTACACTCCACACTCCTCACTCCACACTCTAAACTTTACACACTCCACACTTTACACTCCACACTCCTTACTTTACACCACACTCCACACTCCACCCTGTACACTTTACACTCCACACTCTACACTTTACACTCCGCACTTTACACTCCACACTTCATACTCCACACTCCACACTCTACACTTTACACTCCACACTTTACACTCCACACTTCATACTCCACACTCCACACTCCAGAATCTACACTTTCCACTCCACACTCCACACTCCACATTCTACACGTTACACTTTACACTCCACACTTTACACTTTATACTGTACACTCCTCACTCCACACTTTACACTCCTTACTCCACACTCTACACTCCACACTCCACACTCTAAATTTTACACACTCCACACTTTACACTCCACACTTTACACTCCACACTCCTTACTTTACACCACACTCCACGCTCCACACTGTACACTTTACACTCCACACTCTACACTTTACACTCTACACTCCACACCTTACACTTTACACTGTGCACCCCTCACTCCACACTTCACACTCCACACTTCACACTCCACGCTTTACACTCCACACTTTACACTCCACACTCTACACTTTCCATTCCACACTCCACACTCCACACTTTAGACTCCACACTCCACACTTTACACTCAACACTCTACACTTTACACTCTACACCGCACACTTTACACTTTACACTTTACACTGTAGACTTCCCACTTCACACTTTACACTCCACACTTCACACTCCACACTTTACACTTTACACTCCACACTTTACACTCCACACTCTACACTTTCCACTCCACACTCAAAACTCCACACTTCACACTTTACACTCCACACTCTGCACTCTACACTTTATACTTTACACTCCACACTCTTCACTTTACACTCTACACTTTACACTCTGCACTCTACACTCTTCACTCTACACTTTACACTCTACACTCTACACTCCACACTTTACACTTCACACTTTACACTTTACACTGTACACTCCTCACTCCACACTTTACACTCCTCACTCCACTCTTTACACTCTACACTCCACACTCCTCACTCTACACTTTACACACTCCAGACTCCACACTTTACACTCCACACTCCTTACTTTACACCACACTCCGCACTCCACACTCTACACTTTCCGCTCCACACTCCACACTCTACACTTTACACTCCACACTCCACACTCTACACTTTACAGTCTACACTTTACACTCTATGCACTCCACACTTTACACTTTACACTCCTCACTCCACCCTTTACCCTCCACACTCCACACTCGACACTTTACATTCCACACACTACACTTTACACTCTACACTCCACACTTTACACTTTGCGCTGTGCACTCCTCACTGTACACTTTACACTCCACACTTTACACTCCACACTCTACACTTTACACTCTACACTCCACACCTTACACTTTACACTGTGCACCCCTCACTCCACACTTCACACTCCACACTTCACACTCCACACTTTACACTCCACACTCTACACTTTACACTCTACACTCCACACCTTACACTTTACACTGTGCACCCCTCACTCCACACTTCACACTTTATACTTTACACTCCACACTCTACATGTTACACTCCACACTTTACACTTTACACTCCACACTCCACACTTTACACTCAACACTCTACACTTTACACTCTACACTCCACACTTTACACTGTAGACTTCCCACTTCCCACTTTACACTCCACACTTTACACTCCACACTCTACACTTTACACTCTACACTCCACACTTTACACTGTACACTCCTCACTCCACACTTCACACTTTTCACTCCACACTCCCTACTTTACACCCCACACCCCACACTCCACACTCCACAATCCTCACTCCACACATTACACTCCACACTCCGCACTCTACACTTTATACTTTACACTCCACACTCTTCACTTTACACTCTACACTTTACACTCTACACTCTACACTCTTCACTCTACACTTTACACTCTACACTCGACACACCACACTTTACACTCCTCACTCCACACTCCACACTCTACACTCCTCACTCCACACTCTACACTTTACACACTCCAGACTCCACACTTTACACTCCACACTCCTTACTTTATACCACACTCCGCACTCCACTCTCTACACTTTCCACTCCACACTTTACACTTTACAGTCTACACTTTACACTCTATGCACTCCACACTTTACACTTTACACTCCTCACTCCTCACTTTACACTCCACACTCGACACTTTATACTCCACACTCTACACTTCACACTCTACACTTTACACTCTACACTCCACACTCTACACTTTGCACTGTACACTCGTCACTCCACACTGTACACTTTACACTCCACACTTTACACTCCACACTCCACACTCCCTACTTTACACCCCACACTCCACACTCTACACTCCACACTCCACCACACTCTACACTTTACACTTTATACTTTACACTCCACACTCTACACGTTACACTCCACACTTTACACTTTACACTCTACACTCCACACTCTACACTCCACACTTTACAGTTTACACTCAGCATTCTACACTTCACAGTTTCCACTCCACGCTCCGCAATCCACACTTTACACTCCACACTTTTCACTCTGCACTCCACACTTTACACTTTACATGTACAAGACTGTGTAAATAAATTGTTTCAGAAAAGTGTTCTGCATGACTGCATTTCCATGTGTTTCGACATCATCACCATTAACATACGTGTGAGCATTTGGGTTCGCGGGCTGCATCTTGTTTACTGCCAAATGCATTGATGTTCAACAGTGTTTACTTCATTCAATTCTGGGAATGAACCTCCCGGATCAGAACTGGGTTGCTTTGTCTGGGATAATTTACGGTTGAAACCATATATGTTTCATAATAAGTATAGTATATATGTATCATACAGTGTGTGTGTATGTATATATATATATACACATTTTATAGGTCTGTACATGGGCCCTCATGCATTATGTATATCTATATATATATATATGTGTGTGTACTTTGTGTATATATATATATATAGTTTTGTTATTTTTGATATGCACATGTTCCCTTAGTTGAATTCAATGTCCAGCAATGTCCAGCTTGGATTTTCATTCTCCCCTGGGCTGTTGATCATTGGCAAATCATCACTTTCGGTGGACCCACCCGATTTTATGAAACACCGCATGTATTAGTTCGGGGTTGACATGATAGCCAAATCATCAAAACATGGTTGAACATTTAAATATTTAAAGCTAGCTATCCACTTGTCGGTGGGTATGTGCCAAGTGTGTTGATGAGTTTCTTAAACACAGGAAAGGCTCCCCAGTTACAAATTGGTGCATAACCCCATCAAACTATCAACATATCTACCAGCAATCCTCTTTTTGGTAGAGTTATAAATATCGATAAACCAATTTTTATAGAATCCCACCAAAAAACATAGGAATCGGTAAAATCGGCCGAAAAACCGTAGTGATACTTCACTCTTAGGCCTTTTTTTTTTTGGCTTGCACCTATCTATTCGGCCCCCAGCAAGTCACAGCTTCCTCGTCGTGGTGGAAAGGTCGTCGGCAGTTCAAACATTTCGAGCCGAGGACCATGATGGAAGTGCCCAGCATCTGCATGATAAAGTAACCTGCCGGCTTGCCAAAAGACCAGTTACAAGCATGGGAAACTCAGAAAATATTGTATATTATTATATATATACACTGTATATATAAGTTCAATCAAAATGGATTTGGTAATAAAAAGGGAAAACAAAGAGGAACCGGAGGAAACATCTTTGGGAGGAAGCCATGATTTCTGGGATGTTCCCTTCAATCCAGTGACTCAATCAACAGGGTTGCTTCTAACAGCGCAGCTACAAGGATGGGAATCTGTGTAAAGAACTAAATACATACAGATGCCAACTGGTAATTGGTTAAACAGTTTGCTATGGAACATGGTCCGTTTATGGATGATTAAAATGATGATTTACCTCTTCAAACCTGTGATTTTCCCCTGGCTACATTAAATCAACAGAGGGTAACACGACAAAATTCACCCCCGCTGTCACTAAGATTCACCTCGGTTGGAGCGTCACCTCTGTTGGAAGTCCGTCACTGAAGTCTGACGTGTCTGATGGATCAATGGGGAATTCTTTGGGGGTATCATGGCGGATATGACATATTGTGGATGTTAAGGATCAAATGGGCGCAAAACGGGAAGCTAGTGGGATTTGATTATCTGGTTGGTGGTTGACCTACCCCTCTGAAAAATATGATTTCGTCAGTTGGGATTACTTGACATTCCCGATACGAATGGAAAGTCATAAATGTCCATGGTTCCAAACGACCAACCCGGTCATTGATCCATATCCATCTGGGTAAATGGAAAATCATAATTCAGCATAATTCACTCACCTGAAATGTTGGGCCTTCTTAGGGGATGATTTCCCAACACCAACCAGACATAGATTCTCAGGATTGCTCCGTAACCACACTCTTTTCACAAGGGTCCAGCTCACCAAGACCCCTGGGCAAACTGGGAAGGCCATTGACCACTAGCTACGTGTTTCTGGGATAACCACGTGATGAAAAACAAGTATTAAAAAGAACACGTGTTGTGAAAAAAAAAGGTGCGTTGTTGACTGGGTCATCCAACTCTGGTTGTTGTCAGCACCGAAGCTGTCTTCAACCTATTTGGCTGCATAGGGCAGTCAGACTGCGGGGATGGAGGGCGGGATGGCGCAAAGGGCGCCTAAAGGCAGCATGAAGCAAGTGTCGCGACCCATGATCTCCAAACAACAACCATCAACAAGCCCTCAAAAATGATCTTCATTTTGGGGGTTTGCTTCGGGGTATGCTTCGGGGCTAGCTTCGGGGTGTGCTTCGGGGGTATGCTTCGCAAGAGCGCCACCTTCCACCAATACATATCTAGGACCACGGAAAAAAATACTAACCCATATATATATATATATATATATATATATATATATTCCTTAGTAGCCGCCATTCCGATCCATTCCCGGTGATGTAGGGATGTGGGTCGATCTACGTATTTCCAAAAACATATTAATTATATTTGATAGTTATTCCCATGATATCCTAATTATCTAATTCCCAGATTATCCCCATATTAATAAATTATACATTGGTTGATTAATCATACACCATGACCCATAAAAATGGCTCCAGTAGTCAACCTCAAAGTTGACCCAAAAAACCCTAGCATGGCAGCATGGCCGAGCAGCACAAGAGTAGTGCTGAGACAAAGAAATGAAGTCGAAATGTTCCTTCCGTCTCCGACATCTCTTCAATCTCCTATCATCCAGCAATCGATCAGCAGTGTCACGATTTTATGGGGATGAAAACAACCGTTCTATGAGGATAAAATAAAGATAAAACGAGGATATCATGGGGATATAAGTGGATGCACCAGCTGTTAAAAAGAAAAAAGGGGATAAAATGGCCACAATAAATCACAATCAGGGATATAAGGGATATTTTAGGGTATTTTCTTGGGATCAACTAGCCACAATAAGAGTTTTAAAGTCGTGGTGATTTGAAAGATGTGTGAGGTCTCCTCCAATGTCATGGCATCGCCTTTTATGATGATCAAAGTTTGGGATTTGCTTGAGTAATGGATTACCCAATTGGTGTAAGCCGTTCTTACCCTCCAGTAATCAAAAATGGCAATGGAAACCCTGGAAAATCCTAGAAATAAATATTTCAATGGGAAATTCATCGATCAATGGGGGGCTATGTTCACCAACTCAGCAGTCGTTCGGGGGGGAACATCTTATATGTCATGTAGGCTTTGGGACTTGCAACGCTTTAGCATTTGTTTGCTACATTTGCCAAGATCGCCTTCATTTTGTTGCTGAACAAACGATACACTGAGCATCTGGGAATGACAAACTGAGCCAAAACTTAACAATATGTATATATACATATATACATATATACATATACACAAATCAATACCATACAAAAATTAGGATCAACTACTAAACTTCACCATCCTCAAAAAAAAATACACGGTGGAGATAATTCACCCTAGTAACTTCCATCGTGTTTCACTGGGTCGAAAACAACCATGGAGCCAGAACATGCCTACAAAGTGGTCCCTCCCCAGCTATAAGTTGGTTTATAAACCCAGTCAACTGTAGAAAATTGTAGATCTATCCAGCATATTCACTTTCCGATGGCTGTAAAACAAGTTACCTATCAAAACGGGGCTCACATTGACGGCCCAAAGATAAATCTCTAAAGTGAGTTCATGGAATCTGGATAGACTGATTGGATCTGATTAACATTTCATTAAAACTATCCAGATATATCCAGATATATCCGAAACATTGGAGACATTCAAAAATCTTTGGGAGACATCTGATTAACATTTCATAAACATCTGGATAGTCAAACAGAATCATTACTGGAGCCGTGGGATCCCCCGATCCCGACTAAAGTGAACCGACTCGTCAAGTTACGGGCAACAAAAAGGTCATCCCATGGTTTCATTCGAAAAGGCTTTGAAATGTGTTTTAAGTGATGTGTAACTTGCCCAAAAAACGAAGCAAACTGGTGGGTGGAGAAAACCATCCTATCAATTGCATGGCGGTTTTCTACAACTTTCGATTTTTATACATTTTTTAATACATGTTTTTATGATTTCGAGGGAACATATGACAAACACCTATATGTTTAACAGTATGCTTAACAGTATGTTTAACACATCTTAAACATTTATAATTGTCAGTTCAAAGTTCGCCGGTGAACTCATCGCCGGTTATAGATGAACAGGCGAGCCAGGCAAGTGGAATAGAAATCATGATAGCAAAAAACACCGAAATGTTGCCCCTTGAAACTGGTAAATCGTGATATATAACTTTTAAGTACCCTGCAGTAAATTAACATAGACTCATAGACCCTGCCATTTTTCGGGCTTGGAAGACTAGTTTCCACTAAAAATTGGTCATTTTCAGGGTCTATGTTAATTTACCAGAGGGTAACTTATATGACCAACATCAACCAACCAGTTGGAGTTCTTTCATCCCCTGGCGACTGGATTTTTCGAAGTGGGCACCTTCGCAGTGGGCAAGAAGGAGTCCGGCTCGTCCATCCTACAGCGAGGTGGCCGATTCGGCCCGGTCCGTGGCGGTCGAATGGACGTATGAATCTTGGCTGCAGTTGTGGCCCAACTAACAGTTAGAAATGGGTTTATAATGATACATATAAATCCTAGTGATAGGAGTTATAATTCCAGTTTATAACTGTTCAAGGCCATACTTGTGGAGCAACCGGAAAAACTGAGAGTTTGTTTACCAAAAAAAATCATTGGGATTTTTTTCTAGATGAAAAGAATGAACAACACTATCTATTAATCTGAAGTACAATATAATTAAACATATTGGGATGGCAACAATCATTGGGGATGGGATTCAACCCCAAAAACAACGGCTGTATAGGGGATGTTTACCCGGAATGTATAAATGGGATTGGATTGACCTTACCAGTAACTGCTTGGGATATACCCTCTTGCGTTTTCAGGGTCCTCATCTGGATCACTGGATGACTGCCGTCACGAAAGATATCCCATATGCGAACGGTAAAACTGCCCTTTTTTTAATCACCCAGTTATGTATACCAGCACCATGGTTCGCATATGGGTATCTTTCCACCCGGTTCGCTGGGGATCTACAGGAACGGCTCCCTGTAGATAACCTTGGTTTATCAGTTGAGTCATGTAATTTACTCTATAATTTATAATCCTATCTTAACATAGATAGACATATCCACCATAAATCCTAGTTATAGCATGTTGTAGCGTGTTATAGCCTAGTTATAAACCAACAAAAAACTTAATCTATTGACTACAGCATCTATAGCTTACCTATTGCCCTGTCTTGGTGGTTACAAGTGCAACTCAGGCTCCCCATGGTTTCAATCTATACCTCTTAGTACCGACCCACAGTCAGACCTTGCTGGTTCTTCAGTGTCAAGTTGCGTCCACTTCTCCAGCTGAACACATCATTTCTTGGGGTCGAAACAAACATTGATCATCATTGATCCATATCCATCTGGGTAAAATAACATAGCTATGGAAATGGTCCATCTATGGATGGTTTATAACGGTGTATATCCACATTCATCATCTGGTTGGTGGTATACCTACACTTCTGAAAAATATGAAAGTCAGTTGGGATGATTATTCCCAATATATGAGAAAATGAAAAATGTTCCAAACCATCAACCAGTCATTGATCCATATCCATGTATCTGAGTAAATTATAACAATTCACTGACCTGAAATGCTGGGCCATTTGGGGATGATTTCCCTTATTAACCATGATTCCAGGGCCAGGGAGAACAGTGAGGTCGTTATAATTTATCCTTTTCCTCTGTGCAAAGAGTCCGTGGCCCGACTGGTGTGAAGCCACGACGGCTGATTATGAAAAAACTTTCAACCAAAAACGAGCTGAGACTGTGGTCTTTTCCTCCAGTTTCTCATGTTACGTGCCCCGGATTGGGAAGTCAGGGAGCGCTTCTGCCATAAACCATGTGTTTCTCCTTGGGATACATCTTTGTAACTCCTCAGGCATGCTGAGGGTCATCTCCAACGAAACTGTAAAAGCATGGCCCTTGTTGGCTGTTAAATAAATACAAATGCAAAATATGCGAGGGCGTACCTGAAACCGTTTTTTTTTATTGGACCCGGACCCGCCCTTGGAACAACAACTAGTACTGGTGGTATATTCACGGAGGATGACGGAGGATCTTTAGAGAATGGGTGTCCCACCCCGCGGGACACCCCAACAACAACAAGGCGGGGCTGTGGTTTGAGAGGAGAGGGGGGCAGAGCAACAACAACGCGAGCATGAGAAGGAAAAAGAAAACACAAACAATGCGCCTGCACCATTCCCCACGGCACCACGAGAACAACAACAACTCAGACCCATTTTTTTTGGAGGGGGGTAGGGCCAGAACAACAACATGCGCGAGGAGGAGGAGGAGGAGGAGGAACAAAACACAAACCAGCATCCCCCATCACCCCCCCACACCCGACAACAACAACTACAACTCAGACCCATTTTTTTGGGGGGTGGGGGGGGCACAGAACAACAACTTGCAGACGAGGAGGCGGAGCAGAACACAAACCAGCATCCTCCACCACCCCCCCGGCACCCGACAATGTTTGGGGGGCGGGGGGCGCGGAACAACAACAACAACAACAACAACAACAACAACAACAACAACAACAACAACAACTCGCACACGAGGAGGTAAAGCAAAACACAAACAAGCAGCGCACCAGTGTGCCGCCGCTTGCCACTGCGAGAACAAGAAGAACTTCCACCATTTTTTTTGGGGGAAGGGGGGAGAACAACAAGAACTTCGCAGGGCAAAAACAAACAAAACCAAGAGAAGGAGCCTGCCCGTGACCGCCACCTCCAGATAGCGGGAAGACCAACAACAACAACGACGAGGACGACACCAACCTAGAGGGTATGTACCTCTATAGAGACAGGGTCGCCATGTATTTACAACATATACGGACAATGTGTGTCCCAAATTCCGCCAGAAATGTTTTCACATATGCGCAAATGTCCGCAGGCTATCCCTCTTGACAGGAAGAGGTCCCAGTTTCGCCACCGTCAGTAGCAAGTGCTTTTTTTCCACACGGACAGCGACATAGGGTCAAAGCGCGCCGAATTGTGTCCAAGAGGCGGCCAAGACCGTCCACTGGTGTCGGGAACGCGACCGGTTGGCTGTGCGAAGGCACAAACTGTACCAACCCATCCGGTCCCTAGACTTAAACATTTGGCTAGCAGGAGTGGCATGAAGAGGATCCCAAGCCAATTTAGCGGTTAAGGACTGCATAGCCATGGAAGGAAAGCATTGACAACATTGAAACTTCAGAATGGATGCCCTGAGCCTTTTCTGAATTGGGTCCCGATAATACCACAGACCCGTGCTTTTGGATCGCACCATGCACTCAACTGTCGGATGGCGCTCTGCCAGGACATACTCCTGGACGGAACATGGCCAACGTTGCAGGAGTCTGAGAAATTCCTTTATTGAATAGGAAGCTTCAGGGGGTGATCCTTGTGCATGGGAATCATTGGGGAGATTGTGTCGCCCATATACGGTACCAAGGAGTTCGAAAAGTGAGGGTAAGGTTGGTTTCAAATCGTCAAACCGGTCGGAACAGTCGGAACAGTCTTACCCAGGAACAAGGACGAATCTCTATATTGGAAGAAAACCTCTCCGGGGCATATATAATAACAATGTGGGCCCCCCCAGTTATA